GTTGTCCTTTTGTGATGGACTTGTTTCAGTTAGCATAATGTCTTCAGAGTTTATCCGTATGGTAACAGGTGTCAGAATTTCATGCCCTTTGAAGGTGGAACAATATGTCACATGGGCACGCACCACGTCATGGGCACCCACCGTCGTCCGGGCACACTAAGCTGCTCCCTCCCGTTGGCTCTTGTGAGCACAGAGCCTTTCTTGAGCGCAGAGGCCCTCGGAGATGAAGTAGGGACTTGGAGCTAAGAAATTTGACATAAAAGTGGTTGTCTACACACTTTTCATAGCATCCGCCTTCATTTCTGGCTGCTTTTATTTCCTTGCACCCTGTTTGTCTCTCTCACTTGAATGTGAGAGACCATGTTTGTTTACCCTACACGTAGGTACCTAAACATTTGTGCAATGAGTTTCTTAGACAATAAATATTTAAGTCTCTTACAGTAAATAGTGCATACATTTGCATTTTTCTTTCTTCCTGTGACTGGGCCTGCCTCTTTCTGCCCCAACCTCTCCCTGCACCAGTTGTCCTTAGTGCTACCCTGGAATTGTCTTTAAGAAATGGAGATTCACCAAGGCCACTTTTTCTGAACACCTTCTGTGACTCTCCCTTTCACAGACTGATGGTTCGTGAGTCGAAATGTTTGCTGCCTCTCTAGAACGTGAAGCCGGCATGTCAGGGGCTTCCTTTACATTTTGAGTACAGTGTTTCCATTTATTCCTGAATTAGATTGAATAGGTGTAAATGGGATGAAAATACTATGGTTGCAATATAGTATCTAAAAGTTTGGTTAGCAGCCAGCTTGGTGTTTAGCAAGAGTGCTGTCCTGCCAGCCTAGGAGTAGGCCTCGGAATGAGGAGCTGAGGCCCCGGGGTGCTGTCGGCTCACACATCTCATAGTGATCAGCACGGACACGTGCGGATCTGGGCTTCGTCTTCTGCTTTCTATAAAACAATAGAAGGATGTTTTCTGTTAGGGTTGAATCATCCATCCACATGTTAATCTGACTTTTACGAATCATGATATCTTCCCAAAAGAATGTGTTCTGTGGATTTTTACAGCAATTCCTTTGGGGACTCCTTGCTGGCTCTAAATAACCCAGAAAGGCAGATTCTCAGGACTCAGAACAGACATGGACGCACAGACCTTCCTCCAGGATGTGGGTACGTGTGTGAGATTCCGGTGCGGAGTCGTGCTGATACTGAGCTGTGCCGTCCTGTCGCAGTCCTGTTCAGACCCAGGAGAGTGACAGGCGGAACCCCTGCTCTCTTTTCAAACCCAGATGAAACCAGCAGTCAGTAACTGAGGTCAGAGGCTTCTGTGCACAGCATTTTCTGAAAGTTTACTTGTTGTTGACATTGGAGAAGTCCCCTATTTCCCCCCACTTCCCCATCCACCAGCCCCCGCCCCACCCTAGGCCTTCACCACAGTGCTGTCTGTGTCCCTGGCTATGCACATGTGTGTATAAGTTCTCTGGTTGTCCTGTCCGGTCCCCCACACTCCCTCCCCTCTGTGACCCGCCAGTCTTTTCCCTGCTTCCCTGCCTCTGGACCTGTTTGTTCGTTAGTTTCCGCCCCTTTGTCGCCTCTCCACAGCAGTCTGCCGGACACACAGCGGCTGTTATCCTCACGTTCTGGTCGAGGGCCCTGGGAATCACAGAGGCCGAGTAGTGGTGCTCAGCCATCGGTCACTCAGACATGGTCATCTGCAGTCTTCATCTTTCCAGCGGATGACATCTCACTCTGTGCTGCTTTCCTGAGCGTTCTCAGCTCGGCCGCTAGGCGCCCAGCTAGACTGTGTGCAGGGGCCTGTGGGAGTATCTGGAGGAGTCGGCTCAGAGAGTCTTAACTGTGACCCTATAAGGGAAAATATGCTCGTGCCCTGCTCCAGGGGCAGCTGCTCGCTTCCATGCCCATGAGCTCTGTGCCCCTAACAGCACTCCCAGTACCCTCGCGGCACTGCAGTATTGGCAGGGAAGGCCCTGCCCAGACGTGATCGGCCTGCTTGAGGAAATGACCTTGTCAGAGTTGGTCCTTCTTTTGATGTCTGTGTTCTAAGGACATCACAGGAGACGTAGTTATATGGGAGGATGGTCGCTGGTATTGTTCTCTGCAACTCTCTCTTCCAAACACACCTCAGGAATTTGTTCTGTTATGGAGATCTAGAAGCAAACGAGGGAGGGGTCCAGTGGGACCATTCTGAGTGTCTCCTGGTGCCAGTCTCCCTGTCAGGCTCTGTGCTAGGCACTCTAGGTCCGGAGAGAGGTCATACAGAGGGCCCTGACTTCAGACTGCCTCTGACTGGTGGGGGAGGCAGACACACTCACCCACAATGGTGACATAATGTGCAACATGATGAAGGTAGGCCAAGTGATAACGGGCTGAGGGCTGAAGGGTAGGTGGGCAAGAGGCTGGTAAGAGGTGAGGTCGGGGTGGGGGGGGGGGACCTGACAGGGATGTGCAGGGTTAGGACCTGACAGGGATGTGCAGGGTTAGGCCACACCTGCAGGGAGCAGCAGTGGGTGGCAAGGTCAACGCCAAAGCAGCCCGCTGTATGTGGGAAACCGTTGTTCAGACGAGCTGCAGTGTGGTGCCCAAGGCGGGGAAGGGGAAGAGATGGGTCTGGAAAAGAAGCAGTGGCTAGTCGATCTGATGCACAGCCAGGAGAAGTCATTGAAAAGAAGGTAGGGATCACAGGCAGTTTTTAAAAAGCAGGTTGGTTCTGGGGCCAGCCATGTTTCACAAACTTTCATAATTGGAGCCTCAAATGTGGCCCCATGGTCCTCAGTGAGGGATATGAGTTGGGGTTTTATGAAACCAGTCCCCAGTGCCCAGCCTCTGGAGAGAGTCAGTGTGAAGAGCTGTGTGCGGAAGGCAGGGGGCAGAGGGAGCACTGCTCCCAAGGTGACGGTGCGTGCGGCCCGCCGTGCAAGCCCCAGGCTCAGGCGCGCATGCTTTGATTCCGCTGTAGTCTCCTCGGCCAGCCTCTCTTTACCTCTGAGTCTGAGTTGTGGGCGGAAAGTCTTTTCCCACACTAAGGCTATAAAATAATCCACCTACTATTCATTTAAAGAGTTGAATGCTTTCATTTTTAATAATTTGATTCTCTAGTATCTTTATAGTTTTTTTCTGGTATATGATATAAGGTAAGTATTCAATTTTATTTGATTTTTCCCAATTACTAACAGTTGTCCTGACCTAATGATTAAGTCTGTCATTTCCCCATTGATTTGAGATACTGCATTGATCAGATGCCATATATCTACTGGGAGTTACGACAGCTGGCCTCAGTTAGGGTCGTGCATTGTGGAGGGTGTAGTAGACCGCAGAATTGTAGATTTGGAAAGAATCCTATAAACCAGCAGTTCTCAAACTTTTTTATTTAAAACTTTTTGGTCTCAAAATATGGATTGAAGACCCCAAAGAGCTGTTACTTATGTGGTGATAGCTGTAGATATTCACCATACTAGAATTTAGAACTGGCAGATTTCTAAGATATTAATTTATTTAAGAAATAATACTTGTTTATGAAAAGTAGCTGTACTTTCCAAATGAGAGAGCTTGGAGAACACGTTATTATTTCTGCAGGAGACAGCTTCATAGAAGCAAGCTGGATTTTCACACCTGCTTCTGCTTTCTGATTGCGACAAGACCTTGTTTTGGTGGAAGTACGTGAGAAAATCCGGCCCCACACAGATATATGGTTGGAAAAGAGAGCATTTTAGTGCCTTTTCAGAAAACCGTGGATATTTTTCTTAGATACTACACTAACACTCAACAAGTGCTAGTTTCTTAAAGGTTCACTGCCACGTATCCCGAAGCTGTATCAAAACGAGCACTTTATGCTGCTACATTAGAGTGTCAGCCTGACTTGCACATTAGGTGGATCTTCCCTGCATGTGGCTGTGTGACACTGTGCTTCACTGAGTGGTGCGGACCTTCCAGATGTTGATGTCAGTACTGTGTGATATGAAATCAGAAAACTCATGCTCTCCCTGCAGGCTGTCTGCCTGCCTCAGGCTGCAGAGGTGTTCCCACGTACTTCCCATGTCACACCACGGGATAGTAAAAAGGCGTGTCCTTAGGATTGAGATTTAACGAAAGCAGTGATTTTTATAGCTCATCAAAGCCATCAGAGACACTGCTAAGTGAGGGTAGTGTTTGGTTGTCTTTGTGCTGCAGGTTTATATATGATGAGGAATAAAGTGACACCTCATAATTCAGTGTCACTGCTTTGACTAAGATGGCAGCAGGTTAACCACCCTCGCATTTGTACCATCAGTGCAGAAAAAGGCGAATAAGGTCTTAATATTATGAAAATAGCTTGACCTGCAGGCTCCCTGAAAGGAGTCCGTCAGAGGTTAGCGGCATGATTTAAAGCTTGCTGGTGATTTAAAACATGCTGACATCAGCCACGTAGTCCAGACCTGTGGCTGTCAGAGGGAGAGGCTGCCACGGTCCTAGAAGGAAGACATGATAGGGAGCCAGGGCCTGACGTGCATTTTAAGTCCTCCTCGGCATCCACGTCCCTTGTTGTAACCGTACAAACATGTGCACAGCCTTCCTGGGGATGGAGCCAGCCCTGCAAAAGCAAAGAGCTGGGTGTTGAGTTTCCGAAACCATGTCCTAGTAGTTATTGGAAAGCTATTTGGCATTTGAAACCACAATCTCCTTCTTGACATTGACATTTAATATCATGCAATTGACATCAAGCGATGATGTCAGGCTTTTGGGCCGTGACCCCATCTGTTGGCAATGTGGCCTTGGAGCGTCGCCCAGCTGAATATCGTTGCCTCAAACCAACAGTGAAGGAGGAGCACACGTGTCTGGAAGATGACGTGTGACTCTGTTAGTCGACCTGGTTTCAGCAAACTTGTTTTCATGTTGGAATACAACAGTCCACCATCAAGCTGAAAATGAAATGCTTTGAGTCAAATTTAGCATTTATATTTTGACATTTTCAAATCACTGGGTCTAACAGTACCTTCCTCCTGTTTTTTCAGCAATGGAAGAGTTAATAGTTGAACTTCGTCTCTTTCTTGAACTTCTGGACCACGAATATCTAACTTCGACTGTCAGGGAGAAAAAGGCAGTAATCACAGACATCCTGCTGAGGATACAGTCGTCCAGAGGTGGGTCTCACTCGAACTCGAGTCTTCCTGCCAGGCTTTTGCCTCCAAACCACCTTTTACTCCACCTTTTCTAAAACATATTCATTTGTTTGTTAACTTATGAATTGATTTAGTCATCAAGCTGTCTCTGAGGGTCTAACCATGTGCCGGGTACTGTGGTAGTGTCCAGGTGTAGACAGATAAATCCTTTAAGGACCTAATGGAATAGTGGGTGTGTCTCGGGTCCCCAGAAGGACTCGGCATGTAGTTGTACCTTCTCGTGCCCAGGATTTATTACCGGAGTGGGGAGGTATGCAGCCAGGTTACAGGGAGGGACACAGGTGTGGTCTGCAGGAGTCTGTGCTGCCTTCCTTATGCTGTTTCCCCCTGAGTGTCACACAGAGCACGCTCTTCCCTTAGCCACACAAGCGAGGCAACCTGTGTGCCACCAAATTCCAGGCGCCCGGAAAAACAGGCTTATCAGGGTTCTCCAGAGGAACAGAACCGGTGGCGGGAAGGGAGAGAGGAGAGGAGATTAACTGTAGGGGTGGCTCATGCGCTCATGGAGGCTGAGAAGCCCTATCTTGCTGCAAGAAGAGACCCAGGCCAACTGGAGTTGAGTCAGTCCGAAGGCCCGAGAAGTCAGGCTGATGGTGAATCCCGACTGAGTCTAAAGGCTCGAGAACCCGTGTCAGGGCGGGAGGGGAGGGATGCCCCAGCTCAGAAAGAGAGCCTGTGTGCTCTCCCTCCACCTTTGTGTGCTGTTCGGACCCTCGATGGATTGGACGATGCCCACCCACATGGGAGAGGGCCATCTCTTCACTCAGATCACTGATTCGAATGCTGATCTGTTCCTGAGGGACCCTCTCAGACATGCCCAGAGTGGGGGTGCACCAGCTCTCTGTGCACACCTCAGCCCAGTCAGGTTCACAGGAAATTCACCCCCACCGCCGGCGTTCGGCATGAACCACGATGTTTGCACAGACAGCCTAGGTGCAGGGAACCAACCTTAGCGCTCAGGGACGATGGCGGCACTTCTGAAATCCACATTCCCAGATGCCAGCCAAGGCCCACCCTGGCAAGCAGGCCCTGTAAAGACAGCAGTCGCAGGCCTGCTTCTGTGCACAGCGGGCAGGACAGAAAGGCAGGTCGTGTAAGCCTGGTAAGTGTGTCATAGAGAGCACCAGTGTGTGAAGACAGCCCCTCGGAGGGGATCCAGTCAGCTCAGTGAGCGAGAGAGTGGGGAGGGGCAGGGGCTGTTCCTGGAGGGTCCAGGGTAGACTCTAGAAGACTCTGAAGGAGACAGCTGGATGAGATGTAAGGATTTCTTTTCAACAGCTTCATTGAGATATAACTCACATACATACTATTTACCCATTTGAAGTGTACAGTTCATTGGTCTTTAGTATACAAAGCCATGGTATGACACAGTAAGATTTGCATTCTGGACCTCGGGTCGAAGGACTTGGTAGCAGAATGTGAGCCACATAAGGCCCTGGGTGGTTGGGGGGACCCACCATGAGATAGGAGCAGAGGGTGAAGACCATGTTGTGGGGGCAAGTGTGAAGTGTCCACTCTTGCTTCCCTGCCCAGACTTTTCCATGTGTGTCTACTCTGGCCCCAGATATGTGATTGGAAAAGAGTATTTTGGTGCCTTTTCAGATAATGGTGAATATTCTTCTTTGATACTACACCAAAACTCAACAAGTGGTAGTTTCTTTTTTAAAATTTATTGATTTTAGAGGAAGAGAGAGAGAGAGAGAGACATGGATTTGTTGTTTTACTTATTTATGGATTCATTGATTGCTTTGTGTATGTGCCCTGACTGGGGATCAAACTTGCAACCTTGGCCTACAGGGGGTAGCACTCTCACCGCTGAGCCACCCGGCCAGGGCTACCAGTGGGTTTCTTAAAGGGCAGTTGCAATGTGGACTAGCTGGTTTGGGTTCCTGGCTCTGCCTGTCACCAAGTGTGGGACCTTGCACAATCACTTAATCTCTTTACGCATCAGTTTCCTCATCTGTGAAAAGGGCAGATAGGAGCACCTTCCTAGAGGGGTGTTGTCAGGACTGAAGGAGACAATATAAAACGTTTCCAGACGGTGCCTGACGCACAGTGACAGTAAGATGGCATTTCTTCTCCCCTTCATCTCCTCTGTGCGCGCGCGCTCTCAGCCGTTCGGGGCCTCTTGCCTCAGGGTTGCTGTCTTCCCATGCCCTCCCTCTCTCCCTCTGCCCAATGAGCTCCAGCCCCTTGTCTCTACAGCTTCGTTCTGCTGTTTCTTCTGATTTTCTCCAATTCACAGTTCTCTCCTCAGCTCTTCAGTTTGCTTAAAACTCACCCTGATTGTTTTAGTGGTAGTCTTGCCATTGGTTCTTCTCTTTCTTTCTTTTCTTTTACTCTTTCCAGTTCTCTGTCAGCTTCTGGAGGTCAGGAACTTTGTCTTTCTATATTTTTTCCTAACCTGTAGCACTGTGCTTGACCCATTATAGGTGATCATTGTTAAGTGATTGTTTCTCTAGGTCTTTCCAGGTGAGCTTTTAGCATATAAATAATACTGTGCCCAAATTAAAACTGGTTTCTTCCTCTTCTTACCTTCATTTTCTAAGAGTCAGTTGTAAATATCTTGCCTTCCCAACTGGAATATGAATGCCCTGAGGGTAGGAGCTTGTATCAGTCATGTCCACCATCAAGTATGTGTGTTACAGCGTCTGAATTTATGAGAGTACCGAATACAGATTTGCTGATTCCCAGGACAGTGCTTCCCCTTAATACATGGTACGTGCCAACCTGAGTAGGATCAAGGGGAAGAGTCGCCCTTGAGAGGCCGCGGGGCATTGGGGGAGAACATAGGCTTCGCTGCCATGTCGTCCATTTTACCCGCTAATGCTCCAGTCAGGTTCTTTAACCTTTCTTCTCCACCATAGATCCTTCACCTGCAAAATGGAGAAGGATGACACCTACCTTGTCGGACTGTGGTGAAGGATTAGAGACAATGAGTATTTGCGAAGAGTTCACCATGGGGCTGAGGAAGCGACGGCCGATGCGGTGCCATCCTCCTCCTCCTCACCCAGTCCTGTGGTTTTGGTTGCTACCTACAGGTTTTGATGTGAAAGACCATGCTCCGAAGCAAGAGAGCCCCAGTAGCCTGCCGGCGCCTCCCCAGATGCCTCTGCCGGAGATCCCGCAGCCATGGCTGGTGAGTTGTCCCGCTGTCGCAGCAAGGGTCCCGGGACGCTGGGTAAGTTCCGGCCCCAGGGGCAGGTGCTGAAAGCCCAGTGCTGGGAAGGGGCCTCCTGAGTGCTGCAGGGGCTGCTGGGACAGCCGAGTGGGAGGCCGAGTGCAGCTCCCTCAGGCGGCTGGGGTCCTCTGGAAACCACTGTGGCCACAGGTCCCTGCAAGTCTGTTCTTTGGTTTTAAAAAGTCTGAGGTTTTAGCAGGCAGAGCAGTGATGGGAGAGCCTGGGGACTTGGCCTTCTTTCTGGGTCAACCGAGTCTGAAACTTCTGTATTTATTGTCATGCTGCTTCTAGGATAAAACAATAATTTTCTGCAGAAGAAAAATACGTGCCTGTCCCAGGAATGTGTATTTTATTCGACCTTCTGCATTCAGAATTTGTTCTGGAGTTCTTTGCCCCTTTTGCAACCTGGGTCTCTCCCATGTGCAGGTTCTCATGGACCATTCACCCCTCTCTGCCTTTGGCTGCTTTCTGATTTGCTCGCTCAGGGAAATTAGACGTTCAAAGCTAGAGCAAAGCCAGCTACTTGCCGCTCTCTTTCTAATGTTCGCTCTCTCCATGGTTCGTGTGAGGGTCTCCCCGCCAGGATGAGAGCCGCAGGGAAGTGGCCGCGTCTGGTTTGCGGCTGTCCTGCCCGGGCCCCAGCGGGTGGTGCTTGCAGTGAGCGCTCAGTCAAGACCTGTTAGCGGCCCGAGGGAGTGGGCACTCCCTGCTTCCTTCCACCCACCAGGGACCGTGCTTGTTACTTATAATTTCATTTAAGCCTGACCCCTTGACCTCGAAGAACCCCTACATTAACTTTAAACATGTGGATAGGATGTATGCCCATCATCCATGGAAGGAAATTAGGGTCCAGTGAAGAGGTGAGATTGTTCAAGGTCCTGCACCGAGTGGGAATGGCAAACCTTGTCCCTGGCCTTCTGATGTCACACGCAGCCTGTTGTCAGCAGCACTCCTTGGGGTGTGGCAGCTGAGCCCTGCCACCTCCCAGGCATGTGTCACTTGTTACAAAACTGCTAAGATTTTGATGTTGGGCCACGGCTACATTCTTTGAGTATGGGAGTATGGGGTTACACATTGGCTTTTGCTTGTCCTTTCTGCATCATCCATACCCATGGTAATTAATACACCTGGTTCTTCTTCTTCCAAGTGGAGTCAGTTCAGACACCTTGGAAACAATGTGTTCGCCGTCCTTAGACGTGCATGAGTGCTGTGCTGTTCTCTTGTGACCTGCCCACCCCTGTTGGAATAGCTTTTCTTTTCCAGTTTGTCTTGACTGAACCTTTCTAGTGTCCGAGGGCCAGCTCTCCTGCACTCTTTTTCACTGGGAGTCCTTACCGATTAATTAAAGTAATGATTATGGTAACAAGTACAAGAGTTGAAAGACTGAAGCTGACTCCCAGTAGCTGTGCCACTGGACTGACGGAGCCATCTGTGGGCGCTCTGACCCGAGGGGGCATGGCACCCGTGTGCGTGGTGATTACAATTGAGACTGGGAGGCTCTGCAGGGTACGGTCCCGAAGGGCCTGTGGCCATGCTGAGTGTTTTGAAATGATCACAAAGCAACTATAAATGACTGAATCATTAATTTTTTTTTAGTGTCAGATTTATGATTGTCCAACCAGGTGTTATTTTTCATTGATTTGTTTTGTTTTTGTTTAAATTTCTTTTTTCTTTATTGATTTTTAGAGAGAGAGGAGAGAAAGATTGAAACATCGATGAGAGAGAACATCAGTTGGCCGCCTCCTGCATGTTCCCTACCTGGGATTGAGCCCGCACCCTGGGCATGTGCCCTGACCTGGAATCAAACTGGCGACTTCTTGGTGCAGGGTCGACGCTCAACACCGGCCGGACAATTTCTCATTCATTTGACACTATGGCATTTTTACCTCCATTGTGGCATAAATTGACTGAGTGCTGCCTTTACTTACTTACTTATTTTAAGATTTTAAAAAATTAACTTTTAGAGAGAAAAGAAGGGAGAGGGAGAGGGAGAAACATCAATTGGCCGCCTCCTGCGTGCCCCCTACCTGGGATTGAGCCTGCAACCTGTGCACGTGCCCCAATTGGGAATGGAACCGGGACCTCTTGGTGCACAAGACGTCGCCCAGCCGGCGGAGCCGGAGTGCTGCTTTTTATCGCAGGCATCTGTGCTGGAACTCTGGAAGTGAGCCACCTTCTCGTCTGTCCCTCTGCACCTCGCGGTGCTGTGTGCAGCCTTAGCTCTGTCCCCACGCCCCTTCCCCACAGGCTCGGAGGCCTGGCCGTCTCGCCTAGCCGGAGCTCCTCCCCACTGACCAGCAAGGTCTGCTTGTAACATCCCTTCCCTGGAACGAGAGTCCAGCCTTCTGAAGGTGGAGTTTGTGTCTGTACTCCTTTGTGCTTCCCACGTGGCTAAGTAGAAAGTGTAGTGACAACTGCAGCTCAGGGAGCATGTCAGAAGGTCTGTCTTGTCATGTCGGTGAGCTTCCCACACGAGCAATTGGAATGTGTCTGTTTTGCTCTGGAGGCCGAGTGGCAGCATCCTGTGCACTGCCGACCCCTCCGTGCAGCCATCGGGGCTTTGGAGGGGCTCATAGAAGTCCAGACTCTTCTAAATCCTGGGAATTACACGAGTGACATGTTCACCCGTCTGAGTTAGCTCCTGCTCTTCAAGGGGAGACTAGACTAGGCCAAAGTTTGTGTATGTGTAATGAAAACATTTCTGAAGAGCTATACTCTCCACCAGACCTTCGTGTCTGTTTTGTGCCAAGGCCAGGCCGTGTCACACCGGCCGTGCTGGACCCACAAATGCTGAGACAGCACTTGAAGCGGCGCCTGCGCTGGGAGACGGACCCCATCTGTGCTGACGGGCTGCGGGCCACCCAGCTCCGAGGCAGCCTGCCCTGACCCGTCGCTCTGCACAGTTGCCGACTGTGCCCGTCTCCCTCCTCTTCAGAAGAGTACCGAGTCTGCAAACGGGTGTCTCAGGCCTTCCTGGACAGCCAGAAGGGCAAGGTAGATGCCTATGGGGTGTTTGGAGGGTTGTACGATATGCAAAGTATTTCCTAGAAATATTTTTATTTAATAATTTAAGCAGCAGAGTTCTCATTGTATTTCGATGGCACAGAGGAGTAAGGTAATTCTTCCATATTTTAGAGCCAGAGCTCATGGAAATGTCACAGGTAACAATGATGTTTGTGTTGTGAATACACAGAGCAGGCATTTTACCATTTTACCTTTGTTAAGTGTGCAGTTTAGTGCATTAAGTACATTCAGAGTGTCATGCAGCCGTCACCACCGTCACCTCCAGGACTTTCCTCTCCCTAGACTGACACTGTCCCTGTAAACTCCCACCCCTCCTCCAGCCCCGGGAACCCCAGCCTACTTTCTGTGCTTATGAAACATTAAGTTTGGTCGCCAGCCCTTCCCACCTGGTCTGCTGGTTGCCTTCTCTCCTCCCTAAATACTTTCATAGCAGCTTGATTATCTCTATTTGACAGATAGGATTAGGAGGCTCTCGGAGATTATGTGACAAAAGTAGTAGGTATTTGCCCTGGCCAGTTTGGCTCAGCGGTTAGAGCGTTGGCCTGCGGTCCGGAGAGACCCGGGTTCGGTTCCCGCTAAGGGCACGTACTTCGGTTGCAGTTTGTCCCCGGCCCTGGTTGGTCGTGTGGGTGGCAGCCACTCGATGTGTCCCTTTCACATCGATGTTTCTCTCTCTCTCTTCCTCCCACTCTATCTGTACAAAAAATGGAAAAATATCCTCGGGTGAGGATAAAAAAAAAAAAAAAAAAGTAGTAGGTATTTTACCTGCTGCAGGGTTGAGACTAAAGTCCAAGATTTAAAACAACAAAAGCACCCTGGCTGGTTTGGCTCAGCATGTGGGTTTGGTTCCCTGTCAAGGGCATGTATCTGGCCCTGGCCCTGTTCAGGATCATGTGGAAGGCAACCAGTTGATGTGTCTCTCTCACATCGATGTTCCCCCGTTTCTCTCCCTTCTATTCTACCTTAAAATCAGTGGACAGATATTCTCAAGTGAGGATTAATGCAGCAGTAATCTGTTAGTTTCCCAGTGAAATCAAATGTGGTTCTTTTATGGAGGGGACATCTTGTTCCTTCTTTCCCTTGTCTTTTCAGACTCTAGGGGAGTTGAGTCTCATGTATTTCCCGTGGCATCTGTACCTTAACTGCTTCATGGCGGCACCCCAGCTACGTTCTGTCTATGCACCCCTGTGGCTGCGTGGCCTCCTCTGGGAAGCCTGCCTGCGGGTGGTGAGGGAGGGCGGCCCTGGCCCCGGCCTTCACTCTGTGGTGCACACGGAACCAGAGGAAGCCCCGCGTGTGCTCAGTGTGGAACGCAGGTCAAACAGAATGCAATGGGACGGGGGCCGTGCGGGTGCAGACGTCTGTCTTGCCCAGAAGACTACTTACTCAAAGCTCTTGATGTTAGCACTGACACCGTTTTTGCAGTTTGGACTATAAAACTTTGTTATCGATGGAAAATGACTTACTGCAGTCATCAGTTTCCCTGGAGACCTTCCAGAGGGGTGAGCCGAGGCGGAGACGTGGGGGTGCCGGCCTCTTCCTGCGGGCCTCCTGAGGGGCTCACGGCAGCGGAGGGTTGGCTGGGTGTGGCTGACCTGCGGCAGGGGCCCTCCTCTTCCTGGTCACACTCGGCCTTTTTGGGCTCTTACTCTTTTTCTTTAGTCCTCACCCCAGGGTGTTTTTCCATTTATCTTCAGATAGAGTAGGAAGGGGAGAGGGAGACACATCGATGTGAGAAAGACACATGGATTGGGTACCTCCCACACGACCCTGACCATGGCCGCGGATTGAGCTGTAACCGAGGTACGTGCCCTTGACCAGAACTGAACCTGCGACTCATTGGTCCGCGGGTCGACGCTCCAACTGCTGAGCCAAACCAGCCAGGGCTTGTTACTCTTAATGAAAGTAAATCGCTGCAGCCACCGCATGTAGAGAATTTAAATCAGGAAATGACTCCTGATCCTAGTCTGGAATCAGGTCTCATTGTCTATGGGTGTTTTTGTGTAAAGGACTGAATGATAAATTGGGGTGGGAAGAGAGGGAGGCGGTGGGGAGCAGCAGACAGGAGAGGGGAGGTGTTGAACGTGCCGTGTGCAGGCGGCGCGGGGACACGTGGCTCCTCGGGAAGGGACGGATCTGCACGTGATACGGAAGCAGTTGGTGTGGCAAAGTAGCCTTAGTGGGCTGATAAGTTCCTGGTGCCTCCTGCCTCGGTTTGGCTGGGTCCCCGCAGCAGTAAGCACTGAGGGATGTGGTCCTGCCAGGTGTCATTCCTGCTGGCTCGCAGCCTCCGGCAGGGCTCAGTACCAACTCTGGCTGACTTCGGGCTTCCCCCTGACCAGTTCTGAGCAGGTGTGACCTGGCCAAGGTCTTTCATCTCGAGAGCCTCAGTTTCATTCATAAAATCATAATCAAAATACCAACATCTCTGATATTTTCTGAACAAGAGAAGATATGTATGAAGTATCCCTGAACAGTGACTAGCACGTGGTAGGCAAACAATAAATGGTGGTTATTGTGTTAAATTGTTGAACTAATAGAATAATTACTATATTTATACCACATAGTTTTATAAACATAATATTTGTTATCATTAGTGGAAAAAGAAAACTCTGTGAGGCCTTTCCTTAAAGTATCAAAGGTAAATACCAGTGACTTTTCTTTCTAAAAAGGTGGGGATTAAGTGCAGGCAATATCGAGAGCCCAGCAAACTGCACGTTGTGTTCCCATCCAGCTGGAAGGACCGGCTGTGCTGGGGGACGCGGGCCCCGAAGGAGAAAGGACGGTGCCTCAAGGCACAGACGATGCCCCGACTGAAAGGCAGCCTGCGCTGGAGCACTCGTTCAGGGAGAAATCCTTTGGTGACTTTGAAAGTTGTTAGTATCTGGCACTGTGCCATTTCTACTTCCTATGCTAGAGCAGAGGACTCACTGTTTGAGGAAAATGTCTTGTCTTTCTTCCTGTGTGGAAGGAGGCTGTCGGGTAGACTGCACCCCTATTCTGTCAGATGTGTTGTGAGAGCCAGCCCAGGACAGCGCTGGTGGACCATGCAGGGCGGGTGTCTTCTGGTGGCGAGGGAAGATGGCAGGACCCAGTGAGGGGGACACCTCGCCGATGTGCAGTGTTGTCATTTGCAAGGGACTTCCTGAAATTTCTCCTCTAGCCACAGATTGTAATGTAATTTACTGTGTAGTGAGGACACAGAGTCAACTCTCACTAAAAGTTTGAAATAGATGAAGCTGGCTTTGTGCAAATAGCAGAAGTGGACTTCGAGAGCCAATTGGACAGCAGACTGGCCGTTACCCAACTCCTTCGCTTGCCGGCAAGGAGGCTGGGCTGGTCCCGGGCCTGCGTGCTCTCGGGGCTGGGCCTGCACGGGGTGCCTGCCGAGTGCTTGAGTCCATCCCCTCTTGTTCCCTGCTTGCCTTTGGTTCTCCAGGGTCCCTGTTAGAAACCTGTCTTCCTGTTTTGTACCTTTAAAAATTCCTGTTAATTGTGCTTTCAGTGAATTCTTACCCTTTGGGAAGGGCCTGAAGGAAGGGTTTCCTCTCAGTGGTGTGACCTTGCAGGCGGGCACCTCTTTTTAGCCTCTCCTGTGTCGCCCTGAACAACCACAGTCCCTCTGCCTGGGGGTGCCCACCTGCGGCTGGTTCGGGACAGCTGGCATCTGGGAGTGCAGTGCAGTCCCTCTGCCTGGGGGTGCCCACCTGCGGCTGGTTCGGGACAGCTGGCATCTGGGAGTGCAGTGCAGTCCCTCTTCCCGGAGGTGCCCACCTGCGGCTGGTTTGGGACAGCTGGCATCTGGGAGTGCAGTGCAGCCCCTCTGCCCGGGGGTGCCCACCTGCGGCTGGTTCAGGACAGCTGGCGTCTGGAAGTGCAGTGCAGTCCCTCTTCCTGGGGGTGCCCACCTGCGGCTGGTTTGGGACAGCTGGCATCTGGGAGTGCAGTGCAGTCCCTCTGCCCGGGGGTACCCACCTGCGGCTGGTTCGGGACAGCTGGCGTCTGGGAGTGCAGTGCAGGTCCGTTTGGAGAGAGAGCATGGTCCTCTAGAAGTTGTTTAATGTTTTTTCTAATTTAAAAATGATAAATACTGTAGAAAATCCAAGCTATATAGATATGCATGAAAAAGAGGCAACCGCACATTGGTGTTTCGGTGAAGTCCTGTCTTTGTAGGTATGTGAACATGACACATTGTAGGTGGGAGCGCTCAGGACGCTTCCCTTCACAGAGCCGTGTCGAGTGCGGTCTCTCGAGCAAGCGGCTGTGGAATGTCCACTCGGTGTGTCAGTGCATCTAAGCAGGCTTCTCTCTGGGGACATTTACATGTTAGGTTTTGCTGAACTAACTTTTAATGAACATCTTTATACATTTTTGCTAGCATGACCTTTGATCCTCTTGGCATATATTCCCGGCAGTGGGATTATGGGAGCTGAGGCATGCCATCGCAAGGCTGTGCAAACGCATGGCCACCAGGAGGGCCTGGAGAACCCATCAGCTCAGAGGGAGGGCTCACGTCTGTGTGTGGCTTGCAGCGCCGGGAGGGGGTCTGAGCTGTGCCCTGGCCATGGCTGCATCGGCCACTGCACTCAGGAGCCCTTCCAGGTAGACAGCACAGCACCTGTCTCACACACGAGGAGAGCGAGGTCGGAGTCTCAGCCTGCCCAAGTGGACGCCTCTCAGCGACAGCTGGTCTGCGAACACTGGCCTGTCTGCTCTTTCTCATGTCCGTGTTCCCTGTTTCTCTTCTGTGACTCATTCACATTGCTCACATTCTGTAAACAAATTGGAAGATATTGCTGAGAATAGCGGAGAGGCTTGAACTAAAGATCTATCAAGTTTCAAGTAGAACAGCGTTCAAAGACATCACAGGGTATCTATAAATAGTCTCTCGGACGTGAAGTCCCCGCACTTCTCCTGTAACAGCCCTGCCCCGAGTGCTCACGATGGTTGATCCAGCTCTCACAGGAAGCTGGAACACCTCCATTTCAGGAATGAAGGCAGTGAATCAAACAGCCCTTTTCCAAAAGCAACAAGCAGAGCTCTTACCCGGGGGCGGCTCCTGTTCACACCTTGCCCGGGCGCAGCTGTGTCTCAGGTTCTGTTGCAAGCGTTCCCTCCTCAGGAAGAAGGGAAAGACCTGGCTCGGGGCAGCGTGAGACCACAGAGCGAGGTGGCCAGGAAGCCAGCCTTGGGCAAGGAGGGCGAGGAACCAGGGTTGTTAGGGAAGAGGACTCGGTGTGAGGCAGACACCGTGGATACGGAAGGACGGGAAGGACGGGTGCAGATGAGCTTGAATTGCCTGCTCTGCCTGCGGGAGGGCAGTGTGGGCGGAGTGCTCGGGGACGAGCCCTGTGAGGACTGGGGGCAGGGCTGTTACAGGGGAAGTGCGGGGACTTCACGTCCAGAGACTATTTATAGACACCCTGTGATGTCTTTGAACGCTGTTCTACTTGAAACTTAACTGGATAGATCTTTAGTTCGGGCCTCTCCGCTATTCTCAGCGACATCTTCCAATTTGTTTACAGAATGCGAATGAGTCACAGAAGGGAAATAGAGGGAACACGGACATGAGAAAGTGTTGAGCAGACAGGCCAGTGTTCGCAGACCAGCTGTCGCTGAGGGGCGTCCACTTGGGCAGGCTGAGACTCCGGCCTCGCTCTCCTCGTGTGTGAGACAGGCGCTGTGCTGTCTACTGGAAGGGCTCCTGAGTGCAGTGGCCGATGCAGCCATGGCCAGGGCACAGAGCAGGTGTTCGGCTCCTGTGGGCTCCTTCTCTTAGGCTCTTTCCTTGGCGTCAGGACCAGTACGCCTGTAGGTGTTTGTAGGAAGAGAGGTCGGCACACATTGGAGTCTTCGCTTGGGGAGAGGAAGGGGCTTCCGCAGGTCCTGGGACCAGGTGGCACCTGGAGAGTCCTGAGCCCGCCGCTGCCCTGCGCTCCAGGTCGGGGTTGCAGCACTGGGCCTGCTCGCAGAGTCCGACAGGAGCCTGATGGGATCGGTGTCTGTCACAGCAGGCTGCTTGTCCTGAGGACATTCCCAGTGTCCTTAGAGAGTGGCGCCTAGGTGGCTTCCCTTTTCTAACAGAGCCTTGGTAATGTTGGGGCATGGAGATGGTGGGCACACCCCTCATGTACTCCGCCCTCCTTCCCTGGTGCAGTGGGTCAGAGCCCATCCCGCTTCCCAGAGCTCCCAGCTCAGCATGGAGATGGTGGGCACACCCCTCATGTACTCCGCCCTCCTTCCCTGTGCAGTGGGTCAGAGCCCATCCCGCTTCCCAGAGCTCCCAGCTCAGCATGGAGATGGTGGGCACACCCCTCATGTACTCCGCCCTCCTTCCCTGGTGCAGTGGGTCAGAGCCCATCCCGCTTCCCAGAGCTCCCAGCTCAGGGGTGGGCCTGGAAGGAGAAACCAGCCCTGGAGACCTTGCTGGGTCAGCGGTGTGGGGACAGTTGTGGGACGAAAGTGAGGCACCTGTGCTAGTTCTGGGGGTGTGCATCACCCAGTTTCACTTAGGAAGGGGATATGGTGCCGGAGCTGGGTGTGCGAGGCGCTCGTGGGACCTGGGCTGCACGTCTGGTCACCACCAGCAGCTGTGCCGGGTGAGTGGCCTGTGGCTAGGACCGGGCTGGGTTGGACGTGAGCAGGAAAGTCAGAGACCAGTCAGGAGCGGAACTCCAGAACCTCTTCGTAGGGTGAAAGATGGCATTTTCTTCTAGTGACACTGTTGTCTCCTTTGTCCCCAGCCCCCCGACAGTGGGCCACCCCCGCTGCCGACGTCCTCGCTCCCAGAGGGGTATTATGAGGAGGCCGTGCCACTGAGTCCTGGGAAAGCTCCGGAATACATCACGTCAAGTGAGTGTCGGGTCCGTGGACGTGGGGGGGGGGGGCAGGCTTCTCTGGGCATGAGGGGATGGGGCATCCCAAACACTGGACGTGTGGGGTACGTAGAGAGGGCTGGGAAAGTCGAAGGTGTCTTCCAAGCACCTCAGGGAATTCAGATTGCCATGACTCAGCAGAGTGAGGTCTCATTGGCTTGGAAACGTGTCCAAGTAACACCGGTTCCCTGTGGTCAGAAGGAAAGGATTCTTTGTGGCCTGTCCTGATGGGTCTCCCTGTGTCCTGGACAGTGTTCACTGCCATGATGAGCGTGTCCACAAGGCTCAAAGTCAGGGCACCGGTGGGCAGCTCCACAGGGCTGCTGCTGTTCAGCAGGTTCCCAGCCGTTCCGCCTGAGCGCGAGCTGCCGCCTGGGGACTCTCAGAAGCTGCTCCCTCTCAGCACCCAGCTCGCCCAGCTCTAGGGCGACACGCGGGCCCCGACAGCCTTTCGGCACTGCCTCCGGAGTGGCCTCCGTGCCCCTGCGGCTGCCCTCGTCACGGTGCTCTGCCAGCAGCGCGTGCTCGCCTAATGGCGTGGGGGGGCCGCTGGCGACGGGCGCAGCCCTGCGCTTGTGCCAGGAGAGCTGCACGGGCTCCCCACAGGCGTCCTCCACAGGCGGAACTGCCCCGTCTCCTGTGCACCTGTCCTCCGGTCCAGCGCTGTCGCCGTAGTCTATGTCACCTGGTCTCTGCTACACGGAGACTGAGTTTGCTGCTTTCTCCCAGGCTGTAGGCCCCGCTCACTGGGTTGTCCAGGACACGCCCCGCCACGCCCTTTTTCTGCTCCTGAAGAGGGATGAATGGAGCCCAGGCAGGCTGGACAGTGGGCCCTGCAGGGCAAGGGGCCTTCCCTAGGGCACCAGGCCTGTGTTCTCAGCTCCCAGAAAAGTCCCCACAAGCACTAAGCCCAGTGTCAATAAATATTTGTCAAACCCAGACGGCGAAAAAGGACGGTCTAGCAAGGAGGTTAGGAAATACTGGTGTTGATCTTTAAGTTAAATACTTGAATTCCTTTTTTATTTAAGAGCTATTTGGGAAAAACTCAAGTACTTTGTTTCATCTACTTCAGAAGATAGTAACTTAGTTAGAAAACAGCAAATAAAATGACTTGAAGTGGTTCAGAACTTGATTGGTTTCTTTCTAAGAGCAATGAATAAACAAGTTTCTGATGAGGGTCTTTCCCAGCATCTGGAACATCATGTTCTACCTTCCCCACCCCTCCCCTCCCCCCATGCTTTCAGGGTTAGGCGTGGACAGTTGTTTGTTTGACTTTGGGGGCCTCTGGTACCTTTTGGCCTGAGAAGCCACACATGGTGGGTGTGTCGTGTCCTGTCCTTCAGAGAAGCCACTCCTCAGTTGCTGAATGATGGACAACTTTTATTGAACTAGTTCCACACGCAGGAGTAATAGGGACACATGCTTGGGAAACAGCGAGTCAGAGGTGCGAGTGCCCTGTAGCTGCTTTAATCAGATGTCTGGTTCCATGACCTGCGGGCCTGGAGGGGCCATGCTGCCTTCGCTCACTGCAGACTGCAGCAGCCTTGCTGAGCCCTGTGTCAGAACCTCGTGCATGCTGGGGAGTGAATGTCATTGTGGAGGAGCCCTTGGCAGGACTGGCCATCAGGAAGAAAGGCTGCATGAGGACTGGGAAAGAGGAGCGACAGATTTAAACCTACTTGCGTCTCTCATTTCCTCCAAACCTGGTGATGTGGGTGAGCTGCAGTCCCACAGAGCTGCAGCAGCTGGCCTGGACTCAGAAGAGACCCTGCAGGAGCCGTGTGCCCCCGACTGCCCGCACCGACACGGAGGGCCAGCAGTCTGGGACCAGGGCGTGTGCTGCCATGCCTGGCCTCCGTGCTGGCAGCGGGCCCCTGCTGCCTTCCAGTGGCTCGCTAATGTCTCTTGTGGCCAGCCCGAACTCAGCCTCGTCCAAGAACGGGGATTTGGGGAAATGTCACTGCATTCCTGCTCAGTGGAAACCATCACCGTTTGTTTTCGGGCAACTTGGCACCCCTGCCCAGCTCTCCTAACCACAGCGGACTTCCCAGTAAAGACAACAGCAAAATCATGGCTCAGCCTGGCACCATGCAGCTGCTGCCTGTGCCATGGAAACCCCCTAACTCCCCCAAGGACACACAGTCCATTCATCCGCTCGGGGGGCGGCCGTGCTCCCCAGCTGAGTCACCCTGTCCCCGTTGAGGCCTCCGCCTACTGTTGCCGCTGCTCATGTTGGACGGGAGAGGCGAAGGAGATACCTTGCTCATCGTGCACATAAGGCGCAGCTAGTTCAGTCCTCACCCCACAGCCAGCCCGTCACAGCTGCTTCTCAGCTTCCTCCGGCCTGTGCAGGGTGGAGGGCACATATCCAGGACATTCCGATTGTCCATCCCGTTCACTGTCCACACAACCTGCGACCCCGGTCCTCAGCGCCACGGGCCCCCCACATTCTTCTTGGTGCGGGCCGCAGTATTACACAGGACTCTTAATCGGTCCCCAATCTCTCTGTCACCCCAGCTCAGTCCCCTCTCCATGCTGTTACCAGAGTTCCCTCTTCGGTCCCCTGAGTGTCTTGCTCAAAATCCTTCCTGACTTCTTTTTCATGATTTAAAATTCCACGTCAGCCTCCCATCTTTCTCTCCCGCTGGTGACAGCTCTGTGTGAGGCTGGGAGTGCAGGCGTGCTGCTGAGCACAGCCCCGCAGCCCTGGTGCGGGCACGGTGCTGTCCTGGGGGAGGCCTGCCGCTGCCACTGCTTTCTCCAGACTGCGCAGCCGGTCGGTTCCCGAAGCCTCCTTATCTGCCCTTCGTCATCGCTAGGGGTTCGTTCCTCAAGCACATTGGAAAAGTGAATGCCTTCCAGATGCCTCCAGGGTGGAGGGGAACGCAGAGAGGCATCAGACAGGGCCTCGAGGAGCTTGTCATCCAGCAGGGATGATAATAGTGCCGACCGTCAGCGACCGTGCCGACCGTCAGCGACTGTGCCGACTGTCACTGCCAGCCGTCAGTGTTGACCGTTAGTGCCAACCATCAGCGACAGTGCTGACCAATAGCGACCGTGCCGACCATCAGTATTAGTGCCAACTGTCCATCACTGCTGTCTGCTAACCACTGGCTGTGCCAGCCCCCCCAGGGCTTTGCAGGTGTACTTTATGTCCATGTAACAGCTTTTCCTTCTGCAAGTGTGTGTGCGCTTCCTGCACCAGGTATTTGCACCTGCTGGGGCGACCATTTCCAACAAGGAGGTCTCCCTTCTCGTGGGGGCTTGTGGCCTGATGTGGTAGACAGACAGGCACAAGGACAGTGCAGAGGGAGAAGTTTCGAGTTGGGTGCTGTGGAAGCACCCAGGAGGGGCATTGCACCCCGTGTCTTAGCTCAGCCAGCCACAACAGAATGCCACAGACGGAGTGACAAAAGACCAGGCATTTGCTTTCTCACAGTTCTGGAGGTGGGAGTCCGAGAGTGGGCGCAGCGTGGCCAGGTCTGGTGAGGGCTCTCTCCTGGTTACAGACGCCGTCTCTCCGTGTCCTCACGAGGCAGAGCGCTCAAGATCTCCCCTCTTCCCGTCCTGTAAGCTCACAGCCCTATTGGAGTAGGGCCCCGTGCATCTAACCTTACTGAATCTCCACTGTCTTCGAAAAGCTCTTTCTCTCGCGTGAATTTAAGTGTTAGCATGTTGCAGAGTGAGGAGGAGAGGTGTGAAAGTCCTAAGGGTGACCTGAAGGAGAGGGGTGGCCTCGGGTTGGATCTTGAACCTTAGGAAGGGCTGGTGCAGGTGGTGATGCCAACAGAGGAGGACCATGCAGCCCAGAAAGAACTTGAACACAAAGGTGTGGGCTTGGAAGTGCAAGGACCTCTGTGGGCGGGGTCTCGGCTGGCGGACCACACTTGGAATGGGCTAATGCTCGCCGGCCAGAACATGGCGAGGACCCAGTGAGGCAGGGTCTGCTGAGCGCCCCGCCAGTACTGAGCAGTCGAGAAAAGGTTTCTCCATACAGAATTTTTAGTCACGTTAGTTCAAAACTTCCTACTGCGTTTCCGCTGCTCAAGTCTAGGAGCTATTTTTTCTTATCTGTATTAATTAATGTTTCTCCAGCACACAGTGCAGACGCCCCATCCTCAATGATGGATAGAATAAGGCTTTCCTGAGCCCAGAAAAGACTTTTGTAATGAGGTCTTTACTTTTATTTCTTCCTGTATTTTTTACAGATTATGACTCGGATGCAATGAGTAGCTCTTACGAATCGTATGATGAGGAGGAGGAGGATGGAAAGGGGAAGAAGACACGACACCAGTGGCCCTCGGAGGAGGCCTCCATGGACCTGGTAAAGGATGCCAAGATCTGTGCCTTCCTGCTGCGGAAGAAGCGCTTCGGACAGTGGACCAAGTTACTCTGCGTCATCAAAGACACCAAACTGCTGGTAAAGCCTGCACACTGATCGCTCTGTGTCAAGTCAGTGGGATTTCCTGGGCACCCTCACTCGATGGCAGTTATACCCAGCAAGGTGAACATCAGCGAGGGGGAGGGAAGCGCAGACTCAGCACATGTGGAGAGCTCACAGTGCCAAGCTGGCCCCCGACAGGCTGTCAGCTGGCACCGCGGACATGGCCGTCTTTAATGCGGAGGGTTCGTCAGCTCCCTAAGGCAAGCAGAGGGCAGAACCTCCCCTCCCGGCAGTGTCTGCGGTTTGTGTTGGGAGAGGCACAGTGCGTAACTTGCCAGGAGTTGCAAGATGGATTTTCTCATTTGTAGTGAGTCAGTGGATTCCTCAAAGCCAGGTCAGAAGTGGGCTGGGCCGGCCTGCGCCGTTCGCAGGGAGCATGGCCAGGACAGGAAATTCTTCTGAAAGCTACAGGCCGATTTTCTCTCTCTCTCTTGTTTTTCCCTTTCTTTCTCTTTCTTTCTTTTTTTCCAACTGAGATGCGGATAGGAGGCTAGCATAAGTAACAGAGGCAGGGACTGGAAACACAGACCCCTGGCTGGAGCGGTTGCTCCAGCAGGGACCTGCTAAGGAAGCAGCATGTGTTGAGGATGGCGTGAGGGGCCCTCCCTTCCCTCCCTCCCTCCCTCCCTCCCTGCTTCCCACCTTCCTTCCCAGCTCGCTTGAGGATTAGAATACGGATTTTAGTGTATATTTTCGCTTTTTGTTCCTCTTTCAAATGAACCTTTAAAAAGATTACTCAAAGCTATTGTTAAAACAGAACACATGAGAAGTTCTGTTTCTGTATGTCACTCTTTAAGGGAGCAGGTGACTCATAGATTCATCTGTGAATCCTGGGAGTCTGATTTACTAGATTCTTAGGACGTTGTATCTTTTTTAATTAAAGATTTTGTTCAGATTTTTTTTTAAAACAGTGAGAGTAGTACATGTTTTTTCCATGTGTGGCCTAAAGTCTTCCAAATTTATAATATGCCAAAAATGATGCCATGAGGGTATTTTAAAGGAAAGAATGAAAAGGAAAAAGATGAGAAAGATGAACATGATCCTTATTAACAGTCTGACATAATGGCTGCAAGATGTGGATGTGTTACATAAACGTTTGAACGCACAGGCGACTCCCGTGGGAGGGGGTCCTGGGCGCACGCGAGAGCCGCTGTGTGGGGGCTCAGCCGTCCGGAGGTGCCGCCCACGTCCACACCCCTCTGCTGCTGTCTGTCTCCACGTCCTCCTCCTCTCCCTTCATTCCTTCCATCTCCTGCCCCAAGTCCCATCTTCACGACCAGGATGATAACACCTACCACTTAGAGTAGTTGTATTTTGGTTCAAAAATGGCCTTTGATCCAACTGTCCAGATGACCCTGCTGACACTGAGGATCGATTAGCAGTGACGATGAAAGCAGATGCTTCCCAAATGTAAACAGTGCAGACACGGAAACGGAATACACAGGCCACACTCTTGCCTTAAATGTTCTCAGTCTGTCTTCCTGCAGGCATCCCATTACCAGTTTCTGGTATATCCGTCCAGAATCCTCCAGAACCTGTTCCCCTCTGTGCCCAGGCAGCTCTGTGGTGGACACTAGATGTGCCCAGAGCCCTTCAGGCCTCAGGGACCTGTTTGCTCCCTTGCAGGGAGGTTGCTGGCAAACAGCTCATGCAAGGCCATGCTGCCTTCCCAGTGGCTCTGAGTCCGACAAGGCCAGGGTGTGACAGTCCAGCCCCGTGGGGGAGCTGAGGCACACGCCAGCTCCAGAGCCCCTCGCGTGCCCACCGACGCCTTCAGTGAGCTGGGTCGCAGCCTCTTCCTTGGCGGTGCTGCTTCTGCCCTGTCTCCTGAAGGCGCTGTTCTCGAGGGCGCCCAGGTCAGCGTCCCGCTGCTGCTCTGCTTCAGAGCCGGCTTCCCTGGGTCCCGCTGCAGCCACCTCCCGATGGCAGTTCCTCTGACCACTGATGACACAGCCTGAGTTTCCTTTCTGTGCCGTCGGTTCCTCTTCACTCACTCAGACGCGAGCAATCTGGTGCACAGGCGTTCACAGCGACCCGAGGTAGTGGGTTCGGGTGTGCTTCTTGTTCTTCCTCTTCAGACGGGGCGACCATCAGCTCGAACTTTTTTCAAAGTGGATGTATCCCATCCGTGTGCCATTCAGGAACCATGGTTGTGGAACTGTAAATAAGTGTTTCTGAAAATAGGGGTCCACTGTCCACTCCTTCAGTAGATGGCTTAGAGTCGGGAGCGTGGGACTCGCCTGGTGGGGCTGGGGGTCCTGGGTCTCCCACAGTTCAACTGCCTGATTTAGGTAAGTTACTTAACCAGAATTACTGGTTACTTAACTAAGTAAGTGAACCAGGTTAACTTACTCTGCAAGACAGGCTTCTGTGGAGGTGAAGTGTACGAGACCTCATGCGATAATGGCACTCGGTACTCGGTAGAGATAATATTTACTATAATTCAAATAAGTAGCAGTAACTCCTTTTACAAGTGAAGAAACAGGCTCAGAAACTGAACCAACTCCCCAGGACCAGGTTAAAGTAGTCACAGAGCTGGGACCTGGGTGTCTGACCTGCGCGGACACATGTATCTCCACGGACGGGTCTGCTCTCAGTGCCCAGGAATGCAGTTAAACCGGGGTGCGGGGACACCTCAGGCAGGGGTTGGATTGGGTCACAGACCAGAATGACAGAAGCTCGGCCCCAGTGTGAGCCCAGCAGTGAGCTCTGCGGAGTGAGCGCAGCTGTGTAGGTGGAGCGGAAGGCGTGGGTTCCTCCGCTCAACTAGGAAGCAAGGCTTCGCAGACGTTCTCATGTGTCATGTGGTGAATCTTACACTCTTACTGAAATCATTTGTCTGTCTTTCAGAAAGAGGGTAGAGATGAGATGAGCAGGTCCCAACGACAGGTTGTGGAATAAAGTACCCAGGGCCATGCTGTTTCCATCTAATCCACTGTGTCCATGTGACTTACTGAGAAAGCCCCACGAGAACTCCAGCCAGGCAGTGCAGGCCCTTCTGTTTCCCGGCGGGTCCCGTCACTGATGGTTGGTAGACTCCCCTGAAGTAGTGAGTCCGTGTGTTTCCACGTGCACGGAGTGAGTGTGCTGTGGAGTCGCTGGGCGTCCCCACATTCAGTCTGACTATCAGATGCATGCCCACGCTCCGTTTTCTTGACGCCCGCACTCGAGCAGCGTCCCTGCCTGGGCTCCCGCGCCCTGACTGGCTCTCTCGTGTCTGACGCAGTGCTATAAAAGTTCCAAGGACCAGCAGCCGCAGATGGAGCTGCCTCTCCCGGGGTGCAGCATCACGTACATCCCGAAAGACGGCAAGAAGAAGAAGCACGAGTTGAAAATCACTCAGCAGGGCACCGACCCCCTCGTTCTTGCCGTGCAGAGCAAGGAGCAGGCCGAGCAGTGGCTGAAGGTACGTGGTCGGTGTTGTTTTTGAGCCGTTTCAGCTGTTCAGAGATCTGTTTTCACTTTGTCGTTTGTTCAAGCATACGCAAACAGGTTAGCCTGAAGAGTGTGGTCTCTGATCGTGGGCTATTCTGATTACTTTCAGGTTAATCACTTAACTCGTGTCTTAAAGGGATCTGGCCCCATGTGCAGGCTGCTGCTTGCACTCTTTCTCATACTTTGATTTTCTTTACTTTCACTTTATTGTGTCTGGATGCAGATTCTTTTTATTTATTCTTTTGGGATTCCTTAGGCTTCTGAAGTCGGCAGATTGTCATCTTTCTAAGTTTTGGAAAAATTTTTCAGTCATTTCTCTTAAACTTTGTCCCATTTTCACCCCTCCCCCTGGCTACATTTAAATATGTTAGACGTTCTCACTGTATTCTGTTCTTCTCTTCTCTTTGTACTTATTATCCTCCCTTTAAAACAATTTTAGTCTGGCTAATTTTTTCTTGTAACTTTCAAGCTCACTGTTTCTCTCTTTAGCTGTGTCGAATCTGCTGTTAAATTGTTCCTGTTCCATGTGTTCTTAATTTGGTTATGGTAGCTTTTAATTCTAGAATTTCCAGTTGTTGCTTTCAGGAGTGTTTGCTTGGCTTTCCAGCGCCATAGCAAGCACACAGCTGCAGTCGTGGCGGAGAGTGTGGGCCCGCTCCTCTACCTGTCGTGCTTGTTCTTACTCAGGTCAGGCTGGCTGCTTGTGCCCGGCTCTCTGATGACCGTGCTGCTCATTGCATTTGGAGAAAAAGTATTTCAGTAATATTTTATACCAGCTTTATTGAGGTATAACCCACATACCATACAATTTACCCTGTTAAAGTACAGGACTCATCGGTACATTCACAGAGTTGTGCAACCATGACCATTAATCTAAATTCAGAACATTTCATCACTCCAAAGAGAAGATCTGTACTCACTATGGTAACAGTCACTGTCCCCACCCCAGCCCAGACAACCACTCATCTGCTTTCTGTCCTTGTAGACTTGCCTGTTCTCTGCATTCCATATGCACACCCATGCAACGTGTGCTTTTGTGGCTCTTCCACTGATAAATGTTTTCGAGGGCATCTGTATTGTAATATGCAGTATGTCTTCCTTTGGATTGCTTTTATGTCATAGCTAAGCAACTATTGTGATCCAAGGTCCTAAAATTTTCTACCTATGTTTTCTTCTAATAGCTTTATATGGTGTTAGCTCTCAAATTTAGCCTGTGATGTGTTTTATTAGTATAAACTGCTATTGTCCCATATTGTCATAAACTTATCATCTAGGTATCACTGTTTTGAAATGCACTTCAACACAGCGCTCAGGTGTCTCCTGAGTAAGGTGCACACGCCCTTGGCAGGTGTGGCAGTATGAGGACTGTTTAGCCAGGACAGGACACGACACACACCTCGAGAGCCGTGCCAGGTTTCTTTCTCTCCTGTTGCTCTGCAGCTCCCAGTCCCAGCAGCTCCTGCCAGAATGAACTGACTGTGTGCGAGTGTGTACAGATGCCAAAGACATGAGCCATTCTGTAGGGTCGGTCTGGAGACAAGAGCCGGCTTTCCCAGAAACACAGTGGTCAAGTTTCCTTAAAAATGTGCAGAGATTGTGTTTCTGGAGATGAGGGCTCGAGTGAAAAGCAAACAAAAAATACCACAGAACATATAACAATTTGTTTTTTGAAGTATTTGTGATTCTGAATTTGGTTTCAATTCTTTTAAACACATTGAACTTCTCACAGAACATGGCTCTTTAACATGAAATCGTAATACAAAAACTTCATTTGTAGCTGTTCAAAGCATTTGGTGGTAAACCTTTTCTTCTTCTTAATTAGCTCTGCAGGGGCAGTGTGGTCGTAAATGGAGATCAGAGTAGAGAGTTTAATGAAAATACCTGAAAAACGTGGCGGCAGAGACTAGCTTTTGCTCCTCGGTCTTTTCAAAGTGCCTTTCTCTGCACCTGGAACATAACTATTGTTTAGTCTGGGGAAAGGTCGTCACCTGGTGATGCAGGGTGCCACGAGTCACCCCTCGCACAGCCCGGGCCTGTCTGGGTCTCTCTGCACTGAATGCGAGGCGTGGGGAGACAGTGGCCGCTCCAGGGCTTTGAGTTCGAGCAGGGGACGGAGGGAGACCCAGACTGAGTGATCCATCTGAGCATGTCGATGTGCGCGCCAGTTTAGCAGGAAGGGGATTTCGTCAGTGAGCTTCCGTGGCTCCGTCGCCTCATCTGACTTCAGGGTTACTTAGTTCCCCGAACCTCTGCTGGCAAACAGGACCTGGCAGGCACGGGGACAGTCCAGAGACCCGGAGTGGGAGTGGTGTCTGAGTGGTGATAGCCAGGGCAGGCTGTGTTGGTGCTGCTGCGCTCCCCACCCCCCGCCCCTTTCAAAATCTTCTCCCTGAGGGTTTTCGGAATCTGTACAGAGGACTAGGTCGAGTGTCGTGAGGATTTGCTGACTGTGACGGCAGGTTTCTTTTGTTCTGCTTTCTATTCATTCTTTTTTTTAAATAGACAATTTCAAGTCCAGTTACTTCTGTTTTTAAAAAATTTGTATTTATTGATTTTTTTTTTTTTTAGAGAGAGAGGGAGGGAGAGAGAGATAAAACATTGATGTGAGAGAGAAGCATCAGTCGGCTGCCTCCTGCACGCCCCCTACTGGGGATCAAGCCTGCAGCCTTGGCTTGTGCCCTGACCAGGAATCAAATTGGGACCTCTCAGTCCAAAGGACGAGGCTCAGTCCAATGAGCCACACCTGCTGAGCTCAGTTTACTTCTTCATTCCCTTCTTTCTTTCTTTAATGAAACCTTTTTTAGTTGCTGTTACGTGCTAGGCATTGGGTTACCAACATAAGGAGACGTAGCCCTCGTATGAGATGAGCACAGCTTTGGACAGGACAGATCTGTGGATCTGCGATGCACACTGCACCATCGTCCGACGGAGGAATGTGGTATGGCGGTGGCACGTGGAGCGGGCAGCCATACCACAGTCCCACGTGGGAGGACAGAACGGGCCTCCTGGTCACGTGAGACCTGAGCTGCGTCTAGAAGGATGAGCACACGTCCTCCGAACAACCATCCGCATGACCACGTCCAGGAGGCTGGCAGGAATAACGAGCAGCAACCAAGGGCTGTGTTGACTCTTCCCCTAAAAAAGACAGAAGGGAGACAGCTGTTTCTTGAGTGACAGCTTTGCTGTAAATAGATCTCTACGGGCTGTGTTTGTGGGGCAGCCTTTTCATGCAAAACAGAACTCAGGAACTTCAGGTCTGTTTGTATAATTGAACATCTCAGTTATTTAATGCTGCGATCCTGGGAAAGAGCTCAGGTTCTGGGCAAGGGCTGGGCGGCACGTTCCAGCTTCGTCATTGCGTGTCGCAGTGACCCCCAGGCGTGTCTGCATTTTTTGGAAGAGGGAGGTGAGGTGCAAAAGTCTAGATTGCTCAGCCTGATGTGTGGAAGAAGCGGGGCACTGGGCTTGAACCCCAGTTTCTGTCTGACGCAAACGCCAGGAGTTCCCATCATAGACTCTTTCCCTAGGGCGGGGATTGTCCGCGGTGCAAGGCCTGACCGTTTCGTCAGGGTGACTCTTTCCCTGAGATTGTCCAGTGACAAACGACAACTACCAGCACAACTAGAGCCGTCTGCTGCGAAGGGTTCAGAATTACACCTTTTTTTTTTGTCAGCTCGGAAAAATATATTTTTTGGTGTGCTGCAGAATTTTAGACATTAGTCTATGTGCCATGAGATGAAAAGAGTTGAAAATTGCTGGTCTAGAGAGAGGACAAAATCTTGTTTTTAGATTCATTAAAAATGTGCCTTCTGAACTAAAAGTTTGATGAGACACACAGGTGGTGAGGAAATAAAAGTCTACGAGAAAAAGTAGTGCAGTCAGCACGAAGTGGAGAAACCGAGGCAGACACGCCCTTTCCCCTGCGAGGCCTGTAGAAGGCGTGGCGCCTGCGCTGATCACCCCTCAGCATCAACACGGACAAACACATTGCAGCAAACTCTGGGTTTTTTCGTTTTCTTCTTTCCCGTTTTGGTCTCAAGTGTGGACATTGCTCCGTTTTCGGAGAGCAGCTGAGCAGCAAGATGGCTGGAAACCCTGCCCTGGCCTGAGGCCCTGGCTCCCGTCCAGCCCGCGCAGGCCCAGCAGGCTCGGATATGTGGCTGAGATCATATTGCAAAATTATTGCAGATATCTGGACTTGGGCGTTTCTTTTCTGTCCAGAAGACACTTGGGTTGAACTCAGATTGCAGCTAGTTCCAAAAAGAATAGAAGACATTTTGAAAGATTTGCCTGCTAACTTTTCTGTTAGAAGAATGTGAGTTCCCCTGATCGGGACCCTGGTCTGTCTTATCTCCTGCACACTCCCAGCCATCAGAGCCACGCCCAGCTCACATGGTGCTCAGTAGTGACGGGGACAGTGTGGCAGGGTGGCTGTGAACGCCAGCGGCACATCTGTAAGCGCAGGTCAGGACTGGTTTCCGAGCTCTCCACACACGTCACGGACGCTCACGTGGACTGTTGACGATGACAGCAGCCCCGTGCTCTGAACGTACACATCCCAGATGTTGGCTTAGGCTTTTTGCATAGAGGGTCTCATTTTCTCTGAATTAAACTAGAGTTAAATAGCAACATGGGTCATCTTGGCCCTCCTTCCTTTGCTAGTGAGGATACTGAGGCTCAGAGAGGTTAGAAATTTCAGCCAGTAACTGAGTCACTGAGCAAATAGAACCTGTCCCCCAGGATCGCTCTGACTCCCACAACAAATGCACTACCCTTGCACCCTCCCTGCCTTCTCTAGATGCCATTCTGCTCTCCCCACTCACCTCGACGTACACATTCCCTCCCTGGGGCCCTCCAGCGCCGCCACCTGCCCCCCTTACAGGTGGACTCTGGGAGGTCTCTCTGCTGGGCTGGCTCTCCCAGCTCGCTCTGTCTTCCCTGCTCCTAGGAGGTGCCCTCCCCAGGTTTTCCTCCAGCTGCCCAGGCCAAGCACAGACTTCTGCCAGCTCCCTCCTTTGTCTCGGCCCCACCTGCTGACCAGCTCTGGGTCTTTCTTCTTGGTCTGCTTGGTCTCACCCTCCAGTCCAGGCTCTGAGCCTTAGCCTTTTGCCACCGACTGCCTAGTTTATTTCTAGCTCCGATTGGAAATATGCCTTCCCCTCCAAGTATATCCACCTGGCCTCCCTTTCACCCACCCTGTTTCTGTCTTTTCCTGCTGAGTAGACCGCCAGAGTCCAGGCTCTGACTTGGACTTGACCATTTGCCTCATGCCCCACATCTAATCCATTGCAGGACCTGTTGAGTCTTCCTCCAGAGCACGTCCTGAATCCCTTCCCTCCTCCCCATGCCCCTCACTTGTCCTGTCCTCTCTTCCTGGCACCTGTGTCATTTCTTCCCACACCAGCAGGAGCACTCTCTACCACCTTCTAATAACCGGAAGTTCATTATGGTGGAGGCGCTGTCTCGAGGCATTTGCGGATTAGAAGGTAGTGCTGTTGTCTGTGCTATTCAGATGGGAAGCTGAGGCGCAGAGCAGGTGATCCGTTGCGAGGTAGAAGCCAGGATGAACCCAGGCAGCAGGGTTCCAGAGGCCACCCTTGGCCTCTGTGCGGTATTGCTCCCCAAAAAGTGAATTCACCCTCCTGTCCTTGAGGTGCTCCCAGGCTTCCTCCTCCTGACCTCTTCAACCCACACAGGCCACATGGCCCTCTGGGTGTCCCTAAGCACCCATGGCAGGCTTTTGTACCTGCTGTTCCACTGCCTAGGACCCTTTCCACCGGGTCCTACGCGCCGGATGCTCGGCCAGTCAGCTCGCAGCTCACACGCCGTCCCACCGGGCCTCTCCTGAGGTCTCGCTCTGGGTCGGCCACGCTTTTGTTAAAGGCCACTTGGTTCTTCACAGCGCTTGCTGCTGTCTGACGCTACCTGCATTTTCTGGGGATGTGCATTGTCCTCGATGATGCTCCATCTTCCTGGAATGGGAGCCCCATGGGAGCAGGACCTCGTGGACATTGTTCCCCTCGGACCCCAGAACCTGTGTCAGTGGCAGGAGTGGATAAGTAGTGGGTGGATGGGCGACCAGATGAACACATGGTGGCTGGAACTCAAGGCAGTGCTGTGACCCCCGGGCTTCTTACCACACCGTGTGCCTCTGTTCGTCTCAGGCTGCCACCCTCGTGTAGGTGTCTCTGTCTTTGGGTGCACTCACGATGTCGACACTTATTCCAGGTGATCAGAGAAGTCTACAGTGGCTGCAGCGGGCCGGTGGAGGCAGAGGGCCCCCCGCCGTCGAGCTCCCCGGTGCACAAGGCAGAGCTGGAGAAGGTAAGGCGCGCTCTTGCTAGGAAGGGCAGCCTCAGGGCTCAGGCCTCCCTGGGCATGCCGCGTCCCCCGAGGGCTCCAGCACCGCTGGCTGGGAAAGACAGGAACGAAGAATGCGTTCCTGCTTCCTGTGCACCTCAGGTGCCGCTCGGTGCGAGTCTTGAGTTGGCCATTTTACAGGCTGCGTGGCTGTCTTATTCCCAGCTGCAGAGAGGAAGGGGATTGAAGGTGGTGAGGGCCCTGTGCACGGTCCCTGAGCCGTCCCATGGCAGAGTGAAGTCCGAATGCAGGCCTGCGTGCTTCTCCCTGCGTACATGGGCCTCCGGCACCCCAGGCCACGCTCCCGGCCCTCTCCGTGGTTCCCTTGTGGGAAGGCCCGCCAGGGCCCAGCAGTGGGCAGGGCTAGCCCTTCTTGTCAGAAGCGTGGACACTCATCACTGTCCTGCCGCACACCCAGCCCTGTCTCACTGTCTGTCCCTACACAGACCTCGTGTCCGAGGAGACCCTGGCTTCCTGCCAAGCAGTGTCTGTGGGTGGCTGTGTCCCAGGGACTCGGAGTCCTGCCTGTTTAGCGCTGCCAGTGAACTGACCCTTTCTGTCCATTCTTGTTTCAGTGCAGGGAGACGGAATCAGCAGGGTGTGTGTGTGTGTCTGTGTGTGTATTTATATGCGATTTATACAAGGAGTTTTTTATGCATAAGGTTTTCCATAAGGAATTGACTCCTGTGATTATGGAGGATGGCAAGTTCAAACTCTGCAGAGTAGGCCAGCAGATGACGTCTGCAGGCCGTCTGCAGGAGAGCCCTCCCTTGCTCGGGGAGGCTGGCCTTTGAGTCTGTGCGGGCCTTCAACGGACTGGACGAGGCCCCACCATAGGGAGCACAGTCTGCTTTCCTCAGCTCACTGAGCTAAATGTTAGTCTCACCCCAAAACCCCTCCGAGCTGACACACAAAATGAACCTCATGACCCTCACCCCGATGTCGCAGACCTGTTTCTTTTTTCCCCGATTCCAAATTAATACCTGCCTGCCATAGAAACTTCCAGAAGTTCAGGGGAACACAAATAGGAATAGTCACCCATGAACCCACCACACAGAGGATGCAACTCCCAACACTGTGCTTAACTGGTTTTTCCTGCTCATGTGTTCCTTTCATAGTTTGAATAAACTGAAACGGACATTTCATGCTGTCCCGGCCGGTGTGGCTCAGTGGACTGAGCAGCGTCCCCTGGACTGAGAGGTCCTGGTGCGAGTCCCTGTCAGGGCACATGCCCGGGTTGTGGGCTCGATCCCCAGGAGGGGGCGTGCAGGAGGCAGCTGATCCATGTTTCTCTCTGATATGATGTTTCTATCTTTCTAAAAAAAAAAAAATATATATATATATATATATATACACACATTTATTTTATATAAATATATAATTTATTTTATATAAAAAAATATTTTATATATATATTTTTAAAATTTTTATGCTGCCTTTTTTCTACTTTATATTATTACCAATTTTCCAGGCTTTTGAAAACTAATAATAAACGAATGTTTTTGCATTTTCAGCAGCTGAATAATATGAAATTCAGATGACCCTTCTATCATGTTGCTTTAGCTTTTTTGTTTTGTTTTGTTTTTTGGCCATTTAAAATAACCTGGCATCTTTTTATAACTTTTTGCTGTTTCTCTGTCACTTGAAAATAGACTTCTAGAACCTATATTACTAGACCAAAGGGTAGAATTGTTTTTAAGACTTGATCCATGTTGCTAAGCAAATTGCTTTCCAAAAGGTTGGTCCACTTTCACTTCCCATGAGCAGTGCATCAGAGTTTCTGCCTCGCCCACTCTCCCGGGCCTGGCGGGGCCTCACTCGGCTTGGTTTCCAGGGCTGCTAGGTGGCTGCCAGGCCCGTGACCTGGTTCCCAGGAGCACTTCCCAGCCTGAGAGCTGGGCAGCACCCGCTCTCAGTGTGGCACTGGGACTTGGCGCGTGCAGGTTCCCGCCGAATGCCACTGGCTCTTTCAGCGTGGCTGTTCCCAGACCCACATGGCTGCAGATACCTGTCTGTGTCCTTGGCCAGCATGGCCAGACCGCTCACTGAGCTGAGTATGTGCGTCCCTGTGCCCCGGTGTCCACTTGTGGCTGGCCCGTCTGTGCGGCACTGGCGGACAGGGATCTGGGGTGGAGCCTGCACCCTCCACCTGGCTCCGCGGGTTCTCTGGTTGGAATGGAAGGGTTCCCGCTCTAAACAGTGTTTCTTCTTCGTCGTCGTCTTTTTTTTTCATTGAGTTCATTGGGGTGACATTGGTTAATAAAATTACATAGGTTTCAGGTGCACAATTCTTCAATACATCATGTTTATATTGCATTGAGTGTCACCGTCCCGAGTCAAGTCCCCTTCCGTCACCATGCACTTCCCCTTCACCCTCTTCTGCCGCCCCCCACGACGTGTCCTCTTCAGATACCAACTCAGAGTCCAGTTATGCTCCTGAAGCCCAGGTGCTGGGACGGACGCGACTGCAAGTGTTCCGGGGCCTCGACGACTCTGTGGCAGCTCACTGTGTACCCTGAGCACACTTGTCACAAGCAGATGCTGGGCGCGCGCCCAGTCATTCACGGGAGGAAATCCAGTGGACGACGTAGTATTCACTTCTAGAAGCGTAGTGTGGTTTGGTGAGGCAGTTGTTTTGTAATCCTAGTATTTTTCGAAGTTACTTGGGAGAAAAGTGAGTGGAATGCATGGCAGGTGTTGGGCAACTTCAGTGGGTTTCCTTTGTTCCTGCGGTGTGTTCAGGCCTCTGATAACAAGCCAGCCAGCTAGTCCCCGTTGTCACCGAGCCCTGACTATCCCTGGGTGGTTGTGAGTTCGGCCCCATTTTCTTTCATCTTTGAGATAACTTTCGATTGATCTATGATATGTTACTTGGCCAGCGTGACTGTTGTAAGAATAATTCAATCCTTTTTGTCCTTACAGAAACTGTCCTCAGAGAGACCGAGCTCAGATGGGGAGGGTGTCGCAGAAAATGGAATCACTGTGTGTAATGGGAAAGAACAAGGTGAGTTCTGCCCGTGCCAAAAACATAAACAGAACAGAAAACCAGAATCCTACACACTGGGGCCAGTTTTATAAACTGGTTGCATGAAAAATGTCCTCAGTAACTCAGTTATACAGATATCGTCCTGTGTCACAGACGGGAATCGGAGAGGCCCCTTGGTAGCCAGCAGCCCTCTGACCTGCTGTCCTGAGAGGCGCCCTCTGGGAATTTAAACTGGTGTCTCACAGAGTTGTTTCCTCACTTGACTTATGGCGGGGACAGCGGATTCTCCGTAAGGACCTTGGCAGCGAGGCGGGACCCACGCGCCGTCCCGCTGCTGCCCCGCCCCCTCGTGACCAGCCCTCCTCTTCCACGGCCTCGGCTTCCCCATCTGCGGTGAGGGGCAGACTTGTAGATTTCTGAAGTCTCTCTTTTTAAAAAGATTTTCTGAAGATTTACTTTCATTAAAAAAATTATTTTAAATTGCATTAAAATGCACATAACATGGACTTACCGTTGTGACCACTGTCACATGCCCAGGTCAGGGATGCGGCGCATTTGCAGTGCTGGGCAGCCATCACCCCCTCCATCTCCAGAACTTTCCATCCTCCCAGCCTGAACTCTGTCCCCATTAGACACTCACCCCACCTCCTCTCCCAGGCTGTCTCTGTGGCTCTGACCGCTCGTGACCTCGCTTCAGGGGAACCACACAGTGGGCCCTCACATGGCTGGCTTCTTTCTCTCCCGTGAAGTCCTCCAGATCTGTCCATGGGTAGCAGGTATTAGGCTCTCCTTCCTTTCTGAGGCCGAATCACAGTCCACTGTGTGGATGGACCGCGCTTTACTGTCGTTCCTCTGTGAATGGACACGGGTTGTTTCCCCCTTGCTGTTGTGAGTGAGGCTGTTTGAGCATGGCGCAGACACGGCTGGCGGCCCCGTGGTGAGCGAGGCTGCTTGAGCATGGCGCGGACACGGCTGGCGGCCCCGTGGTGAGCGAGGCTGCTTGAGCATGGCGCGGACACGGCTGGCGGCCCCGTGGTGAGCGAGGCTGCTTGAGCATGGCGCGGACACGGCTGGCGGCCCCGTGGTGAGCGAGGCTGCTTGAGCATGGCGCGGACACGGCTGGCGGCCCCGTGGTGAGCGAGGCTGCTTGAGCATGGCGCGGACACGGCTGGCGGCCCCGTGGTGAGCGAGGCTGCTTGAGCATGGCGCGGACACGGCTGGCGGCCCCGTGGTGAGCGAGGCTGCTTGAGCATGGCGCGGACACGGCTGGCGGCCCCGTGGTGAGCGAGGCTGCTTGAGCATGGCGCAGACACGGCTGGCGGCCCGCCTTATGGAGGAGGCACTGCACACGGTGAGACGCGCCCTTGCCGGCCTGTGGTTCTTTGAGTTTTGACCAACACTTGCTGGTGTGTAACCATCACCATGGTCAAGGCAGAGCATCCCGACCCCATGCAGTCCCTGTGCTCCTCTGTATTCCTCCCTCTCCCTGCCCCTGGCAGCCATGGGTCTGTTTTCTGCCATTTACCAGCCTGACCTAGGAGTGGAATCCATAGTCACAGGCTTCCGGTCTGGCCTCTCAGACTTAGCATCATGCGCTTGGGAGGCACCGTGTTGCAGGCGCTCCAGAATCCATATGGAAGTGCAGCGGCTCACCCTTCACCGGCGGGCAGCTGCTTGTTTGCAGCTGCAGCAGTTGGGGCTGAAGCTGCTGTGGACATTCACCATCAGGAGTTTGCATGGACATGTTTTTGTTTCTCCCGGTTAATACGTAGGAATGGGGATGGGGATCCTTGGTCACGTGCACCCTCACCAGCCGTGGTCGCTGTGTGTCGTGTTGGTCTTTGCCTTTTGGCCATTTGGATAGCTGTGCAGCGTTGTGCAGCCGTGGCTTCAGCTTGCATCTGTGTGTGACAACAGCATTGACCTGACCCTGGCCAATGAGCTAGTTTGCCATCCAGATGTCCTCTTTGGTGAAGTGTCTATTCACATCTTTTGCCCATATTTTTATTGAGTTGTTTGCTCTTATTATTGACTTATGAGAGTTCTTTATAGCTTCTGAGTACAAGTCCTTTATGAGACGTGATTTGCAAAGAATTTCCTTCCCAGTGTGTGGGCTGGGTGGAGAGGAGGGTGGGGTGTGTGGGGGGCAGGAGTGTTCCCCATGCAAAGCCCACAGCCTCTGTGCCTGCCCCGCAACCTAGGCTTCCTAGACGGGCATCTGCCCGCCTGCCCACCTGCACTCTGCTGCCAGAGTGGAAGGGGCGTCTCCTAGCTCCTAGCAAGGTGAAGTCACTTTCAACCACATAGCAACCCAGGCCGTTAAGAGTCTTGGAACCCAAATTGTCTGGACTATTGTAATATTACAAGGCTCATGCCTAAAGGTCATGGCTTCTGCTTTGCCAGTGTGATTTTTCTGCTAGTTATGTCTGAGTGTAATTTTGGTCCTCTCCATCCGAAGTTACTCCGTGGAAGGTATTATCTGTCGCCCACAGGGCACATTGTGTGTAATCAAAGCCAGGAAAGCTATCTTTGAGGGTGCCCTGGAGGAGACCAACATACAGTCTCCGGGTTCCTGCCAGGGTGCCGAGGCGCAGCAGATGCTGCTATGGTTGGTCTCTTGCTCACTGTCTTCTCCCAGGGTCCCTGTAAAAGTAGCTTCTGGGGAACAAATGCGTGTCTCTGTGTACATGGAAGTGGGTCTGTCCTATCTAAACTGCTCCTGTTGTTGTTTTTTAAGAGGAGCAGCCTTCTATACTTTGTAAAGGTGACCTTGATTCCAACACTTTTTTACCTGTCATGATGCGTTGTATATAGTATACACTCAATTAATAGTTCCTGCAGGAAGTCGATAGTTAAACTACATTCTGACCTTCTCTCTTACCTTTCACTCTTGTGGCTCACTCTTGACAATTGGCAGCTGAGAGTTTTCCATGATGGTCCCTTTGTCTCGGCCATGTCGTGACTCAGACAGCAGCTTTGAATATTAGACCTTGATTAGGCACGGAAATAGTCCAGACCCTGTGCGGTCAAAGCCACAGGGAATGACTCTGAAACTCCTGTTTCTGCTTTCAAGGTGAATGATATGCCCTGTACGTAACACACCGGTGCACTGTGATCTTGGGTGAATTAGTAAACATCTCGCTGATACTGCCGCGGGCGTGTGATGCGTGCGAGGAATCCAGGTCTCGGCACCGATCCGTACAGAAGCTTCCACTGTCCCCTGCGAGCACTGCACATGTTCACATTTAATCTTGTGCTGTGGCTTTGTTGACAACTTACTGAACAATATTCCAGTGATATTAACCAAGTTCCCAAAGGCCGGCATACAGCACATGCTCAATAAGTAAAATGGGGGAAGGAAAGTTGGCTATGACTTATGCTTTAGTTTGTTTTTCTAATTTAAGGTCTATAATTAAACATGCTTTTTTGTTGTTATTTTTGACAGTTAAGAGGAAGAAAAGTTCCAAATTAGAGGGCAAGGGAACCGTGTCTAAAGTCACTGGGAAAAAAATCACCAAGATCATTGGTCTGGGAAAGAAAAAGCCATCAACCGATGAACAGACCTCCTCAGCCGAGGAAGACGTGCCCACTTGCGGTAAGAGAGCTCTCCCGGTGCGCCTGAGTCCGTGATCCCTCCCCCAGGTCAGACAGCTCTCCCGGTGCGCCTGCGCCCGTGATCCCTCCTGCAGGTCTCTCGGTGAGCCTGCGCCCGTGATCCCTCCTGCAGGTCTCCCGGTGAGCCTGCACCTGTGATCCCTCCTGCAGGTCTCCTGGTGAGCCTGCACCCGTGATCCCTCCTGCAGGTCTCCCGGTGCGCCTGCGCCTGTGATCCCTCCTGCAGGTCTCCCGGTGAGCCTGCGCCCGTGATCCCTCCTGCAGGTCTCCCCGTGAGCCTGCGTCCGTGATCCCTCCTGCAGGTCTCCCGGTGAGCCTGCGCCCGTGATTCCCTCCCCCAGGTCAGACAGCTCTCCCGGTGAGCCTGCACCTGTGATCCCTCCCCCAGGTCAGACAGCTCTCCCGGTGCGCCTGCGCCCGTGATCCCTCCTGCAGGTCTCCCGGTGAGCCTGCGCCCGTGATCCCTCCTGCAGGTCTCCCGGTGAGCCTGCGCCCGTGATCCCTCCTGCAGGTCTCCCGGTGAGCCTGCACCCGTGATTCCCTCCCCCAGGTCAGACAGCTCTCCCGGTGAGCCTGCACCTGTGATCCCTCCCCCAGGTCAGACAGCTCTCCCGGTGAGCCTGCACCTGTGATCCCTCCTGCAGGTCAGACAGCTCTCCCGGTGAGCCTGCACCTGTGATCCCTCCCCCAGGTCAGACAGCTCTCCCGGTGAGCCTGCGCCCGTGATCCCTCCTGCAGCTGCCTCATGTCATGACCGTCTTGTTCTTTCATTGGGGCTTTTCTGAGTCAGGCTGGTGATCATTTGAATTGGGGGGAATGTTTTACACTTTTATCACTTTGTGTGTGTGTGTGTGTGTGTGTGTGTGTGAATCCTCACCTGAGGAAATATTTTCCATTGATTTTTAGAGAGTGGAAGGGATAGAAGGAGGAGGATGGGAGAGAGAGAGAGAGAAACATTGATGTGAGAGAGACACATACATTAATTGGCTACCCCCCAAATGCACCTGACCTGGGCCAGGGATTGACCCTGTAACCCAGATTCATGCCCTTGACTGGGACTTGAACCCGAGACCCTTTGGTGCTTGGGCTGATGTTCTAACCACTGAGCCAAACCAGCCAGGGCATTTTATCACTTACTAATAAAAGACTTTGCAGGGGTTTGAATGGATCTCTGTGGTTCTTTCAAGATGAAAAACAAAAGTCTCTCTGTACCATGAAGGCCTCCCGAGGTCTTTCAAGTGTTTTAAACTGGAATGGTACAGGAGCTGATGAAGGGAGGGGGTATGAAGGATGGCCAAGCACTTAAGGGGTTGAGGTCAGTTCTTTCCCTTGGCTGAAGTGAAACCCAGACTTTCCTATAATGCTCCATGCCCCAAACCCCAGTCTCAAACCAGCTGTGTGAGGGTCTCTGCACCAGTCTCCCACCCGCAAGCACTCTCTGAGCAGCGCCCTGCGTCAGGGCTGTGTTAGGGCGCGGCGTGCCTGGTGCCCGAGGCCCTGCCCTCCAGCGCCTCCAGTCTGGTAGCAGAAGGCAGGCCTGAGGCAAGCGGGTGGAGATGAACACGCGGTCAGGGAGAGGAGACCGTGGGGCCTCTGGACAAGCGCGATCACGTGATGTTTCCTGAGCAGCCACGCGTAGAGGAGCCGGGAGACCCTTTAGGAGAAAACCCTGCGAAGTTGAATGACAGATATTTGCCTGTGTTTAAAGACTTAGGGTTGGGCAGTAGTTTTCCTCGTGCACTGCAGCCACCTTGCTGAATTAAACCCTTGGGGCAGGTGTGACGTGGAGGGCAGGGGAGCCTGAGTGTGGGTGCCACGCCCTCTCTCCTCTCTGCCTCTCAGCGTAGCACAAGGCACAGGCCATGGTGGGGCGTCCCCTCTTGCACTCGCCCTGGGGAGGAGAGAGGGTTAGGGAGTAAAAATACAGAGGGAATTATCTACCCCAAAGTGACTGCATTTTTAGCTTTTGTTTTTAAAACTGCTATAGGTCAGTGGAGGAAATAGAAGTTCTTTCATGAAAAACAAACATTCATATGGAAAGCAACTTGGAGACTGTGATCCGACCCCTTCACCGATGAAGACACTGGGCTCAGAGAGGCCTGTGCCTTGTCCAGTCCCAGCTGGGACAGAGCCCTGACCCAGCTCTTGATTCCCTGTGGCTCAGGCCATCTCCATCTCTCTCCATGTCCCCACCTGCTCGTCAGTCCTAATTAATAGCCTGGACGGGGTGTCTGCAGCCCCAACTGTGCTCCTGTGGGCTTCTGCCACCTGCCTAGTGGCATCTTCTGTCCCTGCTAAGAGAACATGTTCTGTCCTCAAGATTTTAAAATTGTCACCTGGTTTCTTGCTGGGGCAAAGGGACAAGAGGAATCTGTGGAGAGATAAAGGGAGTGACTGTTCAGCTATGTCAGTGTTCCAGACAGAAAGGTGGCTGGACCGAGGCCCAGGCACTGTCCCACCAAGCTGAGTCCCCACAGCTGCTCTCTGTCCTGCGGGAGGGCGTGCCAAGGGGGCGGGCGGAAGGGCTGTGCAGCCCAGGACAGGAGCGCGCCCGAGCCCCGGCCTTGAGTCTGGAACTGTTGTCGCTTTATGAACACAGCTGTTGTCGTCAGGGCATGGGTCTCACCCTCCCTCTCACCCCGCCAGGGCTGTCTGCTGTCGACCAGCATGTACACCCCCTACCTGGCCACCCTCTGCTCTGGACCCTCCAGGCCACCAGGTGGACGTGTGGACTCAGGCTGGGCTTTTAACAAACGGCTCTTTGCTCCTCATTTAAGGGCCTCTAACAATCTTGTCTCAACTCCATTTCTAACTTCTCCTAAGCCACTGGATGAGGGTTCAGGGTTCATTTGTCCTGTGTTGGGTCCCCAGCACCCAGCACAAAGCCCAGAGGTAGCGGCAACTCAGGAAGCACGTGCCGGCTGGATGGATCGCCTTAAGCGAATGGCACACCCTCTGCGCCACAGGTTCTTCATCTGTGGGGCTCGATGCCGAAGTCACTGTTTCCATGAGACTCGGCGCACTGAGCCCGTGCCTAGCTCATCACCTATGCACAGTAAATGGTTTCCCTCTGACTTCTTTCTTCACCTTATGTGCTTTAAAACCCTGAGTGTACCGGACGTATCCAAGTGCCAATGAGGAGCAGAGACTAAGGAATATCGCAGCTGAGCGCAAGGAAGGGCCCCAGGATGCTGGGATGGGGGGTGTGGGGTCAGGATAACCTGAGCTGGTTTGAAGGACTGCTGGGTATTTCTGGGGTCGCTTTGGCTCTAGCATGCTGTGGCTTTGTGAAGCCTTCAACAACAGGAGCCTCTAGTGGATGGCGGGAAGGTGACCCGCTGCTCTGTCACAGTCTGGCCCACAGAAGGCCCGGTGACGCGCAGTCACAGGCAGGAGAGCATTCTTGGTGTGAGTCGTCGTGTCGGGTGTTGGCACACGACCTTGGCACCTGTGCCTGTTGGAGGACGCATGCCAATGCTGGGAGGGAGGTGCTTCGGGGTCGGCAGGGCCAGGATGGGCGGTGGGTGGCATCTGGACATGAGGTGCCCTCCCCACAGCACCCTCTGCTGCTCCTCCGGGGCCCCTTTCCCCGGCCGGCTCCTCTCAGCTGATTCTAAACCAAGACCTACTGGGATGGAAGTCCTCTCCGAAATGTGGGCAAAGCACAGTGGCCGCTAGGTAGCCCCACTTTCTGCCCTCGAGAGGGAACAGCGGATGCCCAGCCCACTCCTGCTAGGCAGCTGGCCGCCCTCTGCAGCTGCCCGAACGGAGAGCCGCCGCCCTGGGCCTGAGGCCACTGGCCCTGTCCCGGCAACTGAGTGCGGCAGTGTTGTGTGTGCCCCTCCTGTGTGCTTGTTTACTCTCGGGCCCGTAAAGGCAGCCCTGTAGTTCTAGCGAAGCCTCATGAACTCTTGCCACAGTTTTACAAGAAAATGGAGTTCTTTCGAATTTGGAGAAAAATAATCTTAAAACTGAAATTGAACTGAAATTCCCGAATTGTTAAGATAACCGTAACACTGAAATGACCCAGGCGAGCCTGTGACCCTGGTCAGCCTGGAGTTCTTGCTGGGACGTAGTCAGGGAGCCGGGCTCCACTGTGGCTCCCCCTGGTGGTGGGTGTGCTCCAGCAAAACAGGCGCCGGATGATGGGCCTCTGTCAGCTCAGTCCATAGGCCCCGCTGCTGGTTTGCATCGGGAAGTGTAGGGACCTTGGGACCTACCCTCCGCCTCCAGGTTCCTCATGGGTGGTCCGCATTCCTGTGTGGTCATTGCCCTGCTCCCTCCCCAGCGTCTCGGAGCACAGGGCAGCGTGCTGGGCAGGCGAGGCCTGGGCCATGTGTGGGCAGCTGCGTGGAGCTGACTGCACAGCACCCGAGGGCATTAGAGTGTGCGCGTTTCATAGGGAGCCGTGCTCTGCGCAGATGGGAAGCTGTCCAGTAGGCTCATTCCTTTTGTGACTCAAATGTCAAAAAAGTCATATCATTTGGTGACTTGTGGCCAGATTCAGCCAGGGAAGAAAATACCATGAAGCCTTCCCCTGTTCAGGGTGGCAGAGCTGTCCCCAGAAACTGCCGTCCCTGCGCTGAGGACACGGGTGAAATCCGAGGCTGGAAAGGAAGGCGTCTTACCGAAGGGCAGACGGCCTCAGGCCGCCTCTCCCGCTTCAGTTCCTCAGTGGACAAGCCTCCCACTTCCCTGTCAGGATTCTGTCACCTCCTGGTCAGGGCCAGGCTCCTGCAACAGTTGGGGTGGGCTGTGACCGGGTCCCTGGGCTTCTAGGTGTTCGTTTCTCATGCTCCCTGCCCGGCCAGACCTCTCCTTCCCCAGGCTGGAGAGGCTCCCTGCCACTGAGCCTGTCCCTCCAGCCATGGGACGCTTCCCCTGTCCTCCTGGTCTAGCCTGGCAGTGCCCACGGCTTAGTGTCGCCAGGCCGCCGTGTCAGGCATGCTCACAGAACACTGACGATGTGTGCAGTGGCGGTCACTTCACAGAAGTTTAAAGGACTGGGCTTGCAGTGTGGTTCATTCTGGGGCGATGCCACAGCGCAGACAGCACGGGTCCTCGGGGCCGCTGCTCGTGTGCCGCTGTTAGAGCACTTGCAAACAGTTTTACAGAATAAATCATGGATCCATCGCTGAATAAAGAGTAACAGCTCTTCATCTGCCACGCTAGTGTTAGCTCAAGAGAACTCCAGGTCAGGCTCTGCTGGTGGCCCTGAGCCCCCGACTCCCCTGACGGATGAACTTCCTCCCTCACAACGTGGACCCTGCCGCCTCTCTTCACCTCCCACGGTCCCTCCCACACGCACCGCATACAAGGAATTCCAGGCCGGCACGTGAGCCCGTGGGCTGGCCTCCGACCCTCTCTCATTTCACCAACGCAGCAGGGCACGCTCCACACTGCAGTGAGTGCCCTTTGGCTGGGGCCCCGTGGGAGGACGGAGGCCATGTGCAGCCAGACGTGAACATGACTCCCGAGGGCTCCCCTCGCGCTCACTGAGCAGACGTCCCTGTGCTGCGCAGCCTCGCCAGCCTGCCGTGCCCGCTGGGGGCTCCGCTCACGTTGTCTCTGCAGCATTTACCCATTGCTGATGAAGTGTGAGACTTAGGGCGTGAAGGAAGCGGAAAACATCTTCCAAAACCCTTTGGAAAAGTATTTTTATTTATTTATATTTTTTATCCTCACCCAAGGACATTTTTCCATTATTTGTTCAGGTAGAGTGGGAGGGAGAGAGAGGAAGAGAGAGAGAAACATCGTCGTGAAAGGGACACATCGAGTGGTTGCCACCCGCATGACCAACCAGGGCCGGGGACAAACTGCAACCGAGGTACACGCCCTTAGCGGGAACCAAACCCCGTCTCTCTGGACCTCAGGCCGACGCTCTAACCACTGAGAAAACTGGCCAGGGCTGGAAAAGTATTTTTAAAACTCAGCATTGGAAGGCATTGTTTTGTTTTGCTTTGAGCTCCGTGTGTGCACGCCATGTGGGAACTGCAGGAAGAGCCGACTCACTATCCTTTCTTCTCTCTTCCTTTTGGACCTGCATTGTTTGTTTGTTTGTCTGTTTGTTTGTTTTTAGGGGGAAGGGGATGGGGAAAGGCATGGGGGAGCTTGAGAGAGGGGGGGAGAGGAAGAGAGGAAGAGGGAGAGAGAGGGAGAGGGAGAGAGAGAGGGAGGGAGAGGGAGGGAGGGAGGGAGGGAGGTGAGAAGGGAGAGAATGGACCTGCATCTTTAATGCTGTTCACTCCCTAAACCCTAAAGGAAGGGGGCAGTAACTCACTAGCATTGTGGAGTGATTTAGGAGGCATGGCCACCTGGTGAAATCTCTTTTTATGGCTGTTATTTCTTGAAAAATGCATTTTTTGAAAATGAAGTGTTCAGTATTTTGTATTTGAGATTTAAAAAAAAAATAACAATAAGCTCTGGCCAGGTAGCTCAGTTGGTTAGGATGCTGTCCTGATACACGGAGGTTGCGAGTTCTGTCCATCAGGGCATGTGCAAGAGCCAACCATGACTGCGGAGAGAGGTGGGACAGCAGATCAGTGTTTCTCTCTCCCCTCGCCTTTCTCTCTAACATCCATAAATTTAAAAATTTTCAAACCCTGCATGTTCCACATTAAAAAAATAAAAATGAGAATAATCCTCCCTGTAATTGTATCATGCGTGGAGATATCCGTGTACCTAAGTATTTGTGTCTGTATCTCCACACCCGAGCGAGTGGCAGAACTCCCTGTGCCCTCTGGCTGGTGGTCAGTGGGTCAGTGTCGTCTGGGCAGGCTCCAGCTCGCAGGTGGGGCCTCCAGGCTCGGCGGCCCGGAGAGCAGGTCGCTGAGGCTTCCAGCGCTGGGAACTTGCCCCCGTTCTCGGAAAGCTTTCATTTTCTGCTGCTTTTTCTCATGAAGCCAAAGGCTGCTTCCTTCCAAGTTTTTCTCCGCTTATGGCATTTGTGGCGACTGAGAACGAATCCAAACCCCTTCTCTGTCCCTTCAGCTATCTGGAGAGTCCCCCATGTCCTCATTTCCAGACTCTGACAGCTTGGTGACCTTTCCCGTTCTCCAGGCGAGCTCCAGTTCCCACAGAAACGTGAACCGTCCGGTGGCGGTCTTAGCGCACACACGCCGCGTGGGTCGGGGCTGTGACAGGCAGCGCGGCCGTGCAGAAAGCCAGAGCTTGCTGGGAGCGAGCCTGTGTCTGGCTCCTGTGCATTGGACTCGCTGTGGAGCGGGGCGGGGTGGGTTCTGTGTCTGTTCCCTGCTGGCTGCTTTAACGAGACAGCACGGGCACGGCGTCTCCGCACGCTGTCGGCCCTGGGAGGCTGAGAGTGCTTCTGTGCCGCTGCAGGTCACCTGAACGTCCTCTCCAACAACCGCTGGCGGGAGCGCTGGTGCCGAGTCAAGGACAACAAGCTCATTCTGCACAAGGACAGGACCGACCTGAAGACCCACATCGTGTCCATTCCTCTCCGTGGCTGCGAGGTGATACCCGGGCTGGACTCCAGGCACCCGCTGACCTTCCGCCTGCTTCGCAACGGGCAGGAGGTGGCCGTGCTGGAGGTACACGCCTTTCCTTCCAGGGGCCAGCGCCCCGTCAGGGTCCCCACGCCGCGCTCTGAGCCTGCCCTTTCCTCCCTCTGCCCACTGTGTCCATCGCTGCTCTCCCTCCTCGGTGGCTGCCTCTCTCTGAGGTGCTGAAGCCAGCCGCACGGGGCCCATCTCCGCGAAGTTGTGCGGAGGAGACTGCCAGCACCTCCCCGCTTCCTGTCTCCGCGGTTTGCGTGGCGGTTCGGTTCAGTGGCTTTGGCGTTTCCAGCAGAGCCCCAGCGATGGTCTGCCTCGCGATGGCCAGGCTCCCCTGACTCGCCTCAGCGTCCGGGACTTCTGGCGGCCAGCGAGCCTGGCGCGGGGCCCGGGAGCCCTGTGTCAGAGCCTGGCCACGCGCACGTTCGTCATTCCTCCGCTGCCTGTCCGGATGTGTTCGAATCTCTCAGCCACCTACTGAAACTTGCATTTCTGAAAGTTTTAATGTCCATTTTTCCTCTTGTATTTTATTTTCTACCCAGTATTAATTCAGACTTTTTCCCCTTTATCTTTTTTTGCAAAGTTTATTGATTTTAGAGGGGGTGAGAGAGAGGGAGGGAGAGAAACATCAGTGTGAGAAACAATCAGTTGCCTCCTGAACACACCCTCACTGGAGATCGAACCCACAACCCAGGCATGTGCCCTGACTGGGAATCGAACCTGAAACCCTGCAGTGCAGAGGACAATTATCAACTGAGCCACACCAGCCAGGGCCTCCCTTTGTCGTATTTTCCACTCGGTGTAGTCATGACGAAGGTGCACAGATGTGCACACACACACGCATGTCCATATCTGCCCTGTGTCAGATTGCAGTTTCCACAGTACCTGCAAGTGCATTCGTTCTCTGTTGTCCATAGAGTGCGGATCTGCTAGGGTTAACGGGATGGCTGACGTGTGCCAATTAGTCCGACGTGGAACCACATCTGAAGGACCGCAGAGATGCTGTCCTGGAGGAGACAGCCCGGGCTGTGCCTTAGAGGGAGGCCCCGCCAAGGTCTTGACGGGAGATGGGAGCTTGTTTCCGAGACGATTCTCCCGGACACGACTTTTGGTGGGGCAGAGGAAGAGGAGAGCATCGTTCTTACTCCCCTCGAGCTCTGCCGCTAGTGGAGACAGCGGGTCGCAGCGTGGGTCCCTCAGAAAGGGTCTCAGTCCTGGTGCTGTCGTAGACTCTGATCACAGCCAAATCTTTCCTTCCCTCTTGGCTTCTTTATTTGTCTGTAAAACGTGTGGGGCTAGAGTCAGGGTGCGGGGTCAGCGTGTCCGTAGGCTGGCATCTGAGGGTGGGTGGCGGGGCAGAGCTGTGCCGTCAGTGGGCTCTGCTCTTGGCGTAAAGCCAGCGGCCTCGTGCCGAGCGTCGGCAGCTGACCTGAGAGGTGCACGGACAGGTCTGGAGGAAGGGGAAGAGGTGGAGGCTGCTCCGGGTGCTGTGCACACAGGCCCGGGCCTGGAGAGGGTCGTGTGCCCTCACCCCTTCCGGAGTCCAGGCCTGAAATCAAGCAGACCCACCAAGGAAAAGCACACACAGCACCAACGTCAGCAGAGTTCGGAAAGTGTTTTTATGTACATTTGTTTTTCATTGTCATTCAGTTAAGTGACACCTGTGGCAGCGCAGTGTCCCCTGAATTATACACATTATTTACACAGGCGATTAATCAAGCTGATGTAGACATTTCATATCCCATTCTAACTGTGATTGGTTTTCTGAATCACATGATGAGGGCGACTTAAAGATCTAATGCACCGAAAGTTAGGATGTACTTCAGACTTGCAAGTTAAGATCAAATTCAGGGTTGGGAGCATCTTAAAGTCTTAAACAATAGCAGGCACAAGTACCCTATGGTCATGAAACATCATTACACCTATGTAAACATGACAGATAAGAAAGTAAGTAAATCTTCTATACCATCTAATGAAGGGGACTAAAATGCCCTTTCAGGCCGTTGCAGAGAGTTTGAGACCCACGGTGTGTGTGCCCAGTGAGCCAGACCAGCATAGGCTCAGGGCTTCCTTTTTGGGCCAGATTTTGTTGCCAAATTAATGAGGCTTTCTAAACAACTTCATTTAGCTGAGATTTAACTAATTACATTCATTTCCATGTCCTACACCCTAGTGCCTTTCCCCCAAGTAATTGGAAGGCACTCCAGGGCCTTGGGTTCCCATTTTCTTTTCTTTCTGTAGCCTCCTGCTTCCATGCTTGGTGCGAACACAGTGTTGATGCCACGACGGGGCACAACCTGCCCGCCGCCTCGATCGTGCTGTGTGCAGGCCCCGCCTCTGCTGCCTGTCCTGGGCTCTGTTGGCACGTCATGAACCTGCCAAACCTCTACCATTAATGAAGTAAATGCATTTCCCCTCTGCCACCATAGGCGTCGTCTTCCGAAGACATGGGCAGATGGATTGGGATTCTGCTGGCGGAGACAGGGTCCTCGACAGACCCTGGGGCCCTGCACTACGACTACATAGACGTGGAGATGTCTGCGAATGTCATCCAGACGGCCAAGCAGACCTTCTGGTAAGACCCTCCGCCGTGGACGGGCACGTGGTGAACAACTTGATGTTTTCCCTAATTGTGTACTTCTTAGGTGAGTGTATGGGGGGAACAACCAAAGACTCTCTGCTGCTTGTATATGCTAATCCAAACACTGATGACAGCTCTGTGACTTGAACCCTCTGTGTTTTTATTAGAACAGGGTTGACCAACTTTTTCTGTAAAAGGCAAAATAGTAAATACTTCTGGCTTTGTGGACCAAATATTTGCTATTGTAACCACTCAGCTCTGCCGTGGCGGTCACAGACAGGCATAAACAAGTGGGCATGACTGTTCTAGTAAAACTTTATTTGCAGACACAGGTAGGGGGCCGGACGTGGCCTGTGGGCTATACTTTGCTGACCCCTGTGTGGTTGACAGTTCTATGAATCAGAAATGATTCTGCGCATACTGTAGCGAGGATTGAGTTTTCCAAGCCATCAGTCACATACTTTTAAAATGTAAATTGTGAATTTTTTTTTATAAGATAGCTGTCAGATACAAAAACATTCTTTGAACCATGACTTTTTAAAATTGATCAATGATAAATAACTATAGCTGCAGTTCTCAAAGTATGATGCACAGCCTCCCTAGCAGGCAGTCCGAAAGGCCACCACCACTTTCCCGATGGCAGTGAGGACTCGTTTCCGTCCTCACTGTTCTCCCTCTGCATCAGAGGTGCAGGCACAGTGGGGGCGTCAGTGGAGCCGGAAGCCACACTGGTGTCCGCGTGGTACCCGTCACCGCCACACAGTTGCAGTGGAAGAGAATGCCGGACTCCCTGAGACCTCTCTGAGGAAGCACTAGAAGTTACTTTTCTGTAAAAGTTGTCGGAACACTTACATAGTGTTCGGCCAGGATTCGCTGTGGCTAAGGAAAGCCACCTGCGGCCCCCATCAGTAGCCGGGCTGCCGTGTTACCCACAGCGGGTAGGCGTCCTGGACAGAATGGATCAGCCTGGCGCAACTTTGCCAGGAAACTCCAGTGACGCAAGAGGTTTTCTAAAGTGTGAACCACTTGTCCTTACTGTTGTCACTTTGTGGACCTGGTCAAGGACTGGCCGTTCTGTTTATCTTTATTATTTTTCCATAACATTGTGCCTAATCAGCAAAGCACAGGTAAGTGACAGTGAATGTACTACTCATTCATTCAGTAAAGCATGTTGGAAGTGGCTGTTAAAGAAATGCTGTAGCTGTAAACCAGGCTTTGTTTCGTGTACACGTGTGGAGTGATGTAGGAGAGTTCATGCTCCTTTGCTGGTGATTTGGAAGTTGGTAGGTTTGCAGAAGCCTCTCCCAAGTCCACCTGAAACTTCGGCTACAGTGAGGGAGCCGATAACTGAAGGGCAGCCCTACATAAAGGTGTTTCCCCTGGAACTCAGATTGGCTCCCACGTTCTGAACGAATGGAATGTCTGTCCAGAGCAAGCGTGGGAGGCCACACCTGAGAAGGAATGTGGGCGGCAGCACTGAAAATCACTCACTGAAAATACGCAGGTAATGAGTTCCCGGCCACAGGGAGCTTCGCTGCTGGGTAACGTCTTCGTAGATGGCAGGGGCAAAGTGTGTTTGTACGTCCGTGTTTCTAGTTACACAGCCGTGTAAAACTTGAGAGAAGAGGCTTAACAAGGAAGCAGTGTTCCAAACATAAACGGTGGTAGCTTGCCAGTGTAAGAAATGGTCTAAGATGACATCAGTTTTTTCTTTTATGCAAATTGGCAGCCGGCTACTGAATCTTTCCAAGGTTATTCGGGAAGCGTCTACGCACCGGCTATGTCTGAGGAGACAGGGCGATGGTGTATTTCAGGAACTGACAGGAAGAGAAAAAATAACCATCTAAGTTCCCTTAGAAAAGGTGGCATACTTAGGAATCTAAACACTGCGGAGCTGTTGAAATGCGTCTTCCTGAGCCTGTTTTGAAATGAGATGCATAGATTATAGGATACAGGGAGAGTGTTCTGGAGTGTTCTCCTGGACCAGGATACAGGGGGAGTGTTCTGGAGTGTTCTCCTGGACTCTTCTCGAGCCCTGCTCCCGAGAAGGCTGGATGATGCGGGGGAAAAGCAGTGGGTCAGTGGGACGAAGGGAAGATAGGGAGCTGTTACCTCGCGTCACCCTCTCCTCTGGTTCTGGGACTGTGTGTGAGCGTGGGTTTTCCCAGATGTGATGGACCTCGAGGACGCTGTGCTCAGTGAGATGAGCACACACAGGAGGACAGACACTGATCCCACTTGCGTGAGGTCCTGTGGTGGACAGATCTGTAGGCACAGAAAGTAGAGCGTGGGGGTGCCAGGGCTGGGGGAGGGTTGCGGGGTTTGCTGGGGCGAGTTCAGTGTGGGAAGGGGGAGTTCTGGAGGTGGAGCTGGTCTGTGCCGATGCCAGGACTGGGGCCGGCAACAATGAAACGATGGTGAATGTTACGTCGGTGTCTTTCACCACTGTTTCCTATGAGGCACTTCCATTTGGGGTTTAGCGAGTGGCCCGTGGTCTCATGTCTTCTGCTTTCCCATTGGGCCGAAGCGCCGTCCTAGGAAGAGCAGCGGCAGAGATGGCGCCTGATACGCAGTCTGAGCCCCATCGCCTGTGAGGCCTGGGGACTATTCGGGCCCAGGTCCCCTCTGCAAGATGAAGGTGGGTGGTGGCTCAGGTCTCTTCCAGCTGGGACATCTGTGTGTCTGTGACGTCTCAGTCTTAGGTCCCTGAGTTCCGTGTGGGTGAGCTTCTGTCCTGCCCTTCGTGGTCCCCACTGCAGTGAGTGCCAGGCGCAGTGCCAGGAGCCGACTGCACGAGCCCGGCAGCCCTGCGCAGGGAGCCCGTCTGCCAGGGTCGCAGTCCCAGTAGCGGCGCTCCCTGTGCGGTGGTCGGGCAGCCCGGCGTTCCCTTCCGTCCCATGCTGCCTCACTGACAGACCTGTGTGCAGTGCCCTCCCCAGTGCCCTCCTAGGGGACATTTCAAATAGAGAACTTCAGTATGTGTTTGTAAACAAGTCAGATCTCCTGTCGTTGCGAACTCTCAGATGTTTAAATTTTCCTCTTTCCCACTTGTATTTTTTCTTTTCCTACATATACCTTTATGTATTCTAAATGTAGAATGATCGTATACCTTTTTTTATCAGAAAAAAGCAAGAGTTATTTTATAACTGAGAGAGATGTGCTCAGGGCCAGGACATGCACAGCCGCCTTCTCCCAGTAGAGGGCGGTAGCTGCACTCCGAAAGCCTGCCTCTGGTCCCCGGAGGCTGGAGGCTCCCACTCAACCTGAATCCCTTGCTCTCACCTCTTCTGGGTCTGAGCCACTTTAGTTTTGTTGGACAACCTCTGTCAGGGAGGCAGTGTCACTGTCCCTGGGAGTGCCATACATAGCTCTTACTCTCATTCATCTAGTTACCATAGAAATGTAAGATCCTACAAAGAAATACAATTTAAAAACAATCATTTTTTAAAACTCCAGACTGTTTTAGTTACCCATCAGGAGAGAAGGCCATCAGGGCTATTTCCTTCCAAGGCGTGCGATGTCCTCACAGCAAAGCTCACTCCTGAGTAAGCCCTCAGGACGCACTCACTGGGCGCTTCTGTGGAGACCTGCGTGGGCCACCGCTCTGGACACGGATGCGGGATGAGCAGACTTGGCCGCGAAGCTGGTCTTTGGGTGGGTCAGCAGATGTGTTCAGGTGGTCAGTGACAGGAGAGAAGGGACTGGGGGCAGCGATGCAGGGGGACAGTGGTCAGTGACAGGAGAGAAGGGGCTGGGGGCAGTGATGCAGGGGGACAGTGGTCAGTGACAGGAGAGAAGGGGCTGGGGGCAGTGATGCAGGGGGACAGTGGTCAGTGACAGGAGAGAAGGCACTGGGGGCAGTGATGCAGGGGGACAGTGGTCAGTGGTCAGTGACAGGAGAGAAGGGGCTGGGTGCAGCGATACAGGGGGATAGTGGACAGTGGTCAGTGACAGGAGAGAAGGGGCTGGGGGCAGTGATGCAGGGGGACAGTGGTCAGTGGTCAGTGACAGGAGAGAAGGCGCTGGGGGCAGTGATGCAGGGGGACAGTGGACAGTGGTCAGTGACAGGAGAGAAGGGGCTGGGGGCAGTGATGCAGGGGGACAGTGGTCAGTGGTCAGTGACAGGAGAGAAGGCGCTGGGGGCAGTGATGCAGGGGGACAGTGGTCAGTGGTCAGTGACAGGAGAGAAGGGGCTGGGGGCAGTGATGCAGGGGGACAGTGGTCAGTGACAGGAGAGAAGGCGCTGGGGGCAGTGATGCAGGGGGACAGTGGTCAGTGACAGGAGAGAAGGGGCTGGGGGCAGTGATGCAGGGGGACAGTGGTCAGTGGTCAGTGACAGGAGAGAAGGGGCTGGGGGCAGTGATGCAGGGGGAAAGTGGTCAGTGGTCAGTGACAGGAGAGAAGGGGCTGGGGGCAGTGATGCAGGGGGACAGTGGACAGTGGTCAGTGACAGGAGAGAAGGGGCTGGGGGCAGTGATGGGCGTGCTCTTTATTTCGTTGCTCAGGGGTCTCTTCATGAAGTGGGGGGCTCTGGGAGAGGGTTGCCACAGGGAGGGGACAAGGCCCCGAGGTGGGAGGCCCTTGCTGAGAGACAGCCATCAGGGCGCATGGCTGGGGACAATTGGGGACACGAAGCAGCACCCCGAGCCCCACAGCCACTGCAGCAGGTCAGACGGTCTCTGAGCAGAGGGGGATGCGCTCTCTCCGGGCTCCAGACACCCAGGCCGGGGCAGGGAAGGCGTGCGGAGTGGGCCCTGAGAAGTGCCGCTGCTCACGCTCTGAAGGCCTTAGCTGCCACCAGCTGTCTGGGAACAGGCCAGGCAGGAAATGGTTTAGTTTTGAGGTCGTATGGTCTCTGATCTTGAGGACAGGGTCATGAGAGAGTCATGTAAAAGTCTTAAAAGCAACCATAGGCAGTGCCTACACGCAGGGTCAAGGCTGTGTCTCGACAACTTCATTTACACACAGGCTCCCGCTGTAGGCTGCTGGTGCGGACACAGGCGGGGGGCAGGAGCCGCTGTAGGCTGCTGGTGTGGACACAGGCGGGGGTCAGGAGCCGCTGTAGGCTGCTGGTGTGGACACAGGCGGGGGTCAGGAGCCGCTGTAGGCTGCTGGTGTGGACACAGGCGGGGGTCAGGAGCCGCTGTAGGCTGCTGGTGCGGACACAGGCGGGGGGCAGGAGCCGCTGTAGGCTGCTGGTGTGGACACAGGCGGGGGTCAGGAGCCGCTGTAGGCTGCTGGTGCGGACACAGGCAGGGGCAGGAGCCGCTGTAGGCTGCTGGTGTGGACACAGGCGGGGGTCAGGAGCCGCTGTAGGCTGCTGGTGCGGACACAGGCGGGGGGCAGGAGCTGCTGTAGGCTGCTGGTGCGGACACACGCGGGGGGCAGGAGCCGCTGTAGGCCGCTGGTGCGGACACAGGCGGGGGGCAGGAGCCGCTGTAGGCTGCTCCTCAGGTTCCCCAGGTGGGGAGTGTGGCCCATAGCTCCCGCACCTCCAGGCACTGAGTTCTCCACCTGTGGCGTCTGAGATGCCCTGAGCTCAGACCTCGTGCCAGACTGGTCCATCGATGGGAGGACTTAACTTACGTCCTGTCTTTCAGCTTTATGAACAGGCGTGGCATCTCCACCAACCCGTACCTCGGGGGCACCCCCAATGGCTACGCGCACCCCAGCGGGACAGCGCTGCACTACGACGACGTCCCCTGTGTCAACGGCTCGGTGAGTGCACGCGCCCGGGCGAGAGGTGGTCTGGGCTCCCACGCTCTCCGCCGCCCACACGCGGGGCAGCGCCCTCCCGGCTCCCGGCCTTGTTCTCCGCAAGCTGGTCGTCTCAGCATCAGTCCCACGTGGGCTCCTGACTCCAGGGGCAGTTCTCTGCCCTGCCCTGTCTCCGCCATTCATTGCGCACTGAGCACATCCCCAGATGCCGGCTGACGGGTAGCAGAGCAGGGCCCGTCGGAGCAGGACCCCCGCCAGAGCAGGGCCCCCCGCCAGAGCAGGGCCCCCTCCGGAGCAGGACCCCCGTCGGAGCAGGACCCCCGCTGGAGCAGGACCCCCGTCAGAACAGGGCCCCCTGTCAGAGCAGAGACGTCCGTCAGAGCAGGACCCCCGTCAGAGCAGGGACCCCCGTCAGAGTGGGCCCCCCATCAGAACCGGGCCCCCGTCGGAGCGGGTCCCCCGTCGGAGCGGGACCCCCGTCAGAGCAGGGACCCCCGTCAGAGCAAGCCCCCCATCAGAACAGGGCCCCCGTCGGAGCGGGAACCCCATCGGAGCGGGCCCCCGTCGGAGCGGGACCCCCGTCGGAGCAGGCCCCCCATCAGAGCGGAACGCCCGTGAGAGCACATAACTGGGATAAATCAGAATGTCGTACAGTGTGAGTTACCTGTGAGTCGTTACTGCCCGGTGGGATAACAATGCTGAGCAGTCACCATCAGAAAGCAAATGAGGGAGTGAGCGAGGGAGGGAGGGAGGAAGTGAGGAGGGGAGGGGAGGAAGGAGAAAGGAAGGAAGGAGGAAATGTTGCCGTGGGGTGTTGCCCATGAGCAGGCTCAGACCTCCCCACTCCGGACTTGGACAACCGCCCAGCACTGGCCCGCGGTGGAGTGGGGCCGTCCGTGCAGCTTTGTGAGTTAAAACTACCTTCAGCGCCTGGGAGGCCTCAGGAGCTGTTCAGTGCGTTCCAGCATCTTGTGTCTTATGTGTGTTAGCAGGACTCATCAGCAAGCATTGTTTTGCATCTCACATGACTCCCCTAGCAGCATGATTGACATCTCGGGCCAGGCACTGTGCCCATCTTCTGGGTCATCACTGTGAGGCCCAGAGCCCACGGACTCATGGGAGAGGCTCGCACACACCAGCCGCCATTTGTCTCCCGGTGCTGGGTGGGGTTTCATTGGCGTCTGTGTTAACGTAGGTTTCAAAGGTGGGCACAGGCTTAGTGTGACTTTTTCAACCTTGGAAGGTATTTTAGACTTTTTTCTTAGTTTTCCTGACGCATTTTCAGTATTTTGATGAATGTCATCTCTCAACTCCCTGTGATCCATCATCACAAAATCCATACCTGCCACGGCAGGAGCCAGGAGGCCACTGCCTTCCTGAGGGCAGAGGGGGTCAAGGACTCCCAGAGCTCAGAGATACAAGCAGACTGAAAATCAGGTTCTGTGCCATGGGCCTTCCTCCGCCAGGCCCCTCCCCCCTCGGGCTGCCCTGGGGATCCTTCCTTGATTCTTTACACAGCCTCCCTGCCCCCTCGCCTTCCTCCTCTCTCCTCTGAGCGTCCACTCTGTGCCAGGGACTGAAAACAAGATGGGCGAGACGCTGCCTTTGTCCTCCCAGGGCCTCCTAGTGGGGCGAGAAAGGCGGGTGGGAGGGAGCTGAGTGGGGACCTGGGCCTGCAGGGACCTGTTCAAGGGCAGATCAAGGTGAACAGGTTCCATGTTTGCTGTGGGTGTGAGGGTGTGCGGGGGCCTCTCTGACACCCCGGCCTGGCTGCGGAGTCATCAGATGGGGCCTGCCTGAGTCTGGGCTGGTCTAGGGTGGGAGATGCATCCTGTCCCACAATAAGACAGCATCAGGTCCAGCCAGTCCCCTCTTTGCCCCCATTCCCACCACCACCTTTACTGCGGGGTCTCCAAGGTTGAGGGGTTCCTGGTACCTGCAGCCCTGCACCCCTTGGAGAGGCTTGTGTGAGCCCACCCACTTAGGAAAGCCCTGCGGTGACCCTTACGAGAGCAGGTTGGCAGTGGGTCTCTGAGCCTCATCCTTGTCACGGGGCCATCTCCAGGGTGGCCCTGGCTCTCCTGGCCGCCATGTGCTCTGTGCAGCCAGCAGCTCCTCGTGACAGCAGCCTTCGCCCGTGCTCACCCAGTGGCCAGCTCCTTTCGAGAGTGGGCGAAGGGTCTGCATCTCGGCCCTTGACCTCATAGAAGCGTCCATGGAGAGGGCACCCACACCTCCCTCTAAATCTCCCCTGCAAAGCCCCTTTTACATCCCTGTTCCTCCAGTCCACACTGTCCTTGTGCAGGTCTGAGGGCGAGGAGCGGCTGGGGAACCGCAGCCCTGCACCAGCACACACCCGGCCCGCCTTCTCTGATCCTGTGGGGTCAGGCCGGGCCCGGCGTGAGCGTGCACGGTCGTTCCGTCTGCTCTGGGAGTAGGCCTGAGTTCTCGGGGGCTCTGCATGTGGAACTGCCCCTGGGAGTGGGTCGCTCTGCGGACACGGGAGCTCTCAGGACACAGTGTCATGGCTCCTTTGCCTGCGAGGGCTTCCCGGGGGCTAGGCCTTGATTCCCGTGCCCCTGCACGCCGGCCTGTCTGCAGGGCGGCTGGGAGGGCTGCTTCTCTCCGTTTGTGGAGTTGTACTTCAGACCCAACCTACTGTTTAGCAGTGTTCCACGTTCAGTAATTAGCGTTCCGTGTCCCCAAGGCCAACACAGATAAACCTGAGCTTCGGAAGGGTCTCTGACATGCTCACGTGTGAGCACCTGTACACTTTCAGTTTGGAGACTTTAGCAGTTTTAAGTCTTCCACGTGACTCAATCCCTTGGCAGTCTAGGAAAACGACAGTCTAGTCTAGACCCTGTTAATAACCTGGACAGACGTGCTTGGCTGTCGTTTTGAAAGGCTCACATCCACCTTCATCTGCACGTTCCGTATTTCGGCTCGTGGACAGTCCCCAGCACCACAGAAAGGGAATGCACACACTCCTGCCACGAACCGCAGACCCTGCCATTTCTGCAGCAGGAGGCTGCGATTCCAGTCGGCGGGAAGGCACTCACATGATGGGTGTAAAAATAGGGTAAGATGAGTATAATACAGGAATTAATATTTCTCTTTTCAAAGCAATTTATAGAGACCTTGACAACTCGGAGGCTCCGGCGGAGGTTAGCTGGGTCAGTGTGACTGTCACGTCCGTGTTCTCGGGCCGGGCTGTTTCCGTCCTTCAGGTGGAGGTTCCGCTGAAGCGGAGCCGTGATGCCCGCTGCACGAGGGAACCCCCTTCTCCGACAGTTCGGCTTCCTGTCACGGCTGTGTTTTGGTTCTGGCACGTCAATGAGCCATAACAGTGTGGACACGGTGCAGCTGACAGTCCCCATAAAACCCCGTCCCTGTTGCACCAGGCTGGGGTCTGAAGTCGAGCCCCTGGGTACCCCGGAGGGGGGCGATGGCGAGGCTCAGAGGCAGGATCCTGTGTGTTAGGAGCTCTGCCTCTTCTCTTGCAGCCTGTGAGCTCTCTGCCTCGGTCTCCTCCTGCCTCCAGGGCCCCAGGAGAGTGAGGAGTCAGCATTTGTGAGGTCTTCCAAACAATGTTAGAACACAATAGTTCCGTAAAATAAAAGCAGGTGCCCGGCCTGAGAACAGCACGGTGGGTGTGTTGGGTGCTGAGGTGGTCTCCGTGTGTAACGTCTGCTCTGCTTCTGTGGCCGAGGCACTAACCGCAAGCTGTGTGTGTTGCAGTGGGACCCGGACGACGGCTTTCCTGCTTCCTGTAGCAGAGGCCTGGGAGAAGAGGCGCTTTATGATAACGCAGTCCTGTACGATAACTTGCCGTCTCCGAAAATCTTTGCGCGCTGCCCGCCTGCTGACAGGAAGGCTGCTAGGCTACCTACTGACAAACTCTCCTGTACCCATTCCAAACACCCCACGTCCTGCGGGCTGCCTTCCGCTCAGTCTGTCACTAACACCTCTTCTGTGGGGAGGGCGTCTCTCGGGCTCGGCTCCCAGGTACAGCAACGTGTTCGCTCTGGAATCCTCGTTGTCACGGTCCTCCTGCAGAGTTTGCAATGATACCCACGTGTAGTAAGCGAGACTCACCAAGGGTAAAGCATAATATAATTTGCAAATGTAGTCGATGTATGGCCACCCAGGACTGACTCAGTATCCCTAACAGGTCCATGGTGTAAGCTCTACAATTTTCTGCGTACATCTCTCTTTCTAGTTTGGGGAGGCTCGCCAGTGAATTTTGTGATTATGACAACTAAAGGCAACGATTTAAAAAAGGACAGGGATAATAAAACTTTGCAGGAGATTCTTGAGCTGTAAGATTTTTTAATGTGTTTCAATTAAACATCAGTGAGGACAGGTAGACACCATGGAGTAACTGTTTTTGTGTTGTTGTTTTTTAATTGATTTTTAGAAGCAGGGAGAAGGAAAAACATTGGTGAGAGAGAAAAACATTGATCGGCTGCCTCCTGCCCACCCCCACTGGGGATCGAGCCCACAGCCTGGCATGTGCTCCAACTGAGAATGGAACCAGAGACCTTTCAGTGCATGAGACCATGGCCAACCCGCTGAACCCCCTGGCCAGGGCTCGAGCAACTTTTGTTATTTGCTTTTGTTTTTAATCATTAAACGTAAATAGGATTATTCAGAGCACTGTGTTATTTTTTCATAATGAGTATAAAATATGCTCCGTAAAAGAAAGTAGATGAGGATTTGGGATGCTCACGATTGAATGATAACAACCTTGACAGGGGTGCTGCTCTCCCCATACCTCCTGTCTGCAGCAAACGCTCACTATGAACACTAAGTTGATGTTCCATGCTTTTTCCACCTGAGGCTTTTATATTCTGCATGGAAATCTGCACACCTTATGTAAGAGCACTCTGTAAAGCAGATGGGCACGTTTTAGATGGTTTTCTTGTCCCTCTCTTTTTTGGGTAATCTTTACAAGATGGTGAATGCCAGAGAAGACCCTAGAATTTCAGATCTCAGTGGCACACAGTAGCTCTGCCCAGCTGATCATTTTCATCAGGTTCACTGGAAAGTCTTTGTTTGCTTTTCATTTTTAATGATGGTTGCCCAGAGTCTGTTCAGGGAGCCTGAGGGCCGGACTCGGAAGCCACTGGCTCCGGCTTAGAGTGTGCTGTCAGGAATCTGGGGGCTACCAAGCGGGACTCAGAGGTGCTGTGACTCACTCGCAGTGAGTGATGCAGCAGCAGTTAGAGTAGGTCCCTTTGCCTCCTCAGCCCCGGCCTGCAGCACAGGAGGTGAGTTACAGTGGAGCCTGGGCCTGGGCACCCAGAGCTGACCTTCGCGTCAGCTGCATTCACCAGCACGGCGGTACATGTCCATCACTTTAGCAAAACACAATGCTTGTTGGCCTGCAGCCATCCAAGAAGTAGGGATGCTGTTGAATTTTTTTAAAACCTGTGGTTGGTCAAAATTCAGTTCAAACCATTTCTTTTTCATGCATCTCTTGCTTCCTGAGACCGTCAGTGAGTCCCAGCATTCCTTAGCCCTGTGGGAGTCAGCCAGCATTTATAAAAGTGCTGGAAGCAGGAGTCAGCTGCATGGTCGCTGCTCCCTCAGAGCTTCCCGCAGAGAGAATGCTGTTCCCCTATGGAGACACAGGCGTCCCGCAGCCTCAGCTCAGTGCCCACGTCTCCATCAGCACGCGTGATCTCCCGTGGCCCTCTGTGGTGGTTACTGCTTTCCCACTGAGGATGTCCCGAGTCCCTCGGCGCTGGAACCTACGGCCAGCCGGGGAAAGCCCCGCCTGCCTCGGTTAGGAAACCACGTTGGTTCCAGCTAGCGCCCTCCCGTTTCTCTGTCTGTGGTAGATGCTACTTAAAGGGCCAGAGATGGAAACTGTACTGCGAAACAAAACAGGTGTTTTTGACATTGGTTTGTTTTTAACTTTCTCCTTTGTTTACATCAACAGTGGAAGGGTAAAAAGCCCCCATTAGCATCCAATGGGGTCACAGGAAAAGGCAAAACTCTGAGCAGTCAGCCAAAGAAGGCGGATCCGGCCGCTGGCGTGAAGCGCACACCTTCCAGTGAGTGCATCGCTCGTTCTCACGTCCGGTTGTGGGTGCCTCTGTGGGGTGGGGGTGTCTCTGTTCCTCCCACTCGGTGGGGGTGCCTGGTGTGGGACCCGGGGGAGAGATGGGCCTGTAGCCGAGTCATCCTTCCTCAGCTGCTGGTGAGAGGGTGGCGCCGGCCTGTGGCGCAGCCTCAGGACTGGTGTACATAGGGAAGGCCAGGCTGTGTGCCTGACCTAGGACTGGTTAAGCCTGTTCCAGCCAAGGCTGTGAGGTGCAGGTGCAGCTGCAGGGCCTGGGCTTCGGGTCAGGGGACCTTGGTTTGTGTCCCTGATATGTTGGTGACTCAGTGACTTTGGTGAAGTCACAAACTCTAAGCTCGGCTTCTGTGTGTTGGATGTGGATGAGTGGCTACTGTGGTTTCCGTGATGAAATAATCCAAGTAATCCGGGACCTCATCACGCCAGAGACAGACAGGGGTTTACAAGGAATCTGATTCTCAGTGACATGCAGTCCTCATCATCCACACCAGCTCTAGTCCATCTCTCCTGCCTGGTTCTCAGCGCCACCGTGAGGGTAGGTGCTGCCATCTGCCCCACGGTACACACGCGGGAGTGACCTCAGCGATTCAGTGGCTTCCCTGGGCTCAGGCCAGTGAGTAACAGAACTGCAGTGAGGACCAGGGTTCAGACTGCAAAGCTGGCAGGGAACCAGGCAGAGAGGCAGAACACAGCTCACCTGGGCACAGGGTTCTGGCTGTCAGGGAGGGTTTCCTGGGGAGGGAGGCGGGAGCTAGACTTGAGCAGTGAGTGGCAGGATCACTTGGGAAGGTGAGTATGTAGTTTCTGACTCTGGCTCCCTGGAGCTGAAAGACCAGTCTGCATGTGAAGGAGCCCGCCAGCTCCAGGTGGTGCCTGTGCGGCTGAGTGCACCGCGAGGGAATTCAGTCGGAGGGTAAGGGCTGCTCGGTGGTGCGGCTGCCTCTGCCCCAGGACCCTGGTTCTCCCAGGACCTCGTCCTCGAACCAGAGGCAGGTGGGGAGCCAGCTGGGCCAAAGCCGCTGCCTCATTTGTTGACTTCTGCTCTCTCTCATTTCCCTAAAGCAGTCGGTGTGTTTGCAGTCACTTAAAATGCTGGAGCTGTTCGTGTGGGGGGCGGGGCTGGGGGAGACCGCTCTGCTGGGTGAGCCCCAGCCTCATGCAGTTCCCTCTCAGTAACTGGCTGATTTTATTTCCTAGGTGATTTATTTCTTTATTTTATGAGACCTTCTGGAGGGGATTTTTATCAGCTGTGGTGACAGCTAATGGTGACAAATGAGAAAAATAATTGCATTCTGTATTTCTGCTGAATTTAGCCAGTTGCATTGGAGACTGGGTGGGGTTTACTGCGTGGGGGCCAAATGATGGGGAACATGTAGGATTGGGGGAAACGTCTTCGTTTAGGAGTGACTGACTTTGCTGTTGGCCGAGCACGTCCTGACCCCGCGCCACGGAAGGCGGTGCCTCTGTCGGCCTGCTGGCTGCTCCCGCGCTGCCACCTGCCCGCGTGCCCTGTGCGCCCAGTGGGGCGTCTCCCTGCGTCACTGCGGGCGGCGGCACAAAACTGGTGAACTCAGCATTCGGGGGAGATGCTGGCAACGGCTCGTCATGGCCCCGGGTGGACAGGGCTCTGGGGACTGGTACCACTGACAGTGACTGGAGCTGCTAGAGAGTGGCCACCATGTCCCAGGTGTCACGTAGTTTTGTGAGACGGGTTTCGGTATAATTATTTTATTAAAACACGAGGTCGCCCTTATCCCATCTGCTTTGTAGCCAGTGAAGCAGAGGCACAGGGAGAGTTTACGACCACCCCTCGCGCCCAGGGCCTGCATTTCCACCGTCACACTGCCCTCCGCTTCTGCTGGAGCCCTGTCTAGTCCACGGGGAGTTGGACGTGCAAACAGACGACCGGGTGCATGTGGGGCTGAGCTGCAGTCCGTCCGAGTGGTTTAATATTAGAAGCGAAGCGGGGACAGTGGAAGCTTCGAACCCCGAGTCGGTCTCGGCCTCTCCATCTCATCCTCTCTCCAGTGTAGTTTTCCAGAGAGAACCTTTCCAAATCACTGTTTTCAAAGGCCAACGTGATTAGAGGGAGGAGACGGGGTCAGGGCGCCATGCAGTGTCAGCTGGTGGGTGCAGGGCAGGCCCTGTGTCTCCCAGAGACGGGTTTCCTCTCCAGTCCCTCACTCGTCACTCGCTTTGTGTTTGTTCCGAGTGCTTTGTAAGTATTGACTGAATCCTCATGCCAACCCTGTGAACTGTCCCCATTTCACAGATGAGGACACTGTGGCACAGAGTTCAAGGTCACGCAGCTATAGGGGACAAGCTGGGATTCAAACCCAGTTGGCTGCAGACCCCACCCTGCGAGCTCTCCATCTTCTCGTCCCTCCCTTCACCAGTGCTGCTGCTGCTGCGTGTGCAGTCCCTGCAGGTGTCGGTGCAGGGACACGGCTGCCGCTGCGCCACAAGCAGCCGACACCGGCCCTAGCTCCGCAGTGACGGGGACAGGGAAGCAGCAGGGGTCTGCGGAGAACCCTCCAGAGCAGAGGTTCTGTGTGCTGTCGAAGCCTCCTCTCTTCGGGGTCGGTTTGCGCTGCCAGCCGAGGTCCAGGCCCGGCAGAGAGGAGAGTAGAAGGGATTTCTTAATATTCTACGCTCATGGAGAAGTTTGTTAACAGAGTATTGGATACTTGGAAGTAGTGCCTCATCTCGTTGACCACGAGGACTAGCGTGAGCTCATGTCACTGAGCATGCAGAGTGAGGAGGTTTGAACTGCCCCTGGTCTGCTCGCTAACCCGTTTCCCACTGCTGCTTGTGTTTAGATGCTGACCAGTACAAATATGGCAAGAACCGGGTCGAAGCAGATGCCAAGCGGCTGCAGACCAAGGAAGAGGAGCTGCTGAGGCGGAAGGAAGCCCTGCGGACCAGGCTGGCCCAGCTCCGGAAAGAAAGGAGGGACCTGCGGGCCGCCATTGACGTGAACACTGGTAGGAGACGCACAGTCTGAGAGTCTGGGTTCCTCTGTCTGCCCGCAGGGCCTTCCTCACCAGGCTCTAGACTCCAGCATGCACCCATCCCAGGCACTGCTTCGTGGAGTCTGGCAGCTTACTGGTTAGCCCAGGGCAGGTGCCCGCCCGGTGAGGGGTACTGGGGCAGACAGGAGGTGGCAGGTGCCAGGAGCAGTCCGGCCTCCGATGCAGATGGCAGGGTTGTCTGGAGCCAAGGCCCTGTGGCCTGAGCGCTTGGGTGTCTGGCACTGAGTCAGTGAGGCAGTTGGGTTTCCCAGCAGGACAGTCCACGGATGGGTAACATTCAGAAGCCAGGTCAGAGGCCTCGGCACTCCCTGAGAGTTGGGGAGAGGGCAGGTTAGTAGCAACAACTCCCAGGGAGGAGCTGAGCGTAAAGGCAGCCCTCAGAGCCCATCGGGGCTGGAGCTGTCTGGACCAGGCTTGCTTGTCCTTGCTGGCAGGAGCTGGGTATGTGGGTCCTGGTTCTGGGGACAGAACTGAAATACACACCTCAGCTCCAGACCGGGCCTTTCCCTGGATCAGCACTGACAATAGGTCTCAGTGGTGCCAGTCCAGGACGGGGCGAAGGCCGGTGTAGACAGCCAGGAAGGCCCAGAGGGGAGGCACTGCCTCCTGGTGACTCAGCGTGCAGGGAGGTGCCAGCGCCCGTGCACACAGAGCTGGGGTGTTCCTGACTGCCTCTGTGGTCCATGTGGAGGGACCGGCTGCGCCTCCGTGGTCCGTGTGGAGGGACCGGCTATGCCTCCGTGGTCCGTGTGGAGGGACCGGCTGCGCCTCCGTGGTCCGTGTGGAGGGACCGGCTGCGCCTCCGTGGTCCGTGTGGAGGGACCGGCTGCGCCTCCGTGGTCCGTGTGGAGGGACCGGCTGCGCCTCCGTGGTCCGTGTGGAGGGACCGGCTGCGCCTCCGTGGTCCGTGTGGAGGGACCGGCTGCGCCTCCGTGGTCCGTGTGGAGGGACGTGCCTTCATAGTGTAAAGACCGGGAGGCAGGTGTTGGTTGAGCAGGTCCATCGGGGGAGGTGGGACGTGGCCCCTAGTGGGCTACCTGGGTGGAGTCCGATGCCGAGTTGGAGCACAGTCTGGGAGCAGGTGGTGAAGATGCAGAAGGGATAGACCAGCGTTTGGTCTTGAAAAAGAGTCTCGCGTGCTGCGTGTCTCGCGTGCTGCGACAGTAGAGTAGGGCCACTTGCATGGGTCGGCCGGCCCCTGAATCGGCTGTCTCACCTGTCCTGTGGGTATGGCCCTGCCTCCCGGTGTCACTGTCACACTCAAACGCGGAGGCCATGTGTCTGAGAGAAGCGGGTGCCGTGCTCTATGAGGAGAAGGCTGTTCGACTGCAGGGGCCGTGAGCTGGCTCAGGAGTAAGTGGCAGAAGAGCTAGAACATGAAAATATTTCGACTTTTCAAGTCAGCAAAGCCATACAGTGTACATGCCACGTCCTAAGTCCGCGAAGGCCCACGCTGAGACTCGTCTCCTGCTCCGGGCCGCCCTTCCAGCCGCAGCCAGGCAGGCGTGGGGAGGCCCTGGTTCCCTGGGGACCGTGGGGTGTGCACTTCCGAGGGAGGGCTTGGGTCCGGGGCGCTCAGGCCCCAAGTCTCACAGAGCCCCTGCGGCGCCCTGGGTGTCTGTCCAGTGGCCCTGCAGCCGGACCACAGCCTCTCTGGCTTGCAGGCAGGAGGACCCAGCTGGCCCTGGAGGAGAGACTGAAGACCCTGGAGGAGGAGTGCAGGCAGAAGGAGTCGGAGCGCGTGACCCTGGAGCTGGAGCTGACCGACGTCAAGGAGAGCCTCAGGAAAGCCTTGGCCGGCGGGATCACGCTGGGGCTGGCCATCGAGCCGCGGTCCGGGACCTCGAGTCCACAGGTAACGTCCGCCCGCGCCTAAGCTGCTGCACAGTCACGATGTCCAGAGAGAATGCCCAGCTCCTCTCTGAAGAGGCCACTCACCATCCCCTCCCCCCACACAGCAGGCACAGGGCACCGTCCACTCACCATCCCCTCACTCCACACAGCAGGCACAGGGCACCGTCCACTCACCATCCCCCTCCCCCCACACAGGCACAGGGCACCGTCCACTCACCATCCCCCTCCCCCCACACAGCAGGCACAGGGCACCTCCACTCACCATCCCCCTCCCCCCACACAGCAGGCACAGGGCACCGTCCACTCACCATCCCCCTCCCCCCACACAGCAGGCACAGGGCACCGTCCACTCACCATCCCCCTCCCCCCACACAGCAGGCACAGGGCACCGTCCACTCACCATCCCCCTCCCCCCACACAGGCACAGGGCACCGTCCACTCACCATCCCCCCCCCCCACACAGCAGGCACAGGGCACCGTCCACTCACCATCCCCCTCCCCCCACACAGGCACAGGGCACCGTCCACTCACCATCCCCCTCCCCCCACACAGCAGGCACAGGGCACCGTCCACTCACCATCCCCCTCCCCCCGCACTGCAGGCACAGGGCACCGTCCACTCACCATCCCCTCCCCCCACACAGCAGGCACAGGGCACCGTCCACTCACCATCTCCTCCCCCCACACAGCAGGCACAGGGCACCGTCCACTCACCATCCCCCTCCCCCCACACAGCAGGCACAGGGCACCGTCCACTCACCATCCCCCTCACTCCACACAGCAGGCACAGGGCACCGTCCACTCACCATCCCCTCACTCCACACAGCAGGCACAGGGCACCGTCCACTCACCATCCCCCTCCCCCCACACAGCAGGCACAGGGCACCGTCCACTCACCATCTCCTCCCCCCACACAGCAGGCACAGGGCACCGTCCACTCACCATCCCCCTCCCCCCACACAGCAGGCACAGGGCACCGTCCACTCACAATCCCCCTCACTCCACACAGCAGGCACAGGGCACCGTCCACTCACCATCCCCCTCACTCCACACAGCAGGCACGCAGCATCCTGGGCTTCACACTTTAAATGTCCCCGTTGCGTTTTCTGAACTCCTCCTCAGGTGGTGGGACAGTCTGTGTTCTTCCCCTTTGCAAAACCAGATTAGAACGGGTTTATGTCTCCTCTGAATTCGGTGTCTGGTCACAAGAGAAACTGTCAGTGTAGCCAGTTGAGACGCCCAGGTGTGCTGCGCATTGTGCTTGCGCGGGGGACACGGGAACTACCATGCGCCCCTGCGCACTGCACAGAACAGGGATCTCTCCTGCTGGAACTCTCCTGCGTGGTCCACCCACTCTTTACACCCGAGCCCGTGCTCTGCTTCCATTTCACAGATGAGGGACTGGGGCCAGGGAGGAAATGGACCTGCCCACAAACAGTGGCTGGACATGGGGCAGACCCAAATTCGGCTCCTTTCTCCCTGCTCAGGGCCAACATGCCTCCCCTCCCTCTCCCTTGCCACGGCCAAGTGCTTACTGGTCCTTCTTCCAAACTGCTTGGCAAAAGGTCTCTCCCATGCTGTGGGCAGATGCAGGGGAAGACGTGGCTTCTTGGCCATGAGCAGCTCCGAAGTCCTGTCCCCGCCTCCCACCACACCGTGGCCCTGCTGCACTCGGTTCTCCAGACTGTTTCAGTCCTTCCCCTCCAAACACCTGCCCTGTCCTGGCCAGTACAGTGACGCCCCACTTCTAGAGGTGCCTCCCCTGCTTGGCAGAGATAATTCTAGCAGCACAGTTGGTGCTCCCTAAGCCACAGCGCCAGTCATGGGCCGCTGCTTTCAGCCTCTGCTGAGTGTTGGGGAGCAGCTCTGCGGTCACCCAGGCCAGCATCTGAGGTCACTCATCTCAAGGCCAGAGTTTTTCATCTGTAAGACCGACAGCAATACTGCGCACTGCTGGGGCCCTGCATCCAAAGGCTCAGTGCCAGGAAAGGGTGTGCCCTTCACTAGTCACTCAGTCGCTCAGTCGCTCCCTCCCTCCCTCCGTCCCTCCCTCCCTCATGCGGCAGGTGCAGGTGTGCGCCGTGCCCCTCACGCCCAGGGACTGCTGTGGGCACAGCTCATGTTCTAGTGCGGGAGCAGCCCAGTGAGACGTGTGCCAGATGTCGTAATGCTCTGGAGAGCCTCCGGCAGGGAGGAGCAGGCGCAGTGGAGTGAGCGCCCACAGCCTGGGGCGACGTGGGCTCCCCAGGGTCAGGCACGAGCAGGCCCAGGGCACAGGGAGGCCAGCTCCAGCCAGACGGTGGTAAGGCTGTGAGTGCGCCGCCGTGGGGCACGGCTCTCCTCGGGCGTGCCGACTTCTGGGCCCTCAGAACCCTTGTCGGGGGGCTAGAGGCAGGAAAGTGTAGCCCCCTGACCTCTCCGGAGGGGCGGGCTGAGGAATGACCGCCACCTTTGGGCCAGGTTGGAGTGGAGGTGCTGGGCCCTAGGCCCCCACCTCCCGACCTCCCAACCTCTCGGGTGCTGTCTGACCTCCTCTGTGCCTTCAGCTCCCCGCCCCCCCCCCCCAAAGCATTGCAAGAGCCTCTGGTTTGTTCCATCTGTTAAAAGAAGTTTCTGCCGTGGCTCCACCTCCTCCCCCAGTCACTGCTGTGCCTGCAGCTCCCCTTCCAGACGAAACTCCTGGAAATAGCTGTCTGTGCCAGGTGTCCAGGTCGCCCACTCCTCCACCGCTGGCTCAGCGCCTCCCACACCCGCTCAGTGCCAGAGCTGACTGCAGCGGTCCTCTCTCCCGCTCCAGTTCTAGAAACTTCTGCACACCCAGCTACTGTCTTTGTCTGCGTGAGCACACGTTCTTCCCCATCTCGAGGGTCCCCTTCCTTTCGGCCGAGCAGCCAGCTGGGCCTTCCGGAGACTCGGGACCCGTGTGTTGGGTTCTGCGCCCAGGCACACGCTCGCTGCTTCCTTTTTTCAGTCATCACCCAAAGATATGCTTCACTGGTTTTTCAGAGGGTGCGGGGTGGGGGGAGAGCGAGGGGAGAAACATCAATTGGTTGCCTCCTGCGTGTGCCCTGACCAGGGATCGAACCTGCAGCCTTTCTTTCGGTGCACGGAACAACGTTCCAAACAACTGAGCCATCCGGCCAGGGCAGCTCCTTCATCTCTTTTGAGGGCCTCTCCTTGGCTATCATCCACCCGGTGTTGCAGCACTCGGCTTGTTCCCATCCAGACCACATCCTTGGAGCAGTAGCTTGTTAGACGAACTCATCTCGGGAGGAGGAGGGACGTGCTGAACCAGCCTGGCCTCTCGGAGACCGACAGCGTTCATCCCCCCTTTACCTCTCTCCGTCCCCCACTGCCTCCTGCCGAGTTACCTGGAACACAAAGTCGCTGCTTGGCACCCTTGGTCAGCAGCCCCCAGAGGCCGCCCAGCACCCTATTGTACTGAGACCTGGAACACTGTCCTCCTAGAACAGCGTGCTGCCTGACAGCCGGACCGCAGGCCGCACCTCCCACAGGAGCAAGGGTTCTCCCCGAGCAGCTTGCAGCTCCCGTGGAAGGGCTGAGGATGGCAGTGTGGGCAGGGACTTAGACTCTGTTCCGCGTCGGTCTTCTGGAGAACGTCCCCCTTTGGCATATGTAAGCTGCGGTAAGCAGCCGAGGTCCTCGGTGTGACTGCCCGGTTCACTCCAGTGAGCCCGCCGTGTGCCTGGGCCACTCGTGGCCACCAGCCGTTTCTGCTGCTGGGCTGGCAGGGGCGGCCGCAGATGTCAGGGCTCGGGAATTAGAAAGCACTGGACAAGGGGACTCGTTAGGGTCGCATTCCGGGGCTGGGGAGCCATGTGAATGCAGAGGACACACGCTGGGCCCCCTACCCCCACTTCCCAGTACGGCCAGCAGATCACCGTGTCCCTCTGAGCCTCAATCTTCCTATCTGTGAAACGGGTATTTGGTCACGGACCATAAATACACATCTCTGTCTGATTCCAGTCCCCAGTGAGCAGGCACCGGACTCTGGAGAACTCGCCCATGTCCAGCTGCGAGACGAGTGACGCGGAGGGCCCGGTGCCCGTGAACAGCGCGGCCGTCCTGAGGAGGAGCCAGCCGGCCAGCAGCTCCCCGTGCCGGGGGCACGTGCTGCGGAAGGCCAAGGTCAGTCCCCTCGTGCTGGTGCGGATTCCTGCTCACCGGCCCGATGGACACAGACATTACGCTTGAGGGTCCTGTGGGCGGGGAGGAGCCGGGTCCGTCCTGTCCAGCCCCACAGCCTGCCACTCAGTGCCTGTTGTGGACCATTTCCAAGTCCCTCCTGCAGTCAGACCTCCTTCCCAAGTGGTCCTTTCATTTTTTTTTTTTTAATCCTCACCAGAGGACATTTTTGCATTTATCTTCAGATAGAGCAGGAGGGAGAGAATGGGGGAGAGAGAGAGAGAAACATCGATGTGAGAGAGAGACATCAACTGATTACCACCCACATGACCCCATCTGGGGCCGGGGACAAACTGCAACCATGGTACCCGGGAGCCGAACCCGGGTCTCTCTGGACCGCAGGCCGATGCTCTAACTGCTGAGCCAAACCAGTCAGGGCCCGAGTGGTCCTTCAAGGGCACAGAGCACTGGGACCATCCTCAAGGCCTTTTCCATGCCGAGTCAGGAGAGCCAGCAGCTCCGGTTCTCTGTCAGAGGGGGACCCCTGGCTTCTCCTGACTGGTGACCAAGTGACCCAGTGACCTGGGACTCTGTCCAGACACACAGCCCTCTCCCGTCCCTCCACCCACTGCCTCGAACCCAGTGTCCTAGGTGCAGCAGGACCCTCTGGGTTCCAAGTATCTTCTGATGATATCAGCCACTAACAATTTGTAATGCAAAACTTAATATTCTCAGGAAAGTTCGGAAACTACTTGTAGTTCATCAGAGCAAAGTGAACAGCTCTTGCCTGGAGGCTGTGGGAGAACTGGAGGACGGGAGGGTCCCTGGTGCTGCCCTTGCCTTTCTCCGCCCAGGCCTCTTCGTCTGCGCCTGGGAGGGCTGGGTGGGCCCAGCCAGGCTTCTGCTGGCTTGCAGATGAGAAGGCAGAGTCCCTGTGAGGGTCCCCGCTGTGCGAGAGATCAGATCTAGTTGTGTGCGTGCAGCCCCCGAGGGCGCGCCTCAGCACCTCCGCTGCCCCGCGTGGCCGTAGAGCGTGCGTGGCTGCCAGTCAGACAAGCTGGCCGTTCCAGCCGGCCCTGCCCGAGGCTGCACACCGAGGGAGCGGCCTCCCGAGAGGAGAGGGATGGAGCAGAGGTCTCCCAGATTCCTGAGAGCAGTGATGGGACCCGGCTGTGGGAAGGGTGACAGCGTGGCTTTCGAGTCTGGGAACAGTGACCCCTTGTAGGTGCCTCACACGGTCTTGTCTGCCCACCCAGCCGTGTTCTGAGGACAGAGCAGTCTGAGCGTCCAGGCTCGGGAAGTGTTAGACCAGGCAGTGCTCCTGCAGTGACTCCCCGTTCCTGCCGAGGGCTGCTCTGAGCAGGAGCACGGGGTGCTCTCGGATAGTCAGACGGTGGCACGTCACCTGTCAGGTCTCCCACTGAGGAGGGCTCCGACATGGCCGCCAAGTCCAGCTGCAGGCCCAGCACTTCCCCGCTTGGCCTGGGGGGCTGTAGAGGCCCAGGCGGCTGTAGAGGCCCAGGCGGCTGTGGAGGCCCAGGCGGCTGTAGAGGCCCAGGCGGCTGTAGAGGCCCAGGCGGCTGTAGAGGCCCAGGCGGCTGTAGAGGCCCAGATGGCTGTGAGCCCAGGCGGCTGTAGAGGCCCAGGCGGCTGTGAGCCCAGGTGGCTGTGAGCCCAGGTGGCTGTGAGCCCAGGCGGCTGTGGAGGCCCGGGCGGCTGTGGAGGCCCGGGCGGCTGTGAGCCCCGGGCGGCTGTGGAGGCCCAGGCGGCTGTGGAGGCCCAGGCGGCTGTGAGCCCAGGCGGCTATGGAGGCCCAGGCGGCTGTGGAGGCCCGGGTGGCTGTGAGCCCAGGCGGCTGTGGAGGCCCGGGTGGCTGTGAGCCCAGGCGGCTGTGGAGGCCCGGGTGGCTGTGAGCCCAGGAGGCTGTGAGCCCAGGAGGCTGTGGAGGCCCAGGCGGCTGTGAGCCCGGGTGGCTTGGAGGCTCAGGCATGGTGGCTCTGGTCACGCTTTCAGAGCCACCACCTGTGAGCCGGGTCTGAAGGCACCAATGCGGGGCTGTCCCAGAGGTCACACGCCCCTGGCAGCCATTGAATCATCCACCTTGGAGCCCAGCAAGGCTGGGGCGCAGGGATTCTCACCAGCCTCCTGTTGGCCGTGTGCCCAGCCTATCCTGTCCATCCTCTGCTGCGGGCCCAGGGGGCCCATGCCTGGCGGTGGAGTCCAGTCTCTGAGCCTGGTTGTGCAGGACTTAGCGGTGTGTGGACGCCTCCGTCCGTCTTCTCGCGAGAGCCTGCAGTGAGCCAGGAGGTGCTGCCGGGCAGCTGGTCTCCTGCTCGTCCTCGCAGCAGCCCTCTGTCTGCAGCGGCCCATGTGGCCATCCAGGGCTGAGGGGGGACAGGCCCAAAGGGAGGCGACACCCCGAGGTCAACCTCTACAAATTGAGTGTCCGGCAGTGCTCCTGGGTCATTTGGGCTCTGTTTTGGTTTGTTTCTGCCACATTTGCTAATGCCCTGCTTTTACCTTTCATGACGCTTGAAGTTCTGTTGTGGACGGGGGAGGGGGGAGGAAGGCTCAGGATACACGCCCGGGCGGGTGTGCGGCCTGCTCACGGCTCAGCGCAGACCCCGGAGTGCAGGGCCCGCAGAGGGCAGCCGCCTGGCGACACGGTTCCTCGCTGACCTCGTCCCTGGCCGTTAGAGTCCTCGTGGGACTTGGCTGACTTCATGTCAGGGCTGTGCAGGGACCCTCGGGGTCACACTTGGCCAAGTACGGAGCCGTGACGCCTTGCCCTGTGCTCACCCCTGCTCTCGCTTCCCTCGACAGGAGTGGGAGCTGAAGAACGGGACGTAGAGGAGAGCGGGCGCACCGGAGCAGGACGCCAGGCTGTGACCCCGACCCTCACGTGTATTTTCCTACTGACAATGGTGCCCTTTAAAGAGCTGTACCTGGAACACTTGGTTTCCCACGTGGTTTGTTGAGAGGCCGAAGGGATGAGAGGTGAGGTAGCCCATCCTCCGGCAGCGGGGAGTAGCTATGCACCCACCTAAGTGCCAGCCAGCCGCAGCCGGGAGCGGGCTGTAGCCGCGACCTGAGCCGTGACCTGTCTCTGTGCCCGCCCCTGAGGGAGGCCCGAGGGATCGGGCTGCAAGGCCGCTTCTCTTCAATTTCCCTGGGCGGGCGCCCCTGCCCCAGCACATGGGAAGCTGCCGCCCGGTTCTGAGCTTCTGTGTCCTCTCCTCACGCGTCTGGGCTGTCCCGAAAGGCAGCCAGGGTTCCGGCACTCCGCCACGTGTCTGCGTGGGCACAGGCGGGCGGCCCTCGGAGAGCCCCCATGGTCAGAGCCACAGCGTCCTGGAGCGTGAGAGGAGGCCCTCGGGGGCTTCTAGCCACCCCCAACCCCTCCTCAGTTTGCAAATCCAAGCCATGACCACATCCATGCTCGGGCTCCACCTCCTCTGCGGCACCGGCCTGGAGGGCGTCTTCACCGGTCTGGTCTGCCCGTGTGGTGGTCTTGGGTGACCAGGCCTCAGGCACAAGGGAGACAGAGCTGGCCTCGGCCCCAGACTCGGTCCTTCATGTCCAGGGACCTCTCAGGAACCTGTCGTGAAGGTGCCGTTGCCCTGGAGCCTCTGCAGACCGAGGCACAGGCGTGGACTGCGGTGAGGCCTCCCTGCCCCTCACAGGTGGTTCTCAGCACACGTGGGCGGCGGCAGTGCCACCGTGCCATGCCAGGCTCGGCAGGAAGCCCGTCTCTGCACAGGGAGTTTCACAGTAGCGAGTGGGGGCTGCTTGACTGAACCCCTGAAACCAAAGCTCACTGCACAGCCCCCTGCCAGGAGCGCCTGGGGGTTCCGAGCGGTCACCACCTGCTCTGTCCCTCTGACCTTCCCGCACAGGTCAGCAGGCTGAGGCGCCCCCGGCAGTGAGCAGGGTCGGCCCCAGGGAGGCCAGGTCACCGGGAGGGAGGCCTGTCCTGCTGGCTGTCAGCGCAGGGAGCTGGGCCCGGGCTCGTCGCGGCCGTTTCCTGTGACCGGAGGCACGCGCTCTGCCGTGTCCCCGCTGCCTCCAGGTCAGGTTCTCCCGTCCAGGCTCTTGGCTGTGGAGCTTGGCAGCCAACTCTGCCCCAGAGAACGGCCCGGTTCCACTGTCGTTAGGTGGGAGGCCCCGGGCAGCGGCGCTCCTGACCTGCGCCCAGCAGGGCGGGCAGCACTGCCAAGGCCGCTGGACAGTGCCTTGCCGCAGCCCTGGGCGGTGCCACGGTCCAGGGCCTTCGCCTCCTGGCGGACACACGCGGAGTTCATGGGGCCCGTTTTCCATCCCGTGCACAGCCCTGAGCCTCCTGCGGAGGACGGGGCCGCAGGCCGCAGGCTCTCCCGTGAGGGTGAGGCTGCGGATCCATGACCGCGTGTCCCTCCACGTCCTGGATTTGATCAGAAATCAGTTCAAAGCGTTTGCTTCAAAATAAGTTATTTATTTGTATATGTTCAATAAATATAGTTTCTAATTTATAACTGTACATATTAGAAACACCAGGCATCCTGTCAGAGTTCTGACGTGGTCTCTTTAGGACCTTCCCAATGGCCCCCTGGAGGTGCACCCGCCGGGGCAGCCCTGAGGTGCTGATGGGGCCCGTGGGCACGTGGGGGCAAAGGTCACATTCCCCTGGGAGGAGTCAGACTCCTTTGAAATGTCACCTGTCCCTTTAACAGATAGTCATGTTCACAGGGTGCTGGCCAAACTCCACTGGATCCTGACCAAAATGAGAGGCACGCGGGGCCCCCCAGAGGGGCTGGGTGAGGCGCCCTTGGCGGTCACAGCCCTTCGGCTGGTACCTGAGGCACCGCCAGCCTCGGCCCTGGTCACGTGCCACCAGCCTTCAGCGTCCCTGCACTTCCAGGGATGACACTTCCTCTCACCGCCCTGTGCCCAGAGGCAGCGATGGTGAGGACCTCCGGTGTCACCGGCAAGGGCATGGGTGGGCGTGGGTGTCCCTCTGCCAGAGTCCCGGGGGTGGGGAGTGAATGTTCCACGTGCCGGACTCGGGCAGGGGCTCCCGAACGCCATCTCTCCCAGCTCTGCTCCCGGGGTGACTGGTGACCTCAGACCGGGGGTGCAGAACCCGCCCAGTCCCCTGCCTTGGCGCACAGTCACCTCCTGTCCGGGTCGGCTGTGTCTGAAAGCCGACCGCTGACAGGCGGTTTGCAACCTCCTACAAAGTCTTTCAAATTGTGTGTCCGGTCCCCGAAGGCCACCTCAGGGAGGAGCGTCAGGCTCCGGGTCAGGACACCCAGACCGGTGTGCAGGTGTCCACGGCGGCAGCGGGGAGGGCCGTGGGCGGGACTGTCTGTGGTCACGGCTCCTTCCCTGCACCATGTGGGTCGTGCGCCGAGGCCTGTGGCTGGAGCCTTCGCGGGCGGGCTTCCCGCAGCCCGGCTCCGCGGCCTGAAGAGGGCTGGGCAGCATCAGATGTCCAGCTGCTGCCTCGCTCCTCCCGAAGTCACCTGTGATGGGAGCAGTGATTTCAGACCAGCGTCGTCTTCGCGACGATCATTACTGTTTCGTTCCTGCTGTTCCTGCCGTGTTATCATCCTGTGCTGGGTGGGCCGACACTGTGAAATGAGCCAGGTGGACTGCAGGCTCCGTGCACACGCCGCAGCGCATCCCGCCGCCTTCTGCGGACGCCCCCGCGTGCTCGTGCAGACGCCACCTGTCCGGAGAGCGGGCCCGCGTGCTCCTGCGTGTCGCCGTGAAGAGGCTTCCGTCCGACCATAATTCCCAGGGATCAAAGGTGTTCTTAATATGATAATCTTTGTATTTGATTTTCTAATGCGAAGGGGTGTTCAAATTTTCACATCAACCTTTGAATTACAGATCATCAGTGTTGATTGACCACGGCCGTCGCTGTAAAATGTTTCCATATTAAGAATGTAATTATTTCCTTATTGTATTTTTTAAAAACTAAAGTCATATTTAAGATTCTCTGTGAAAAGCAGGCAGGAAACGGACTTTTTTTAGTGAAATACGTTGGCAGTGCTTGTTTTAAAGGACTGTAAATATATCCTCACTGTTTCTTAATGTATTTAATTCGTAGAGTAAAAGATTTACCAGCAGAACCTTGCGCTGGAAACACTGTTTCCAGTCCACTTGCCGGCGTGTAGTCGCCATTGGGCTTCTCACCAAGGGCCTCCCCTGCTGTCCCACGTGCAGCCGACTGGCGCCTGCGGCGCGACTGGTTTGTGCATTAGCAATAAAGCGACTCTTCCCACAGCCTCGAGTCTCGCCGCCTTGGTCTGGGCGCACGGTCAGCCGTTCCTCTGGAGCCTGGGCCATCCCTGAGCAGTCCGGGTGGGGGTCCCTGGGCAGTCCGGGTGGGGGTCCCTGGGCAGTCCTGGTGGGGGTCCCTGGGCAGTCCGGGTGGGGGTCCCTGGGCAGTCCGGGTGGGGGTCCCTGAGCAGTCCTGGTGGGGGTCCCTGGGCAGTCCGGGTGGGGGTCCTGAGCAGTCCTGGTGGGGGTCCCTGGGCAGTCCGGGTGGGGGTCCCTGAGCAGTCCTGGTGGGGGTCCCTGGGCAGTCCGGGTGGGGGGTCCCTGAGCAGTCCTGGTGGGGGTCCCTGGGCAGTCCGGGTGGGGGGTCCCTGAGCAGTCCTGGTGGGGGTCCCTGGGCAGTCCGGGTGGGGGTCCCTGGGCAGTCCGGGTGGGGGGTCCCTGAGCAGTCCTGGTGGGGGCCGGCCCTGAGCAGTCCGGGTGGGGGTCCCTGAGCAGTCCTGGTGGGGGCCGGCCCTGAGCAGTCCTGGTGGGGGTCCCTGGGCAGTCCGGGTGGGGGGTCCCTGAGCAGTCCTGGTGGGGGTCCCTGGGCAGTCCGGGTGGGGGTCCCTGGGCAGTCCGGGTGGGGGGTCCCTGGGCAGTCCTGGTGGGGGCCGGCCCTGAGCAGTCCGGGTGGGGGTCCCTGAGCAGTCCTGGTGGGGGCCGGCCCTGAGCAGTCCGGGTGGGGGGGGGTCCCTGGGCAGTCCGGGTGGGGGTCCCTGAGCAGTCCTGGTGGGGGCCGGCCCTGAGCAGTCCTGGTGGGGGTCAGTCCCTGGGCAGTTCGGGTGGGGGGTTCCTGAGCAGTCCTGGTGGGGGGCTGGCCCTGAGCAGTCCAAGGGGGGGTCCCTGAGCAGTCTGGGTGGGGGGGTCCCTGAGCAGTCCGGGTGGGCGTGGGGCCCTGAGCAGTCGGGGGGGGAGCATCCCTGAGCAGTCCAGGTGGGGTACTTTCCAGAGCCGGCACCCCAACCCCCACCCCTGGGGGCTCCCCTGGGCTCACACACTCAGCCGCTGTCTCTGGCCTAATGCCCCCCAGGGCAGGTGCCCGACACATAGGATATCCCCTGTGCCCCAGAAATTATTCAGACTAGCCGACCGGAAGCCTGCCCTGCCTCCCTGTGGAAACCTCCAGAAAGGCTCCTGGTCAGGTTTGCCCGCCTCGGCCTCCTGACCAACCCCGCTGCCTCCCGACGTGGCCCGGCTTGGTGTGCACCCTCCTTTTGGGAACTGTATGACCAGCTTATCTTTTCAAGGCCACCCCTTCCTGTCTGTGGGTCTCCCTAGTGGATAGGAAAGCCTACATCAGCCCTGGCCGGTTTGGCTCAGTGGTTAGAGCGTCGGCCTGCGGTCCAGAGAGACCCGGGTTCGGTTCCCGCTAAGGGCATGTACCTCGGTTGCATTTGTCCCCGGCCCTGGTTGGGTCGTGTGGGTGGCAGCCACTCGATGTGTCCTTTTCACATCGATGTTTCTCTCTCTCTCTCTCTCCCTCCCTCCCACTCTATCTGAACAAAAAATGGAAAAATGTCCTCCAGTGAGGATTAAAAAAAAAAAGCAAGCCTACATTAAAACTCCCAGGCTGTGGGAAGGGGTGGACGCTGAGGTCAGCCTGTCTGGTTCGAATCTAGCTCATTTCTCATTTTACCATCTTTCCTGGTAATTTTCACTAACGTCCTTCGTCCTCGATCATCTGGCCCTGGGGACCAGAGGGGCCGCAGCCCTGCCCAGGTTTTTCTGGTACGTGTCCTGGTCAGAAGCCTATAGGACTTGCCAGCGTCCACATCCAGGAGCGCGCACCTCTGCGCTCCCGCTGTTACCAGTAGCCTTTCGGTCCGCGAGCTCGGGCTGTCCGCTGGTTGGCCCTGCTTCCCGGGAGCGCCACCTCTCGTGTGGGCACCCGCGGGCCCTTTCGTCCATCTTCTGTGTCCTTCAGTCCTGAGTTACTTTGAGAGCTGTTTCCTCTGTCCTGTGCGCGGTGACAGCGGTCGGCACAGCCACGCACTCTGCTGCCTCCTGGTGCCTTCAGTGTGGACAGGAGCTCCGCTCGCGTTCTCTCCGGCGCGTCTTACACGGGCGGCCCTGCTCTCCTCAGCTGCGGACACCCGTTCTGGTTCACGGGGCATGTTTTCCTGCGTCACTCGTCCAGACACGACGCATTTAGTTTCCAGAATTTTCTCCGGCTTCCTTTAACAAGCTCCTGTCCACACAACGTGCCTCCTCTCTGCAGCCACGGTCAGTGTGCACCGTTCTGGACGGAGGGACTGTTTCCCGGCCCAGAGCTCCTGCTTTCTTTTTGTTTTTTTTAAAATATGTTTTTATTGATTGTTTTTAGAGAGAGAGGAAGGGGGAGAGATGGAAACATCGATGGGAGAGAGAAACACCCATTGGCCACAGCCTGCACGCCCCCTACTGGGGATGGAGCCCACAACCTGGGCATGTGCCCTGACTGGGAGTCGAACCGGGGCCTCTCCGTCCAGGGGACATGCTCAGCCACTGAGCCACACCAGCTGGCCTCCGTCTTTCTTTCCGTTACGTATCCGTGAATGAGGAGCGCTCCCCACAGGCCAAGTGTTTTCTGGTTCATACGCTGCACCTCCCCCACGGCATTCTTAGCTGGTCCGGGGCAGCGTGGCCTGCACAGCCCCCAGACAGATCGTGGGTGCACCTCCAGAACTGGGGTGGGTCCTCCCTGAGCCCACAGTCCGAGGTCAAGACTGCAGGCCAAGCCCTTACGTTTGCATCCTCAGTGGCATTCTGTGGTCATCCTTTGTCCCCAGTGCAGCGACCTCTGGGGTGAGGGTGAGGGGCATGTGACTCAAGACTAACACAGTGAGTCACAGGATTCCTCTGGGATGGCCCCTAGACTTCATGGAAAGATGACGCCACATCTGGAGCCGCTGCAGCTCTTCTGTGACCTGAGGAAATTGTGTGCCCCACACCCGAGCAGTGGAATGTGGCCGAGAAAAACAGAACACACCGGAAGGCCTCCCTATAACTCGGACCCAAATCTCCAGTGGGGCCTCCTCACTGCTGGCAGTTTCACTGACCTCCTCAGCCACCCCACTCTCCCGATGACGATTTCATTCCTGTGTTCTGAGCCCCTTCTCCCGCCTCACTCTGAGCTCACAACCCAAGGGCCTCTGTGCCCTCCTGCTCCCCTGGGTAGGTGGTCCCTGCCCCACTCGGGACTCTGTCCTGCTCCTCAGTCGAGGGTTCACTCTCGGGTTCCCTCCCCCGTCCCGCACCTCTGTCTGCTCACTGCCACCCACACACCACACTTCACACCACCATCTGCAGCCTCACATTCACCCCGCTGCTGCCCCAGTTCTCCGCTCGAGTCGCGAGAACATTCTAGAAAGCATCGCATGTGCCGTGTAGTGCCTGACCTTCCGGGATTTCCTGACCCGTTCCCACCAGGCACAGTCCCCACGCGCCCCCGCCCGTCTCCCCTCGGCAGCCCTGGCTTTGCAGCAGGTCCGCTCCCAGCTCCCCTGCGAAGGCTCCTGGGCGTGGGCGGGGCCACGCAGACGTGCTCGCGCCATCCTGTCGTGGTTTCTTTGTGCCTCGCTGCCCTCCACTGCGGGTGGGAACGGTGGTGCCTGTTTGCGGGGCTGCTGCTACCCGGGCTCACGGAAATGTGTGACGACCGCCCCACGGGACACGGCAGGTGGACACTGGACGCGAGCTGTCCTGGTGGTGGCGAGCTCTCTCCTGGCCGGGCTGGTGGGCTCAGCCCCTCCAGCTGCTCGGCCAAGCCCTGCGTGAGGTCCTCAGCTGAGCCCTTGGGCCGTGACCCAAGCTGCAGACACGCCAGTGACCCTGTTGCCCGGCGCGGCACCAGGGCCCGTCCTGGAGAGAGTACCCAAGCGCCGTCTGCCCAGCCCAGTGCTGTCTGCGATTAGCGATCTAATCACACCGTGCAGCAGGTGCCAGGAGGTCTGGGCATGTTAAAACGCCGGCTGGCTGAGTGCCAGGGGCTGGCAAGGCTGGGCCGGGTAGGCTGGCACAGGTTGGTGAGCCCAGGCACCGGATCAGGGTCCGGATCGGGAGCCGGGAGAGGCCCGGCCACCCAGGCCCAGTGCTGACTGATCGCTCCAGCACCCTGAGGCTCGAGGGACACTTTTATGGCTCACGAAATCCGGGCTGCAGTGGCCCCAGACCCCAACCAGAGGCAGGAGGTGTCCCCCTCTCACCGGAACTGCTGAGCTGCGGGGTGGGGTTTTCCACAGGCTGATCATGGATAGGTCAGTGCCTGTGTGTGGGCAGAGGCCGGTCACTCCCCCAGGGGCACCCTGCCCTGGGCCTGAGACTCAGGGCACAGCTGTAGCTGGACAGGCGGGGTCAGTGCCGATGCAGAGACAAAGCACACACCGTGGGGGCTGGGGGCTCGGTTAGGGGGTGCTGGGAGGGCCTGGTTTTAGGGTGGGCCGTGGGAGGTGATTGGGGAAGATTCAGGGGAGCAGGGCTGGGTCCCAGGGGGAGGGGCAGGCGCTGGCATCGCAATGGTCTGGAAGGACGGTGGCCGGTGCTAAGGCTGCTGCTGTCTCAGCCAGGATGGGCGCGTGGCCCTTTCTGTGGGTGGGTCGGTCCACGGGTCAGGCTGATGGGCCGGCCTCCATCTCCCAGGGTCACAGAGCCCTGGTCTGATGTGGTGTCGGGACACGTGATGCTGGACCGGACGCCTGCTGTGGGCTGTACCTTCCCACCTCTGGGCTAGTGCCCGGGCCCTGCTGCTGGCCCGGGGGACGGGCCACCCGCAAGGGGGCGCTGTGAGCACTGGCTGGGACGTGGCCGCTTTCCTGGTGTGTCCTGACCAGGGACCGGGAAGGTCATGGTGACCTGCAGGCAGGGCCAGGAGCTGCTCCCGTGCTCCCGGGTCCCTGGTCCTGGCACGCCCACGTTTTGGGGGCCTTGTCGAGGAACGTTCCTGGAAGGCAGACAGCGATCACGTTCCTCTCATCTTTGTTAAAAGCATCACAAATGATTTATTGATTTTTAAAAAGGAAAAATAAGAAAGAATTGATCACATCGTTCTTGTGTGCACACACCAAGTGTGGGCGCAGCCCGGTTGGTGGAGGCCTTGCTGCCCGGAGCAGGTGGCACCTTCCCCAGGTGCCCGTGTGCCTGCCCGCTGACCGTACGGCATCTCACGCGTGCCAGACAGACCTACGTGCCCATTTCCTCATGCCCCACATCCGCCTGCAACCCTAGGCCCAGGTTCTTGGGTCCACACCCCCAAAATACTCTTAATAGAAATAGCGACATAAGATACAAGAAAAACCCAAATAACCGAGGCAAACCCTACCCAAGCTGCAGAGAATGGAGGTGAGTGGTTAGAGGTCGGGGGTGGTCACTCGCAGGCACTGTGAGCTGGGGGCAGGGGCCTGTGTCCGTAGTGACCCCGACCTGGGCCCGGACGGTGTCTGACACAGGGCAGGCAGGCGGGGTGCACGTCAGGACGCAGGGCTCCCCTAAGGGGTCTTGAAGGCCACACGTGGGCTGGGCGAGGGAGGAGGCTTGTGGCAAAGGTCCGAGAACCCAGCCTCTCACACCGTCCTGACCAGCCCCCGCGTTGGTCCTTGGGGCCCGCCTGTCTCTAAGGGGGGTCTCAGGACAGCCTGCAGGGTGACCTCTGGGAAAGGCACCCAGAGCCCCAGCTGGTGGGCAGGGTGGGGAGAGGGACCCACAGTGACCCCTTCCTCCCTGTGACACAGGGAGCTGGACTGGAGGGGTCCCTCACTCCATCTGGGGGCAGTTCTGGGTGTGAGCTGACCCCGGGCCTCCCCTCCCACAGGGGATGCGGGTTAATGTTCCCCAGGCTTCATTCCGGTCTCACCCCAGGTCTCACCCCAGGTCTCACCCCAGCCGGGCCAGCCACCCGGAGCCCCGCCTGGGGGAGGGAGGGGACGGAGGGGACGGAGGGGAAGGCGACACCAACTTTCCGCTTCAAGGCGAGAGGTGAGGGTCCCCCTACATAGGCTCCTGTGTAGCCCGAGACAGCGTCCTGACCCACTGCTGGGGGCTGCATCTGGGCACCTCCGAAGCCTGCTGCTGACCTTGGGAAAGTACCCTCTGGGCCTCGGTTTCTCCGTTTCACTGAGAGGGGCACACCGCTCTGCAAGCCTGAGCCTCTCTGGTTCCGGGCTTCTGCCTGCGTCCCTGAAGCTATAAGGAAGCACTTGGCGCCTCTGCGGGTCCCACCAGGAGGCGGGAGGAGGGCACCTGTGGAGGGCGCTGTCCTGGGCATTGTGGGAAAGGGGTTCCCGAGGATGGGGCTCCAGCAGCCCCCCATGGCTTCCCGCCGGCTATACAAATGGGAAGCTGGACCAACCTCCAACAGCTCCCTGGAGAGGGAGGAGACATGGGGGTGGGGGCAGGGTCACAGGCCCTCCAGGTTTGGGGGTGGACACCCCGCAGGGAGATGGCCATGCAGGCAGGAAGGGCTGTCCCGGTGGGGTGTGAGGGACTCGTGTCCATGTGCCGGGTGGGGTGGTGGTTCTGGAAGGGCCGGCAGCCAGGCAGGCTCCCCTCCTTGTCCCGAGGGGCCCAGCCCTGGCCACCAGAAGTCAGGCCTCGGGGGGGACCATGGGGTGTAGAACAGCCAGGGCAGCCTCATGGGGTCCAGGGCAGAGACCTGCCCAGAGTTGGGGTGGGTGGGCGGGCCATGGGCCTGTGTCCGGGGAGCTGGCCGTCAGCGGCCCCTGTGCATCCTGGGAACAGCGGGGACGTCTGTCGCCTTGCTGGGTCAGCTGCAGGAGGTGGTTTTTCCGGGGTCTCTGAGGGGAGGCCAGTCCCAGCGCAGCGCGGGCTGCGTCTGTGGCTCTGTGCCCTCGGGGTGGGGCCACGGAGCGTGGACAGGAGACGGGCGTGGCCCGCGGCCATCAGCTCACCAGGTAGCTGTGCATTTCCTGGCAGTCGATGCTGAGGACCACGCCCGAGTGGTTCCCTAGGAAACAGACGCCTCGTGAGCACAGGCCCATCGCTGGGGGGGCAGAGAGGGCCCAGGGAGCCGGGGTCGTGTGGGACGGGGTGCCTCAGACGCCGTGCAGGTGGGGTCCCCGTGAGGGGGTGCTCCCGGTGTCGTCACAAGCAGTGGACCCACAGGCCTCTGGAGGTGAGGCACTGACCAGCCACCTGCCACGCCCACCCCGGCATCAGCAGCAGGGGGGAGCAGGGGGGAGCAGGAGCGGTCGTGCCCCCCCAGGCAGTGGGCACTGCAGGCTGGCATGGTGCGGCCCGGAGGTGGCAGGAGAGAAAGGGGCACAGTGACGTCAGAAATGGGGTGACAGGTGGTCGTGGGGGCTGCACTGAGAGCAGGGACAGCGGTGTGGCCGGCAAGGAGCTGAGGCGGGGGGACCGGAGCAGTTCCCGGGGGCGGCCCCTCCCCTCGCTCTAGGGCACCGGCCAGGGTGCCAGTGGAGGGGTCATGAGCCGGACTGCTGGGTGAGAGGTCATCAGGGTCACACCTCGCGGGGCTCACCACCACGCCTCCCTTACAGGGCCACAGCGGGTGCAGCACCCTGAGGCACTGGATTAAAGTGACCCGTGATTATTTCCTACTGTTGGGGTGTCCCCAAGAGCCCACGCCCTCCGTCCAGGCTGGGCAGCCCTGTGGGGCCTCTGCAGCCGCCCGCATGTAGGTGGACCTGGCCACGTGGAGGGAGCCCGAGCCTGGCAGGGAGGGCAGAGCTACACACTGGGGGGCCGGGCTCCACCTCTCAACAGCTCCGTGACTGGGAGGCTGCGTGGCCTGTGCACCTTCCCATCTGCCAGATGGACACGTCACTGCTGCCCGCCTCGGGCAGCTGAGCCCGGGGCCTGGTCCCAGCCAGTGCGCGGGACATGGGGGTGTCACTAGGTCCCGGGAGGCTAAGGACGCATCGCTCCCAGCAGCACCTGGGGCTGGAAGGTCTGGCAGGGCAGCCCCTGCGAGGTGAGGCCTGTGGGCTGTGCGCCCGGGCGGGTGCTTCCTGCCTTCAGAGTGAGGGCACAGCGCACGGCCGGTTCCGCAGGGCACCCGAGAGGATGCGGCCAGGAGCTGGGGTGGGAGGCCGAGCCCACCAGCGGGACCAGCTCGGTGCCTGTCCTCAGCTCGGAAAAGGGCCTGCCTCTGGGGGCTGCTGGAGAGACAGGGTCCACGCGGTGCCCCAGCCTCGGCCCACTCGTGGAGAGGAGGGGCTGGAACTGAATCTACGCTGCCCCGGCGTGGCAGCGTGGCACTGTGTCCCCGCCCCTGAAGATGACAGGCTCTGCAGCTGCTCCGGGCACGCGGCCGCCGTGCTGCAGGGGAGCCAAAGCCACGTGGAGGCCACGGCAGGGGTGGCGGGGGCGTCACGGCGGGGGCTTGGTGGCTGCCAGACCCCGGGGCGAGGAAGCTTCGGAACAGCTGCTCTCCAGCATCCTGGGCGACCTCATGAGAGACCGGAGCCAGGACCACGTGGCTGAGCGTGGCCACTGGGGGGCATGAGGGCACACGGCCATCCCGGGAATGGAGCACCCCGTCTTGGAGCGGTGGCTGGGCAGCACGCAGGATGGTGCTCTCCCCACGGAGCCCAGTCAGGAGTGAACGAGGTCCCTTAACAATTTTGCTTTGTGAACTGTGCTGTGCGGTGCGCAGGGGGTCGGACCCTGTGCACAAGGCTCGGGAGCAGCAGGGGCTCGGAGCACTGAGGGGTGACCTGGGAGAGGCCCCCTTCCTCATGGAAACCAGCCCCGGGTCCTCTCCCCCCCTCCAAGCACTCGGGTCTGGCAGCGTGGGGGCCCAGCGCCCACTCATCACATCATCAGGTGGAGGGGACGGGCCGCGCGGTGGGGGGGAAGGCATCCTGCGGCCTTTGCTGGCCAGGCGGCCAGAGGGGGACCACGGGAGGGGGGTGCGTTACCTAGGTCGTCGTCTGTGAACTCATGGCCCTGGAGGGCGCTCTCGACGCCCTGGCCCACGGGGCTGGTCATTTCCTGCTCCTTCGCGTCATGCATCTGAGCGTACACGGTCCTGTCCGGGCGCTTCCTGCAGGCGGATGGGGGACTCAGGCTCCACCCGGGCCGGGACGCCCGGCACAGGGGCAGGCACACGGCACATCTTCTCCCCTGCCCCTTCTCTGCTCCCGGCCCCCTCCTCCAGGGTGCCCTCCCAGCACACAGGGTGCTGTCTGGGCCAGGACTTGTTGCAGGGAGAGCGCATTTACCCTCCTGTGTCCCCACCACCCAGTGACCGGCAGAGCTGCCTCCTGGGCTCTGGCTGGGTTGGTGGGGACGCACGATGCCCGCCGGGCTCTGAGAGGCGCTTGCTGAGGGGTTCCGGGGCAGCGGGAGAGGTCAGGGTGGGCACAGCCGCCCACTGGGCCTGGGCTCAGGGTGCTGACTCAGGAGGGCAGGTTCCTCTGAGGCCACGCCCCGGCAGGCCGGAAGGGTCAGGCCCTTCCCTGGTCCATGGGACCAGGAGGGGCCTTGGGGAACAGGGAGGCCTCTCCCCGAGCCCAGTGGGCTGGGAGTCCACACTGAGGTCTGTCCACACTGCCTTCCGCCTGCTTCCGTTTTCAGGGTGTCAGGGCCTGGCTTCAGTGCCAGAGGCCCTGGGCTCTGATGGTACCTCCTGGCCCTGAAGCCCCCCCCCCAGGCGGGAGGGGTGCGGGGAGCGTCAGGCATGTTATCTGGTCTGAGGTGGGGGCAGACAGGAAGCAGGTGGGTTCCTGGCCTGGGTGCCTGCAGCAGGCCATGTCTTTCGCTCTGGAGGGGCCTTTGGGTGAGAATCTGCGTTCATTTGAATCCGAGGCGCCTGTGGGCCCGTCTGGAAGTCAGTGCCCGTACTAGTGTGGGCATCGGGAAAGGCCACAGCTCGGCCACTGCTCAGCCTCTGCTCAGCAGCTCCTCCTCCTCCTCAGGAGCCCACTCAGAAATCACCTCCTCCGGGAAGTCCTCCCAGATCTTCCAGACGAGCTCAGGTCCCTGTTACACACCCCAGGCTGCCCCTGTGGTTGGAGCTGATCATGAGGCAGGTGACAGAGAAGCTGCTGGGCATGCTCTTGGCCAGAACACAGCTCCCTGAGGGTGTCCCCAGCACCCGGCCTGGGTCCCACACTGACGAGGGCGAGGGGCATGCCACCACTACTTTAAGGACCAAATGTGCATAAAAGATAGCTGAGAGGGGTCTGGAGAGGGGCAAGTGGGTCCCAGGGACGGGGGCTGGAGGAACATGCAGGAAAGGGTGAGCTGTTTCTGAACTGTCCCCAAGGCCTCCCTGACCAGGGAGCCCCTGCTGCTGCACCAGCAAGAAGGAGAGAAGCAAGGGTCAAGTCTCAGCGCTGCGTTTTGTAGGGAATGGGTCTGGCAACACTTGGTCATTTGTGCGTCCTGAGGTCCCAGGTCCAGAATCCGGGGCAGTTCAGATTCATGAGCCCCGCTCCGCCTCAGCACAGGGGACCTACCCGGGGTCCCCTGTGGCCCCGAGCCCTGGAGGGAGCACTGACGGACCTGGTCAGACCCTCCCTCCTCTGCTGCCCAGGCTGTGTGGCCTGGGGCACAGCACCTAACCTCTCTGAGCCTGGGCTCCCTCTGAGGGCGGGGGGAGCAGAGAGGTGGGGCAGAAGCTGGCTGGGCTGTGAGCTGTGAGTGGCCAGGGGGTCAGAACTGAGTGTGCCCACCCACAGCCCATCACAGGCCCCCCCCGGGGCCTGGCCGTCACCCCTGCGGAAGGCGGGTGGCCTTGCCTTTTGAACTTGTAGAGGACGAAAGCCCCCACGGAGAGCAGTCCGATGGCCGAGAGGACGGCCACCACCCAGTAGCCGCTGCTGCCACCCAGCCGCTGGGAACCTGCAAGAGAGCAGCCACCAGTGAGCGGCCTTCGCAGGACGGTGGCCGGGCCTCTGCTGCGTCTGCGCTGCCGACGGGCCGACGGCTCCTGGAAGACACTGACCGGAGGGCAGTCCCACCGTGGGGCAGAGGTCACGGCTCCCTGGAGGCAATCACTCAGCCTGGAGGGGCCTGGGCAGCAAGGTCCCAGTTCCCGCAGTAACGGGCACTGTCCGAGGGCCTGCAGGGGGCCCAGACAGACGGGGCACTCCACTCACCTGTGTCCACGTCCCTGATGGCCACCAGGACCCGGACGCCGGCCCGCAGGAGGAAGCTGATCTTCTGGGCACTCAGCACTTGCTGGATGGCCGCGAGTCTCTGCAAGCAGAGGGGCGGGTGAGACCGGGGGAGCCCACGGAGGGGGGTACTCGGGATCCCCTCCACACAGTGGGTGTGGCCGGGAAGGAGGCCCCCCAGGATGGCCGTCCCAAGGCTCCCCGTCCCCGGGCACCTCCGGCGGGACATCCCCTGGGCACCCTGCTGGCTCCTGGTCAACTCCTCCGTGAGCAATGTCTCAGCAGGAGCCACCCCTGCTCGGGTGCAGGTCCTGCCTCAGGTCATGCGGGTCACGAGCCCACGGAGCCCACTCGGAGGCTCTGGAAGACACCGGCCCCAGCCTGTCACTGGGGCGCCCTTGTGTTTGCAGGGTTACGGCGAGAACTCAGCACAGCAAGAGCCCAGCTGCCCCGCTGCTGGTGGCCGGCACGCACCACGGTCTCTGCTGCCTTTGGGTGTGGGGGTTCCTCCCGGCACCCAGGAAAAGCAGGGGAGGGCGCCCTCTGCCCCCAGCTCCTCTCCGGTGCCCCCGTGAGGTGCCCAGGCCCGTGCTGGCAGCTGGGGCTCCACAGCCTTCCCCGAGCCTGCTGCCCGTTCCCGTCTGAGGAACCGCATGGCCTCTCTCCACCTGCCGCTGTCCCTGCCCCGGGGACACTGGGCAGGCCTGGAGCCCGCAGGTGCCACGGGGGCCGTCTTTGGAAAATGCTGCAGGTGGCTGACAGGTCCAGGGGAGGCAGGGGCAGGGGCAGGGCTCTGCGTGGGGACAGGCTCTCTGTCCTTCCTGACCACGGCCCGCCCGAGCCTCACGCCCCCGCCTTGGAATGGGATGCCACCCCCAGCCACAGGGGCGCTGCCCTGCCCGTCCCCCTGCCCGGGCACTGGCCTCTCTCCAGACCAGCTCCATGACGAGTTCAGAGGCTAGCGGAGGTTCTGAGTCTTTTTTAAGCTTTTCTGTATTTTTTTCTATTTAATCTTTTCTATCACCTCTTATCCCTTCTATGCTCTCTACAGCCCCGCCCCACCACAGTCACTGCACTGCTGTTCACCCCCACGAGCTTGCGCCCTTTCATCTTGTTTTGTCACTCAGTCCCCTCACCTGCCCCCCCCGCCCTGGCCCGGGGCTGTCAGCCTGCTCACTGTGGGTCTGTCTCTATTTTGCTCGTTAGTTCAGTTGGTTTATTAGATTCCGCATGTGAGTGAGATCATGTGGTACTTGTCTTTCTCTGACTGGCTTATTTCACTCCGGGTCCGTTCATGCTGTCGCAAAAGCTAAGACTTCCTCCTTTTTTACAGCTGCATAATATTCCATTATGCAAATGTACCCCAGCTTTTTACCCACCCGTCTACTGATGGGCGTTTGGGCTGCTTCCAGATCGTGGCTATTGCACATAATGCTGCTGTGAACTTAGGGGTGTACACGTTCTTTGGAGTTCGCGTTTCGAGTTTCTTTGGATAAAAACACTTTCAAAGCGTACAATTCAGTGGTTTTTAGTATATTTGCAGAAGTTGTGCGGCCACTGCTACCAGTTTCAGACGCTTAATCCCCCAAAAAGAGCCCACACCCGTTGGCCGTCATTCCTGTCCACGGCCCCTGGCGTCCTCTGCTCTGGCGGGCCACAGAAATGGAACTGTGGAATCGGTGGCCTTTGTGTCTGGCTGCTCTCACTTGGCCACGTGCTCAAGGCTCATGCGGGGTGTACGTGTGCCAGAGCGTCCTTCCGCTTCATGGCTGAGTCATCTTCCCCGGTGTGAACAGGCCACCCTCTGTCACCCTGCAGCCGGTGGACATCTGGACGGTGCCCACGTTGGGGTTCCCGTAGATAATACCTCTGTGACATGCTCCGTGCCCTGCGCTCATACCTCGGGTGCCGCTGTGATGTCACCGTCACTCTCTCTGACATTGTGAAGGACGGCCAGACCATGTTCCACTGCGGCCAGTTCACACCCCGCAGTGTCCCCACATCCGTCACTAGTCACGGTCTGGTTCGGTTTTTGCCGAACTGCAGCCATGCTAGCGGGGAGGGCTCCTGGTCGCCCACGCCCGCTGCCCAGCGGCCCCCCGCCAGGGCTGTCATTCGGAAGCTGTCTGTGCACTGAGCCCTTTGCTCGTGGATGGAGCTGTTCTGGTCTGTCCGGACGCCACGTCCCCAGTTCCCCTGCAGAGCAGGGGGGCCGTGACCAGCTCCGGCTGATGGAAGCGGACAGGGGGTGGCGCACGTCTACCTGGGGAGGTGGTCGCGCCCCGGTGCCCCCACACCCTTGCTCTCCCACACAGGGACTCGAGGCCACGTGGGGTCAGAGGGCGTGGCCACAAGGTGGAGGAGGGCCAATGCCAGCTCAACTGTGACTCGTGAGAAATGAGGAGCCATTGAGATTCCCAAGCTCGCTGTGAATTGTCACCAAATCCTCCGGGGGACAGGGAGCAGCCGGTCTAGTGGCCACAGCGGATACCTTGTCACCTGTGATGCTCCTCTTCCTTGTGGGCCTGGGCGGGGGCAGGAGAACATACAGATCGGCCAAGGTGGGCAGCCCCGGCTTTACCACCGTCACCAGCAGCTCCTCGGGGATGCCAGTCTCCTGCGGGGCACAGGCAAGACACTGATCCACATGCCCACATGCCCACACCCCAGAGACCCGGAACCCCCTCTCTCCCCTCCTGGCTTGTCCAGGTCCTGGCTCTCTGTCCTGCAAGCCATCCTGACCCGTACACCATGAGGATGGCCCCAGAATCCCACAGCAGTCCTGCACCCTCTCCTACGTCCAGCTCTCCTGGCTCCTCAGCTCGGCCTCCCACCATGGCCCCCCCCAAGCCAGACCGGCACCCCCAGTCCCTTCCTCACACTGTGACCACAGTGAGCAGGCCCCTCCCAAACCCACAATGTTCCACTCCTGCCGTTCCCTCTGCCTCCTGGAAGTTGCATTCCATGTGTTTCCACCTGGCAAACTCCTATTCATCCCTCAATGCCCAGAACAAAATTACCAGCATTGTTAATGGGCTGACAGGAGGATGGGCCTCAGCCCGTGACAGCCTTGGATGACTAGGGGGGCCATCTCTCTCTTCCCAGAGGCCAAGGCCTCGCGGGTGCTATGCCCACTCGGATGCTCTGCCTCTGTCTGCTTTCTGGGCGCTCCCCGAGGGCAGCAACCACCTGGCTCTCCTCTGTCTCCGGGGTCTGGTCCAGGAGACAAAACTGCTTTAAAGAGACTCTGGGCCCTGGCTGGATGGCTCAACGGTTAGAGCACTGGCCCACAACCAGAGAGACCCGGGTTCGGTGCCCGCCAAGGGCACGTACCTCGGTTGCAATTTGTCTCTGGCCCCGTTGGGGTTGTGTGGGTGGCAACCAGTTGATGTGTCTCTCTCACATCCATGTTTCTCTCTCTCTTTCTCCCTCTCTCCCTCCCGCTCTATCTGAAGATAAATGCAAAAATGTCCTCAGGTGAGGGTAAAAAAAAAGGAGACTCTGGGCCGTTGGAGAACAGCAGCTGCATCTGTGCAAACAGCTGGTGCCCAGTGGGCATGCATGGAAGATGCAGTCCTGTGCCTGCCCTGCACGGAGACCTCCAGCTGCATGACCTCCCCTGCTCGGTGACCTCCAGCTGCATGACCGCCCCTGCACAGCGACCTCCAGCTGCATCACCTCCCCTGCACGGCGACCTCCAGTTGCATGACCTCCCCTGCTCGGTGACCTCCAGCTGCATGCCCCTCACCCCCACATGGCTGCTGGCCCGAGCTAGCTTCTTAACACCCCCACCAGGCTAGAGGCCAGACCACCACGACTGTGGGGCAGCCACACCTGCCCTGTCCTGCCCCAGGGTTCCCCAGCTTTTCCGAGGCACCCGCAGTGGGGGCAGCCATGGCATTGGTAGGACGGGGGCACCTTTGCGAGGAGCCAGGTGACCACCAGGCCGACGTCCTCTCTCCATTCGGGGGTGTTGGGGTTGTAGGTGTCCAGGTTCTTGGAGAACTGGAGGGGCACAGCCTGGAATCCATCTGGAAGGGGGCAGAGAGGGGGGAGATGGTCAGTCCTGGCCAGACCCTGGCTCAGATCCCATGACCCAATTTTGGAAACTGAGACCCAGGGCAGCGCCCCATCCTCGGTTCCCACCTGCTAACAATAATCACAATAATGACAGTGAGGAGCAGGAGGCAGCGCTGGCCAGGGCACGGCCTGGCACGTGCCCACCTGCCCTGTGAGACTCACCCATTCACTCACAAGGACGCACACACCCCACCAGGTTGGCCTCCTGGGCCCCCAAATCCGTGGACTGTGACGGGCTGGTACCTCCACCAACGTAAGAGTCCTCAAGGGCAGAGGCCCTGCCCCCTCTTTCCCTCACATTCCCAGGGTCCCCGACTCAGGCCTGTTCTAGAGCCACAGCAGGGCGGTGAGGGGAGCCCAGCACCAGGAGCCCCACTCGTGGGGTCTCTTCATGTACCCCCGGGCCTGTTTTCTCGCCTGCGTCGTGGGAGGAGGTGCGGTCGGGAGGAGCGGTGGAGGGCCTGGCGCTTGTGAACTGGGCACATCTCCTCCGGCCCCGCACGGGAGGCAGAGGCGATACTCGCTGTCGCAACGGGGTGACGCTCCGCAGGGACCCAAAGGGCTCCACCAGCGCACTCGGGACCGCAGGGGACCCAAAGGGCTCCACCAGCGCACTCGGACGGACACGCACATTCAGTCAAGGTGACGTTCCGCAGGGACCCAAAGGGCTCCACCAGCGCACTCGGGCCGGACGTGCACATTCAGTCAAGGTGGCGGATACAAGATCAGTGTGCAGAAATCTGTTTGCTTCTATACACTAACAGTAAACTATCGGAAAGAGAGATTAAGAAAACAATCCCAGCCCTGGCCAGTTCGGCTCAGCAGTTAGAGCGGACTGAGGGTCACGAGTTTGATTCCTGGTCAAGGGCACGTACCTGGGTTGCAGGTTCGATCCCCAGCTTAGGTTGGGGTTGTGCGGGAGGTAACTGAGCGATGTGTCTCTGTCACATCGGTGTTTCTCTCTCTCTCCCTCGTGCCTTCCACTCTCTCTAAAAGTCAATGGAGCCCTGGCCAGTTTGGCTCAGCAGTTAGAGCATCGGCCCGCGGACCAGAGTCATAGGTTTGATTCTGGCCAAGGTATGTGGCATGTACCTTGGTTACGGTTTGTCCCCAGCCCTGGCTCGTATGGGTGGCAACCTATCAATGTGACTCTCTCACATGGATGTTTCTCCCTCCCTCTCTCTCCTCCCTCCCACTCTATCTGAAGATAAATGCAAAAATATCCTCAGGTGAGGATTAAAAAGAAGAAAAGAAAACGATCCCATTTACAATTGCATCACAAAAAGTGAAATCCCCGGGGATAGATTTAACCAAGGAGGTGAGATACCTACACACCGAAAACTGCAAGACACAGATGAAGGGAACTGAAGGTGACAGACGAGAAAGTATTCCATGCTCATGGACAGAATGAATATTCCTAAAGTGCCCACACTACTCAGTGCAATCGACAGAGTCAATGCGATCCCTATCAAAATGCCAATGACATTTTTCACAGAAATAAGAAAACACAATGGCATTTTCCACAGAATCCAAACAATCCTAAAATGTGTATTAAACCCCGGAAGACCCCAAATAATCTGAAGCAATCTTAAGAAAGAACAGCAAAGCCGGATGCACCAGGCTGATTTCAAACGACTACACTACAAAGCTACAGTGATCAAAACAGCATGGCACTGGCATAAAAACACCCAGATCAAAGGAGCAGGACAGCCCAGGCTGTCAGGGTCACGCACTGTGACAGCACAGCCAAGCATAGACAATGGGAAAGGAGACACTCGTCGGTGAACGGTGTTGGGAAAGCTGGACAGCCACATGCAAAGAATAAGACTGGACCCCCGTCTGACATCGCACAGAACCTAACTCCAAGTGCATCAGAGGCGAGCATGATGTTTTGGCTTCGACACCCAAAAGCAAAGGCAAAAAAAGCAAGAATAGACACGAGAGGCTCAGCAAACTCGAAGCTTCTGCACAGCAGAGGAGCCGTCAGCAAGATGAAAGGCACCCTGGGAAGGGGAGAAAACATCTGCAAATCACACATCTGAGAAGGGGTTAATATCCAAAATATATAAAGAACTCATATAATTCAATGGCAAAACACCAAACAATTCAATTTTTTTAAAAAAGGCCAGAGGATCTGAGTAGATATTTCTCCCAAGAGGACATACGATGACCAACAAGTGCAGGAAAAGTGCTGGCACCAAGCGTCAGGGATGCAAGTCAGACCACGGGAGACGCCCCCTCACACCTGTTAATGACCAGAGACAATACGTACAGGCGAGGCTGTGGAGGACAGGGAGCCCTCACAAACTGTTGGAGGGTGTGCAAATTGGTGCAACCACCATGGAAAACAGTGTGGAGGTTCCCCCCTACTACCATATGATCCAGCAATTCCACTTGTAGGTATTTATGCAAAGAAAATGAAAACACTAACTCAGAAAGTTATATGCACCCCCATGTTCACTGCAGCATTGTCTACAGTGGCCAAGACACGGAAGCCACCCAGGTGCCCATCAGGAGACTGTCGAGTGAAAGGGCTGTGGTGTGTATCTGCAGTGGAATATTACCCAGCCGTAAAAAGGAGGAAGCCTGGCCATCTGCAAGGACCTGGATGGACAAAGAGGGCGCTGTGCTGAGCAATGTAAGGCAGACGAAGAGAACCAAATATCACAATTCACCTGTATGTGGACCCCAAAAAGCAACATGCCACAGATACAGGGAGCACACTGGCGGCTCCTGAGGTGGGGACGAGGGTGGGTGGGGATGCAGCGTTTGAAGGTGGGGACCTCCGAGTGCATCCTGGGATGGAAGGTGCAGCGTGCAGACTAGTGTTAACCTCACCATGTTGGGTGTTTGCAAGTTGCTAAAAGAGTAGATCTTAAAAGGTCTCATCTCAGGAAAACAACTTCTGTAACAATGTGAGTACCTCGAACTGTGGTGGTCTCTCTGCCATGTGTAGAATATTGAGTCATTATGTTGCTGGTGTGATGGTGTGTCTATTAGATGTGGTTACAAACCCACACATCTTACAAGGGAGAGGGGAGGACTGTGGGTGGGGAGGACTGGGGTGGGGAGGACTAGGGGCTGGGAGGACTGGGGGCTGGGAGGACGGGGGCTGGGAGGACTGGGGGCTGGGAGGACTGGGGCTGGGAGGATTGGGGGCTGGGAGGACGGGGGGCTGGGAGGACGGGGGGCTGGGAGGACGGGGGGCTGGGAGGACTGGGGGCTGGGAGGATGGGGGCTGGGAGGACTGGGGGCTGGGAGGATGGGGCTGGGAGGACTAAGGGTGGGGATGACTGGTGGTGGGGGGACTAAGGGTGGGGATGACTGGTGGTGGGGGGGACTAAGGGTGGGGATGACTGGTGGTGGGGGGGACTAAGGGTGGGGATGACTGGTGGTGGGGGGGACTAAGGGTGGGGATGACTGGTGGTGGGCGGGACTAAGGGTGGGGATGACTGGTAGTGGGGGGGACTAAGGGTGGGGATGACTGGTGGTGGGGGGGGACTAAGGGTGGGGATGACTGGTGGTGGGCGGGACTAAGGGTGGGGATGACTGGTGGTGGGCGGGACTAAGGGTGGGGATGACTGGTGGTGGGGGGGACTAAGGGTGGGGATGACTGGTGGTGGGCGGGACTAAGGGTGGGGATGACTGGTGGTGGGCGGGACTAAGGGTGGGGATGACTGGTGGTGGGGGGACTAAGGGTGGGGATGACTGGTGGTGGGGGGACTAAGGGTGGGGATGACTGGTGGTGGGGGGACTAAGGGTGGGGATGACTGGGGGTGGGGGGCCTAAGGGTGGGGATGACTGGGGGTGTGGGGCCTAAGGGTGGGGATGACTGGTGGTGGGGGAACTAAGGGTGGGGATGACTGGTGGTGGGGGGCCTAAGGGTGAGGATGACTGGGGGTGGGGGGACTAAGGGTGGGGATGACTGGGGGTGGGGGCCTAAGGGTGGGGAGGACTGGGGGTGGGGAGTACTGGATGGGGATGACTGGGGGTGGGGGGGACTGGATGGAGAGGACTCGGCATGGGGATGACTGGTTTGGGGAGGACTGTTTGAAAGCTAGGGCTCAGGGCCTGGAGCAGTCTGTGAATGAAAGTGTGGCCAAGGGCAGCCCCTTGATATTCAGCTGCAGGCTGCTGCCCACAGGACTGGCTGTCTTCATGCACAATGAGTTTATCAGGTGAGGATGAGGTCAGCACACTGCGGGGGGTGGGCGGCTTCCACTCTTAGGAGTCATTTTCTGCTGTAATGTCTCCCATGAGGGTCCCTGAGCCCCACTGAGGACAAATGACAGGACATTCATTCCAAATGGGCTTCTCAGCAGAGGCTCTATCAGGAGGTCGTGGTCCCAGACTGAGGCCGGAGCCGGGGAAGACACCCTCCATCCAGGGGACTCACCCAGCACACGGATGACCTTGGAGTCCTGCAGCACCGACTTCCCGCAGGCGGCCTGCACCGTCACACGCACATCCCCAGTGTCCGCAAACCGCATTGTCACAGAGTTGTTCAGGGACAGCAAGGGCTGTAGGGGACAAGCAGAGTCAGGGCCCAGCCTGGGGTGGCCACGGGGGAGCTGTGTCCAGGGCTGAGAACGCTGTCCCCTGCTCTCCTTAGGGAATGGGGCAACCGGGGGCATGGAGAGGGCCCCCAGAGACCCTGCATGGACACATGTCCTTCAAGACTGTCACGAGCCCTTCTACGTGGACGACTGAGAATTGGAATGGAGCCACAGGCTGGGCCTCCACACTGACCACAATCCACCTTCCCAGCCCCACTCAGCCGTGGCCCCACACCCAGCTCAGCACCAGCCTGTGGGGTGGGGTGCACCCATCAGCACTGGTGGGTATTACCTCGGACATCGCAGATGGGGACACAGGCTCTGGGAGGTGCAGTGACCAGCCCGAGGAGCTCCGCTGAAAGCGGCTGAGCTGGGATTCAAACCCAGAGCCCCAACCCCTTCCTAGTCCCACCCCACTCCAGGGAGCACCATGGGGAGCCCAGCCCCTCCCTCGCTGGCCTCTGTGTCTGCGCCCTCGGCTGCTGTTCAGGGAGCTATCTGCTTGGGGGTGCAGGGTGGCTGAATGGTGAAGGGTGCTTCTCCCTGGGTCCTGAGGCACCTCACCCCAGCCCAAGGATGGCCAGGCCAGCCCTGCACACACCTCAGGACCTCCCACCAGGCATTTTGTCCATAGGCTTGGAGCAAGGCTTCTGAGCTTGGGTCCAGCCCCAGTAACCCCCTCCTCCATGAAGCCTTCCCTGACCACCCCTACCCCAGACTAGAAATGGCCTCATCTCCCTTGGAGCTCTCAGATACCTTACCTGCCCCTTCCTGTGACACTTGTCACTCCCTAACTCAGGTCACCTACTCTGTTCACATCTCTTTCCCTGTGGAAAGGCAGGGTCTGGTCTGATTCACCCTGTGCCAACCACCTTCGGACATAGCTGGAAGCAAAGGTGCGTGTGCCTCAACTCGTGTCATGCACTGTCCTGCCCGATACCTAGGCTACGCCCTGCCCTCACTCTCCACCACAGGTGGAGCCTGTGGGATACAGGGCCACCAGAGGGCAGGGCCAGCATACCTGCAGGCTGTGGCCAATCCACCAGTAGAACACAGTGAGGTTGGGGTTCAGGGGCAGCAGCACAGCTGTGAGGTTCACCTCCTGGTTGATGCCAATGACAGGAGCCACCTCAAGGTAGAGGGCCTGTAGGGGGGCTGCAGGGTCCAGAAAGAGGTCGGGGTTAGGGGCATCAGGGTACTCGGCTTTTCAGAGGCTGTTTATTTAGGTCACAGTTACCATTAACTTCATCATTACTACTGCCGCCACCACCATGAACACCACCACCATCATCATGATCATCACTACTACCCCATCACCACCATGACGACCACCACCAAAACCACCACCATGACCACCTCTGCCACCATGACCACCACACCACTACCACCATCATCATGATCATCACTACTACCCCATCACCACCATGACGACCACCACCAGCACCACCACCATGACCACCTCCACCACCATGACCACCACACCACTACCACCATCATCATGATCATCACTACTACCCCATCACCACCATGACGACCACCACCAAAACCACCACCATGACCACCTCCACCACCATGACCACCACACCACTACCACCATCATCATGATCATTACTACTACCCCATCACCACCATGACGACCACCACCAAAACCACCACCATGACCACCTCCACCACCATGACCACCACACCACTACCACCATCATCATGATCATTACTACCACCACCACTACCATCGCTACCACCACAACCATCACCATCACCTTCACTACCACCACCACCACCATGACCACCACCACCAAAACCACCACCATGACCACCACCACCACCATGACCACCACACCACTACCACCACCATCATGATCATTACTACCACCACCACCATCATCACTACCACCACAACCATCACCTTCACTACCACCACCATGACCACCACCACCAAAACCACCACCATGACTACCACCACCACCATGACCACCACACCACTACCACCATCATCATGATCATTACTACCACCACCACCACCATGACCACCACCACCAAAACCACCACCATGACCACCACCACCACCACTACCACCACTACCATCACTACCACTACCACCTCACCATCACCACACCATCATGATCATCATCACTACCACCCCATCACCATCATCACCACCACCACCATCAGCAACACCATGACCACAACCACACCATCACCATCATTACTACCATCACCATCACCACCATGATCATCATCACTACTACCCCATCACCACCATGACCACCACCACAAGCACCACCACCAGCACCACCACCATCACTACCACCACCACCACCATCACTACCACCACCACCACCATCACTACCACCACCACCACCAGCACTACCACCACCACCACCAGCACCAGCACCATTACTATTACCACCACCAGCACCACCACCACCACCAGCACCACCACCACCACCACCATCGTCACTACCACCACCACTAACACCATCACCACACCATCATGATCATCACTACCACCCCATCACCACCATGAAAACCATCACCACCACCACCATGATCATCACTACTACCACCACCACCACCAACAACAACCCTATTACTGTGCAGACAGACCACCAGGGTGTGGCCTTGAGCACAGCCTGCCTGTCTCCCTGCCCTTGGGCTCCAGTCCTGAGGACGGGGTGGGAGGACCTGTCACAGCCCTGAGGAGCTCCCCGCACTCCCCAGGACCTGTTCCCTGCCGCAGGGACCCCCTGGCCTCAAAGGGTGCAGACTCACAGTTGACCTGCACGAAGAGCACCGCCTCGTCGTGCCCGACCACGTTCTCCGCTCTGACGGACACGCGGTAGATCCCGGGGTTCTCGTAGCAGTGCCGGATGACCTTCCCTGTCAACGTGAGGTTCATGTACATGGCCTTGAAGCCGTCCCCGAGGTCCACCTGGTACTTGGTGGTCAGGACATCGCCCTGCAGGAAACAGCATGAAGGCACTTGGGGCGCCCGCTAAGCCCGTTCACTCGCTCGCCCCCGGCGCGCCGCACTGAGGCAGGCACACGGCCCAGGGTTCCGGACCGGACGGCTGCAGCAGGGGCCAGGCTGACAGCTTGGAGGGAACCCCAGCTGCAGAGGGGGCGGGTGGAGGGGCCCAGGGGGAGGTCTGCGAGGCAGTGCAGGGGGCGGGGAGACCCCTGGGCCTGAGCCAGGAGCCTTGTGCACGCTGGGTCTTCAGTGACAGGCCTGGGAAGATGCCCGCGGGGTGAAGACTCTAGTCTCCCAGGAAACAGGACCCGCATTTCTCCTCTGGGGCCCGGTGCTTCCCGAGGGTCCTCCGTCTCACTGTGTGCGGTGTCAGGAGTGATCTCAGGCGCCCGGGTCTGGCAAGAGGGCGCGCCCACTGAAGGTTGCCTCCTCCCAGCATTTAACCACCCACACGCCGCTCTGTACCCTCGCCACGCGCGATCCCCCCAGTCGCCGCCCTGTGTCTGAGTCGTGGCCAAGTGAGTGAAGGAAGCAACAGCTTTAGAGCAAGAAGGCCTCACCCCCTCACTGTTGTCACCCCTTCCCGCCGCCCCATCCAGCAGCAGCACCCAAGAAGCCATGACGGGACAGGGCGGCACTGACCATTCAGCACCCCCTCTACGCCTGCTCCCATACTTCACCAAGCTCACGTCAGCTTCCGCTGCACACGGTGCGAGGGCCTGGCCCAGCCGGTCCTCCCCAAACGGCCACCTGGAACCTCAGCAGGTGACCGTACTTGGAAATGGGGTCTTTGCAGATGTTAGGTAGGATGGGGCCACGCTGGACAAGGACGGGCCCTGACCCCATGACGGGTGTCTTTATGGAGGAGAAGAGATTTGGACCCAGACAAGGAGGCCAGGTGAACACGAGGAGAGACTGGGCCGATGTGGCCACAGACTGGGGGACCCCTGAGCCACCAGGAGCTGCACGAGGCAGGAAGGACCCCTTCCGGCACCTGCAGAGGGCACAGCCCTCTGACACCTGCATTTCGGATCTCCAGCCTGCAGGACCATGAGAGAAGTGAGGTGCGTTGTTTGGGGCCCCGCCGTCTGCGGCCATCGTCACGACAGCCTCTAGAGCCTTGTACACACACGTTCTATTACCCCCACTTGACAGGAGACAAGACTGAGGCCCGAGAGCCTGGAGCTGGGCAGGCGGGCTCAGTCCCGTGCCCTCTGTTTCCAGGCGGCCTCACGGGCAGACAGTGGTGGGCGGTGGGGCCGAGGGGCTCAAGTCCACCTTGCTCCCCGGAGGGAGGGTTTCTGCGCTGCGCCCTGAGAAGCAGAAGGCACTTGGGACTGCAGCCAGGGCCTGTGGCTGTGACTCGGGCGGGCGCCACGCCCAGCTCTGGGAACCCCGTGCCCCTGCCCCGTGGCTGACCGGAGCTCACTGTCTCCTGGGCAGAGAGCAGCGCCCTCCCAGCACGGAGCAGGCAGGAAACCAAGGGGCAGAGAGAGCTGAACGCGGCCAGGCGGCGTGACGCCCACCACCCACTCCCGTGCACGGCTCACGGACATGTTCCAGCGCGTTTCTTACTGAGCACCTACGGAGGTGAGACGTCCCTTCCGAGACACCCGTCAGCTCACAGGCACTGTGGGGGGCAGTGCGGGACCCATGTCCCCTGAACCCCGTTCCCCCCGGCTAACACCTCACACCACAATGACATCACGAGGCAGCAGGCACTGATGGTCGGACACGGAGACGTGGGGCCACTGCAGGGCCCCCCCTTTCATAGCCCCACCCCTCCCCATCACACCGACTCCCTGGAAACCACGACTCTGCCCCCCGTTTCTCTGGTCTGGTCATTTTGACGATGCCCTATCCCCGGCATGAGGCGGGGTGTGCGTGGACCGGGCTATTCTTCGTCAGTGTCATTCTGTGGAGAGGCCCGGGTGGTGGTGTGAACCCCCTGCCCCTCTCGGGGCAGAGCAGTATGCCGCTGCGGGTGGACCACAGGTGTCTATCCAGTCGCCCCCGGAGGACACTGGGTGTCGCCATTTCTGGTCGTTATGAATAAAGCTGCCGTGAACACTGGTGCCCAGGTTTTTGTGTGAACACAGGTCTCCGTCTCCCTGGGTCGGACGCTCAGGGGTGCCACTGCCGAGTCCTCTGGGAGCTGCGGGCCCAGCTGTTTTTAAGAAACCGCCAAACTGTTTCCCCGAGTGGCTGTATCATGTCGCATGGCCGCCAGCCACGCGAGGGGTGCAGTTTCTCCGCCAGCACGTGGGCCGTCCTGGTGGGTGGGCAGTGACGGTCCCTGTGGCTTCCCTGGCATCTCCCCGAGGGAATGGTGTCCACCACCTGCTTCTCCGCCACCTGCACGTCCTCATGGCTGAAACGTCCCCTCGTGTCTTTTGCTCTAACTGGATTGTGTGTTTCTTACCATCGGGCTCTCACAGGTCTTAAAGGTTTTTGTTAAACTGATCTTTAGAGAGGGAAGGGAAGACACAGAACCATCGACGAGAGAAGCACCAATCAGCCGCCCCCTGCACGCCCCACAGGGGACTGAGCCCACAACCCGGGCACGTGCCCTGACCGGAATCGAACCGGCGACCCTGTGGTGCACCCGAGCCACCCCGCCAGGGCCGACAGTCCTTCCACGCTCTGGGTACCGTCCATGCTGCACAAGTGACTGTCCTACTCTCTCTGTAGCTCGTCTTCTCATGTTCCCAACAGGGCTGTCAGAGGGCAAAGCATCTTGTCTGACCAGGTCCCACTCCTCAGATTTCCTTTACGGATGGTGCTCAGGGCCAACTCCACGGGCAGGTCCCAGACATTCCCCCTCTCTTTCCTGGAGGATTTCTAGTTTCCCCTCTTGCATTTACATCCGCATCCCTTGAGCTGACTCTGCCTCGGGTGTGAGTTCCGCTGAGCTTCGTCTTCCTCGGATGTTCACTCGCTGACACCCCCCGATGGAGAGGTCAAAGCAGCCATGCGTGTCGGTGGGGGTCCCCTGCTGGCTTCTGTCGGGCCTTACTTTGAATTCTTAGATATTCACAGAACGTGGGTCCCCCTAATCCAGTGCTATTCCCACACCCCGCTTGGCGGGTGTGTGAGTGTGAGTGTGCACAAGTGTGTGTACATGGCCCCGCCCCGCATTCCCACACTCCTCCCCTGGCTTCAGTGAGGCAGCCGGCGGCCTCTCCTGGGCAGCCGTGTGCACGGTGAGACCTCTCTCTTCTCCGAGGCTGCCCGGTGCTCCCCTCGCCCCTGGCTGACCCCAGCCCCCTGCAACAGAGGGCCCTCTGGGCAGGGGCCTGACAGGCTTGTCCCGTCTGGTCTCCCGGTCAGAGAATCCAGTTCACACACAACTGGGTGGAGGAGATTCCAGGCTCTAGGGGGCAGCAGACGGTCATTTTTGTCTGGAAGTCCCTCCTGGAACTTGGACAGCGACTGGGTCCACTCGCCCAGGGTCCGGGCGCCCTGAGCTGGGCAGAGGGCTTCATCCCCTCGCCACCCCAGGATGCTGCTGTGAGCAGAGGTGCCCCTCCTCCACCCCAGGTCCACCCAAGGCTCAGAGCAGGAGTTTCAGGGCCAGGACCAGGTACCGTCCACCCGGAATCCCCAGGCCACCGCTGTCGTTTGTCACTCTGTGCTTTTGGCCGTGTCGGCCCTTGTCTGAACCTGGGTTCCCAGCTACCACGTGGTGGACAGGAGCATGGGAGGGGGGCAGTGTGCCTAACGTGCCCCCACCCCCGCACCCCACGTGCAGCTCTACGGCTGCCTTGGCCTCAGTTTCCCTGTCTGCACTAGCGCAGACTCCCTGCTCGCCCACATCGAAGACCCTTGTCAGCATCTCCCGGCCCCCCTCTGGCACCACAGTGAAGGACGTGGGAGCAGAGTTCCAAACGCCCAGCCACGCCGCCAAAACCCAGGGAGCCCACCGGGCCCGCGCCAGCCGGAGGGCGTCCCAGCTTCGCCTTGGGATTTACTGTGATTCAAATCGCCAGAGGGCTCCTGCGTGTTCCGATTGCTGGTTCTGAACGTCCTGCGAGCACTTTCCCTGCTACAGTCAGAAAAGCGGGCAGACGAGGAGGGAGGACACAAATTAACAGCTGTTACCTTGGGGAACAGGAGTCCCGGTGATACTTCCCTCCTCCATATTTTTATGTGTTTTTAAAATGTCCTATAATGGGTCTACATTATTTTTAAAATCAGAAGAAAATGTAACACTATACTAAAGAAAGAAAAATGAAGGTTAGGAGCCTGGGAGGAAGTGTGTATACATTTGTGTGTGTATTTGTGTGTGTGTATCTACAGATCTATATCCATCTACCATCTAGTTACAGGACTGACGTTGGTAGTGGGATTTGTAAAGTAATAGTTTGCTTTTCAACTTTCTGCTTTTCCTTCAGATTCCAAACTAACCAAACCAATATGCCTGGAAGTTTAAACCCTCTTGCCGCCCGCAGGACTGAGGGGTCTCACACCAGGCGCGGTCCACGCCCCGCGCACGTCGGAGGCCGCATCTCCCTCCACCCACAGCCCGCCCCGCTCCGGTTTCGTGGCCGCTGGTCTGGACCGGGAAGGGGCTGCCGGCCCCTGGAGGCGGCGGGAAGACCCGCACACCGGTTGGCCCGCAGGGCCCGCACGCGCTCACCTGCTCCTGCCGCACCTCCAGCAGGATGTCCTGCCCGGGCCGCACGGCCACGGCGGCCTCGCCCAGCAGGTCGATGTGCAGGCCCCGCGGCGGGCTCAGCGGGCACTGCAGCGGCGCCGGGCTCCGCGCCAGGTCCACGCCGCCCTCGCACACATTGGACACCGCCTTCCGGTACCTGCGGTCAGAGCGCGGTCAGGCTCCGCGGATGGACAGGCGGGTGGGGTGGGGTGGGCCCTGCAGTTGGGCGGGGACACGCTTGCGCCCAGGGGTGGCTCTTGGCTCCGGCCTCCGTTCACCAGCTCCGGGCCTCCTCCGACTCCCGCTGGCTGTGACCCTTGCTCCATGGCAGGGGTGAGGAAACCGAGGCCAGAGGGGGTGAATGACCAGAAACGGCAGGGTCCGTCACCGAGGGACGTTTTTTTGGTCTGATCATATCACTTATAATAATAACCATAACAACAGCTGTCGTTATTGTTGCCGAGGGGATGACCGAAGCAGCCGGTCTGCATTTCGGGGCCTCGCTGAGAAGCATGGTCCCTGGGAGGACAGAGTACCGGGAGGGGCTGGGGTTCGACCCTGGCCTTGCCGCTGACGTGTGGCCGTGGTTCCGGTTCTCGTCCCCTGCACAGGACAGCACCTGACTGGTCTGCTCGCTCATGCAACGTGGACTCACTGAGTGTCTGCACATGCCAGGTGCCGGGGTACGGGGGTCACACAGCCCTGCCCTTGCAGGGGGAGGCCTTATCAAACCATGCCCGCATCCAGGTAAGACCATGACTGACGAGCTCTGGGCAGCGGGTCCCTGAAAGGGGCTTTCAGCTGAGCTCACGAGGGTGAGCAGGAGAGGAGGGGGCACGAGGGGCAGCGGGACCAGCACGTGCAAAGGTCCTGTGATGGGTGCGGAACAGGGAGGAGATGGGCTGGAGAGGGGCTGGTGGGCAGACACCAATGGGCTCAGGTAAACACGCTTTTTAGGAGACCACAGGGAACTTCTGCACAGGTGGTGTCATCTGGCTTGCCAATTAGGAAGCTCCCTCAGCTACCCCGGATCTGGGTCTGGAAGACGGGCATCACGGCCAAAGTGTCCGGGCCTGCCCGCTTCCCCACGCCCGTGCCCCTCTGGCCCCCACAGCTCAGCGCTGAATGAACATTCAGAAGTCATCCTGCAAGGGACACCCTGATTACTTTGGAATAAAATACACTAAGAGCTACCCCTCCACCCACACAGCACCACGGTGCCGGGACACATAGATGGTGCCCAGAACGAAACAAGACCCTCTGCCCTTGACAGGGTCCCTACTTGCCAAGGCCTGGCAGGTGCACTGGAGCAGCTGCCGTGCCTGCCGGCTGGAGGGAGGGGCAGAGGGAGGGAGGGATGATAGATTGAAAAATGGAAGGATGGATGGAGAATGGGTTGGAGACTGAATGGACAGATGGATAATGGGTGACGGGGTAGACAGATGGGGGAATGAGTGCATGGATGGTGGGTGGGTGGATGGATACAGGGACGAAGATGATGGATGGATGGCAGGACTTATGCGCGGAGGTCCAACCAACACCGAGAATTCTGGTCCCATTTCCTGCTTCCCTGGGCTCTGCCCTGCCCGTCCCAGGGGTGATAACAGGGGCTTTCGAACAAGCCCACAGGTTTTACTCTCCCTCTCGAAGCTTCCTCTGACGGAAGTGGGACTTTTAAAGATGATATGATGTTTCCTGAGCACCTGATGCTCAGTGAATCACTGCTTGGGGTCGCTGCCAGGAATCATGGGCCCCCTTCTGGGGGACAAGTCCTCATGAGCTGGAGGCAGGACTTTTAGGGGGAGCATGTTTGGGGCCTCTGGAAGCTGCAAGCTCCCTGCTTTTAGGTCCCTGACTTCTTCATCTGAGATTAACCCTTTACAGACAGCACAGCCAGCCTCTGGGGAGGTGCAGTCACGCCCAGCCCGTGCTGTCACCCCACCCTGAAGGCACAGCTCACAGCAGGGAGACCGACAGCTAAGTGAGGACAACGCCCGATGTGTGCCATGAGCGGTAAGCTCGGGCCCGGGCAGCGGTCAGCGAAGGCTTCCTGGAGGAAGTGCCATTCAAGCTGCGACCTAGAGGGGTAGGAGCCCCTCTGGCCCGGCTCAGGGCTGCCTCACTTGTGCTGGTGAATGGGGAAGGGGCCGGCACTGCAGGGGCTCAGAGGACCAGGCAGGGGTAACTTCCCTTGGGCCCAGCCCTGCAGCCGGTGTGAGCTCCCAGGCACCTGGGCCTTCTCTGCCTGTTGTCCTTTGTCAGTCAATGTGACGCAGGCTACTCCCTCTGCCGCCCGTGTGGGCTCACATCGAAGCACCCCGAGGGTCCGCGCCTGGGGTGACCTTCAGGAGCCCTGGCCAACAGGATGTCTCAGCTCTGACCTTTCTTTCTCTGACCCCATGCAGGAGCTGCAGGGCCAGGCAGGAGGGCAGCGGGGCCCACAGCTCTGCCCCAGGCCAGGCAGGAGGGCGGCGGGGCCCACGGCTCTGCCCCGGGCCAGGCAGGAGGGTGGGGGGGGGGCGACTCTGCCCCGGGCCAGGCAGGAAGGTGGGGGGCCCACGGCTCTGCCCCGGGCCAGGCAGGAGGGTGGGGGGGGCGACTCTGCCCCGGGCCAGGCAGGAGGCCGTGTGCACTCACCCGAGACTGCTGGTGTAGGTCTGGCCCAGGACGCAGTTGTCTGGCGGGGACAAGGGGTTAAACCAGAAGTTGGCAAAGCACTTGTCCTCGGAGGGGGAGCGCTCAAATCCATAGTCACTGGGGGAAGAGAGAACTTCCATCAGGCAGGTGTGGGGATAGGAGTCCCAGAGGCGGATCCACGTGGCCCCTGCACCGGGGGTGAGGGGTGGGGACAGGCTCGAATGGCTCCATATGTTCCAAGTGAGATGGGGTGCGAGGGGATTCTGGGAGCTCACAGGAGGGCACCGAGCCCAGCCCGGGTGTCCTGGAGGGCTGCCTGGAGGTGGTGAGCTGCTCAAAGGAAGAGCAGGAGACAGCCAGGGAAAGAGAGCAGAGGGCACAGCCGGGGGACCAGCCCCCCAATGCTGGTGCAGGGGAAACAGGTGGGGGAGGTGGGACAGGATGGCGACGTGAGGATGGGGAGGCAGCAGGCGAGCCACAGGCCTCGGGAGCTGGGCTCCGAGATGAGCGTTCTCCTGGGGGCAGAGGGGCAGAGTCCCGGGACGGAGGAGGGACTGGGTGGGCATGGCTGGTCCTGATTCCTCCTCCCGCCTGCGAGCAGCCCCCCCCCTCCCGGTCTTACAGGCAGGCCCCGGAGCTCTTTTTGTTTTTTTATCCTCACCCAAGGACATTTTTGCATTTATCTCCAGATAGAGCGGGAGGGAGAGAGAGAGAAACATCGATGTGAAAGGGACACATCGACTGGCTGCCACCCACACGACCCAACCAGGGCTGGGGACAAACTGCAACCGAGGTACGTGCCCTTAGCGGGAACCGAACCCCGGTCTCTCTGGTCTGCGGGCCGACGCTCTAACCGCTGAGCAACGCCGGCCAGGGCAGCCCAGAAGATCTTTATCGCCTTCCTCAAGGGTGGGCTGGACCAAGTGACCCACCCTTGGCAGAAGTGACAGGTGACCCGGATGAGGTCCCAGAAGGCACGGTGGCCCTTGCCCTCCGTCTGGCCTGTGCCGGGCGCTAAGGCCCCCGAGCGGGACAGACCCTCACCAGAGGAAGTCGGAGTCCTGGCACGGGCACACCTGAGACGTGAGAGCCGACGTGAAGTTCCTGCCGTTGACGCACCAGGACGCCGCCTTCCTCTTCCGGAAGCTCCTGCGCCGGCCCATGAGGCAGCCGTCACCCTGCAGTGGCAGCGTGGGGAGCGGTTTGATCCCTTTCACAGATGGGGAGTCTGAGGCCCAGGAGGGGAGGGGCATGCCTGAGGGCAAGGTGGGGCAGCCACCCTCCCCTCCCGCCCGCAAGCATTCATGGAACAACAGGACAGAGGTTACACTTGGAGCCCAGGGCAGGTGGTCAGGGAAGGCTTCCTGGAGGAAGTACCATCCAAGCTCCATCTGGGCTCGAGGGGACATCGGGCTGCCGGCAATGGCGCCCCTATAAGATTCCCAGGCCCCAGGGGTGCCAGGCCCCATGCAGGAGCTGGGACAAGTGAGCCATGGCCTGGAGGGCCCACGTGGACGCACAGTAGGTCCTCGGCCAGTGAGCCATGGCCTGGAGGGCCCACGTGGACGCACAGTAGGTGCTCGGCCAGTGAGCCATGGCCTGGAGGGCCCACGTGGACGCACAGTAGGTCCTCGGCCAGTGAGCCATGGCCTGGAGGGCCCACGTGGACGCACAGTAGGTCCTCGGCCAGTGAGCCATGGCCTGGAGGGCCCACGTGGACGCACAGTAGGTCCTCGGCCAGTGAGCCCACAGCAGGCGCAGGGCCCCCAGCCTGCAGCCCCGGCCTCCCTACCAACCTCCACAACACAGCCTAACCTGCACCGCAGGGGGAGGCCCTCTCTGGTCCCCGTGACCCCCCCGAGTGTGACTGTTACACCTATTACTGTGAAAACAGGTGCGTGTTGAGATGATGGGGCGGGGCTGCCCCAGGCCGCCCGGGGGCGGTAGGTTGTACATGATACATGTACCATGTTACCTTCCTACCGTCTGAACCACCCTGAATCCCAGGCACATCCGACTGCACGAACGGGTTGGGGCCTGGGGACCTGTGCCCCCGATAACGACTGAGCCCAGAGAAGCCCAGGCGCTGAGAAGGGGCAGAAAACCCCAGGAGGCCGGGCGTGTAAGGGCGGTCAGGGTTCTGGGGAGACTGTGGAGGAGGAGAGGCCCCGGCCTCACGGGGACTCTGGAGGGCCGGCGGGGAGCCCTGCCGCCCCGTCCTGGCCCACCTGCAGGTTGACGAGGTCCCAGGAGCTGTAGTCCTCCTCGCTGCAGGTCCTGGGGAAGGAGGGCCGGAAGTCCACCTTCACCAGCTCCCAGTCCGAGCGGTAGCTGATGTGGCCGAAGATGCTGGGAGAGGGGACGGAAACCCCGTCATCTGGGCCGTCCCCACGTCCCTCAGGGCCTCAGCTGCCACCCTCACCGTGGGCCCAGCGACCCCTCTCCCACCCTGGCGGGGCCACCCTGGGACTAAACTGCCGCAGCCCAGATGCCAGCCGGGCCCGGACCAGGGTCGAGCTGGGCTCCCGGGCGGACGCAGCCTGCTCTGCCCTGCTCTGGCCTGGCTGCAGCGACTTCACAGCCGACGCAAACAACAGCGATGGCAACAGTAACAATAAACCGGCAGCTCAGGGGGGTGGGGCGGGGCAGGGACCCAGAGGCAGCGTGGACTCCCGGCTGTATGTCTCAACATACAGTGATCTGAGGAGGTAACGGAGGTCCCTGGACAGGGCCAGACAAGAGGCCACCTTCCGTGGCCGGGGACAGGAAGCCAGTCTAGCAAGGAGCCTGGAGCGGGCAGGTGTGGGGGTGAGGTGAGGGCGAGGAAGGGCTGGGGCCGGTGTTGAGCCCGCCTCAGAGCAGCAGAGGCTCGGGGTGGCCCTCCACACACCCTCCAGGGGTGCCCCCCGCGGGGCACTCACGTGATGACTAGCGTCTCCTCTCCTGGCTCACTCAGCAGCCCGTCCACAAACACGCTCGTGTCTGTGAAGTTGTAGGTGCTCCACGTGAGGCCCTCGTCCGTGCTGAACCTGCCGGGGAGGGGCGTCACCCTCTGCAGGACCGGCGGGAGCCCTCCCGGTGTCCAGGACTGGCTGCCCCGCTGCAGCCCACCGTGCCTGTGCCCAGGGCCAGGGCCGTCCAGCCGAGGTGGCTGGGAGAACAGTGTGGAGGGAGCCGTGTTTGTCCCCAGGGCCAGCCCAGCACCTAGGCCCCAACTGGACCCCTGACTTTGCTCTCTCTTGGGAGGCCACAGCGGCTACCTGCCAGCACCAAGCGGTACCCACATCTGCTCAGCAACACAATAGTCAAGAGTACCCCTGGACTGCAGACCCACCCAATGCCTGCACCCGGCCCAGGGATTGCCAGGCCGACTGCAGCTTCCTGCCTCCCAATGCAGCGTATCACAGTGCTGCTAGCTCTGAGTGCAGAAAGCTCTTTTTCAGACTAAAGTGATACTGGCTTCCTGGCGGCTCCCCAACTCTGCCTTTGGACCCAGAGTGCACACCTGCCTTGCTTCACAACAGCCCTCTGGATGTCAAGGTGACAGCAAGCCCTCTCCCCTGGGCACATGCTGTTGGCTTCCTTGTCTAATCTCACCTCTTCTATTTAAATAGTTCCTATCGATGCTTAAAAGTCACCTCCTCTGGGAAGCCCTCCTTGCTTTCCCAGACTGTGGCGGGGGCCTTTCTAGGCCTCACAGACCCAGGCCTCCCTCGGGCTTCCTCCGGCCGTGCTGCACTGCCATCCCTGTCCCTGTGTCCCCACGCCCAGCCCGGAGCAGCTGCTGGGGCGCGGCGTGCTAAGATGGCTGCCACCCCACACGGCAGAGTTTAGTGCCCTTGTCCCGGGCCCCACGGGAAGGCCCGCCCACCCCGCAGCCCGTTACTTGAGGATCTTCAGGGGGATGGAGCTGTCCTTGATGGCCACAATCACACCGCCGTGGTCCAGGTAGAGGATGTGGTGCTCCTCCTCGAACACCTGCGAAGGGGGTGGACGACACCCTGAGAAGTGTCGGAGGTTGTTCAGGGTCGGGGTCGCTTGTGGGGAGCAGATCTGAGGGCTCCCATGTCCCCAGGCTGCCCCCACGCTCTGCCGCACCCCCTCAGCACACATGGATGGGCAGATGACAAGTGCTGGTTTCTAGAGCGGCGAGGGGCGTGGGAAGGGGCAGCGCAAGCAAACACGGTGGGCGGTAAGGCTCAGCCCAAGTGCTGCCTCCTCCGGGAAGCCCCCCTGGTGCCAGAGCACTACTTGGGTTCTCCCCAGATACGCCCCACGGTGCTCACTGCTGCTGACTCCACGGATGTGGCCGCAGGGGGTCAGAGGACTGGGCCGGCCTGGTGTCCTGTCCTAACCATTACTCGGGATAATGCTGCCTGAGGCTACATTCATAGAGGCAGAGACTCCTGGATGAGGGAGGTGACAACCCGCAATTTGTCAGGTACTGTGAGGAAGCAATTTTCACACTTCTCCTCCCACTCCGTCCACCCATTCGACAGACCGGGTGCTCCAGGCCCTCTCTGGGTGCGGGATCCAGAGGTGGAGAGGAAAGTCTGGCCCCAGGAATCCGGAGCCCAGGGGGAGACCCCCAGGGAGGAACCTCCACTCAGAGACTCGTCCACTCAGATGCCAGCGATGAGGGCCCCATCCACTCGGGCTCTGAGCCAGCTCGGGTCCTGGCACAGCCCGGGGTCCCGGCCAGTGTTTGGGGTGAGTGATGTTAAATTCCAATTCAACACGACCTGAGTCACTGGGCGCCCCAGGGAGGGGTCACGGCACAGGTAGCATGTGGGTTTATCTCAGGAGGGGCAGCGTGGGGGACAGTGTGTGCAGGAGCCTGGAGGTTACAGAGCAGTGTCCAGGGGCAGGAAATGCTGGAGAGGGCGGCTGGGGCGCCAGTGGCAGGTTGGGGCTTCCCCCTGGAGATGTCAGCGACACCCCAGGTTCAAGGGGACGGGCACACACAGATTCCCCTTTTAGAGCTCCCTCCGGTGCGGGGGGGGGGGGGGGGATGGGATTCTGAAGCAGACTGGCTTCCCCTCCAGGAAAGAGTGAGCTCCTCGTCTCGGGGAATATTCAAGGAGAAACTAGGCTCCAGGACCCTGGGCTGCCAGGCGGGTGGCGGAAACCGCGCTCGGTCCTGCGATGCTGAATGAGGGGCACAGGGCAGCAGACTCGGAGCTGCTTGTGCCGCCCCCGGGGTTTGCCGAGGGCCGTCTGCTCCGCTCCACCTGGTCTCCCGCCGGAGCCGGCCGCTGGGCAGCAGGGGTGGCGCCCGAAGGAAAGCCAGGGCGTGTTCTCAGAGCCTGGTTGCTCCCCGGAGGGATTCACTCCTGGGACCCTGCTGGCCGCTGGGCGTGGTGCTGAGTGCGCACAACCACCTGAGCTCAGACCACGTCCAGCCACCCTCCTCCCTCACGGAAGGCAGGCGTGCTCACTGCGTCCGTCCGCCAGGACGACCAGCACCTCCAGCCACCCCCGGGCACCCCACAGACAACCCGCTCATTAGCTCAGGACTCTGGAAAAGGGGCTCGGGGTTTCCCCCAGCCCAGCAGGGTGCAGGGGCAAGCTGACTCCTTGTCCGGCCTCCCCACACCTGGCTCTGCAGGCCCCCGGAATGCTGCCCGGCCATTGTTTCCCTTCGCCCCAGGGAACTCGCCTTCTGACGACGTCTGTCCATCCACAGCGCATACGTGGGAACTTGCGACCCTGTCCTGAGCTCTCTCAGACTGTCTCTGCTGGACTCAGCTGCCTGAGCTCGCCTGGTCATCCTGCCTCTGTCCTGCCTCTGTCCTGCCTTGTCCCCGGCCTCCGCACCCCAAGTAAACTCCCAAATGCAGCTCCAGGGGCTCCGTCCCCACATGCACAAGACTCACATGGGTGCCCCCCCTCCTCCTCGGGGAACAGGAGCCCCCCCACCCCCTATCATTTGGGAAGGGAGCAAGCACCCCGAGGGAAGGCCCACACTTCGGCACCTGGACAGTCTCCCCTTAAATTCTGACACCCCCAGTTTGAAGTCTAAGCCAGCAGCCCGCCGGGAGTGGCCGCCGTGAACGCCACAGGGTTTCTGGGAACGCAGACGGGCTGCGTCCCCGCGGCCTTCACTCCAGCGGGCTCTCCAGTAGCCGGACAGAGGGTGACCTTTGAGGAAGTTTAGACACGCTTCCCCGGTTTTGTGGAATAGAAATATTATAACACGATAAATCTCCGTTGCCCTTTTCAAAATTCCTTGTTTCGTGCATATTATTAAAAGGCGCCGGGACCATCCGTCCAGGCCGCAGGCGACGCGCACACAGGGCTGAACGGCCTGTCCAGATGGCCGCCGGGGGGCTGCGGACCTGAGCGTCCACAGTGCCGGGAAGGAGAGGCACACCGAGGTCTAGTGCGGCCTCCTAAGTGTTTCAAGCAGAAACTGTTGCTCCAAGAAGGTGGCAGACCAGACAAGGCCTCTCCTGTCGCTGGAAATGGGCCTCACGCAGACGGAGCCTGGCCCTCCCCCGGCGGAGCTCCGGGCTGGGCTCTGAGCCCTGCAGCCCACCCCCGCCTCCCGGTCTCCACTGAACCTGAGCTCGGGCTGCACAGGGCACAGGGGGCATCTCCTGCATCGCGCTCTCCCTGCCCTGTCCCTCTCTCAGGCCACACTGCCAAATCAGATCACCACCGGGACGTCCCCAGGCTCACGGGGCCCCTAAACCTCCCCGTCCTCTCCTTCTCTCCCACGACTGCCGTCCACCCAGCAGCCTCCCTGCCAGGACCCTGGGGCTGTCCCGCTTCTCGGTGTCCAGAAAGAACTCAGCCCAGCCTCCGAGTCCCCACATGGCTTCCTGTGGGGACGGCACCCCCACCCGTCCCTGGCGTTCACTCCCTTGGCTTCGACGTCTACGTAACTTGTGTGACGTGTAGGGCTGTCAGTCCTGTGTGACCGTGTAGGGCTGTCAGTCCTGTGTGACCGTGTAGGGCAGTCAGTCCTGTGTGACCGTGTAGGGCAGTCAGTCCTGTGTGACCGTGTAGGGCAGTCAGTCCTGTGTGACCGTGTAGGGCAGTCAGTCCTGTGTGACGTGTAGGGCAGTCAGTCCTGTGTGACCGTGTAGGGCAGTCAGTCCTGTGTGACCGTGTAGGGCAGTCAGTCCTGTGTGACCGTGTAGGGCAGTCAGTCCTGTGTGACCGTGTAGGGCAGTCAGTCCTGTGTGACCGTGTAGGGCAGTCAGTCCTGTGTGACCGTGTAGGGCAGTCAGTCCTGTGTGACCGTGTAGGGCAGTCAGTCCTGTGTGACCGTGTAGGGCAGTCAGTCCTGTGTGACCGTGTAGGGCAGTCAGTCCTGTGTGACCGTGTAGGGCAGTCAGTCCTGTGTGACGTGTAGGGCAGTCAGTCCTGTGTGACCGTGTAGGGCTGTCAGTCCTGTGTGGACGTGTAGGGCAGTCAGTCCTGTGTGGACGTGTAGGGCTGTCAGTCCTGTGTGGACGTGTAGGGCTGTCAGTCCTGTGTGACCGTGTAGGGCTGTCAGTCCTGTGTGACGTGTAGGGCTGTCAGTCCTGTGTGACGTGTAGGGCTGTCAGTCCGTCATGTGGCCGTCAGCACGGCCAGTGGGTTGGGCCAGCGGTGAGGTAAGGTCTGCTACAGGGAGCTGGGCGTCCACCACTCGGGCTGGGAGGGGAGGGTCACGGAACAGACACACCTCTGGGGAGCTCAGTGGAGCCAGCATGGGGTGGGGAGTGGGCGCCGGGCCGCTCTCTGCCACCGTACCTGCCGCCAGGTGTTCCCGCAGTCGGACGTGATGTACATTTCTTCCTTGTACTCGACCAGCTGGGAGCCCAGGTTGCCTGGTCCAGAAGGAAAGGGGCAGGGTTGCTCCAGGATCCGCGAGCTCCCCTCACCGAGGTCTGAGGGGGCACCTGTGGGGGGGCTGCACCTCTCGCCGGAAACCACCCGACGGTGCGCCGTCTGCAGGGACCTGGCGCTCGTCTGTGTGTTAAAGGACCAACTTTCCCAAAGAAAGCCAGCCTCGGGCAGCTGCAGCCTGAGCCAGGGACAGGCATCGCTCGGCGCCTCAGGGGACCCCCAGGGGACGAGTGTGGTCCCAGAATAAGAAGCGTAGAGTGGTGTTCGGGAACCGGTTTGAGAGGGCACGGGCCAGGCGGGCCAGACCGCAGCCCCGACGGGCTTTACGCTGGGACAGGGCAGCTGGGTTCGCCTTTGGAGACGGCTCCCTGGGGGCCGGGTGCAGGGGAGACCAGAGGCCGGTCCAGGGGAGCCTGGTACAGTCCAGGAAGCAGCAAAGAAAGCACGTGGTAGGTCCTCGTGAAGCATCTGCTGAGTGGATTTGGGGGATGGTGAGGTGGCACCAAACCGGCGGAGCACCCAGGAGGCTCCCCTTGGTTCACTGGAGTCCCTGTGCCGGGCTGGCTGGTGGGTCACCAGCCTTGATGGCCACTCTGTGGGACCCAGACTTAATCCTGGGGGTGGTGCTAGGGTGAGGAGAACCCCCAGCCTGGTACCGAGGCTGAGCACCCAGGAAGGTGAAGGACCTGAGATGAGGGCACAGAAGCCCTTCTGGACTCTCGCCTGGAGCCCCAGAGGCCCCTGCCCTGGGCGACCTGTGCACTGCTTGCTGCTTGAAACCTTATTTATGCAGAAGTCTCAAGAGTCTCTTATCCAGAGTCAAGTTTAGGCATCACTGGAAAATTCCAAAGGTGATGGATTGTCTTCAGTTAGTAAAGGGAGTTCCAAGCAGAGTGGCAGAGGGTTTATGTGCCTGTCTTCTGTTCTGAGGTCCAGCCAAGTACCAATACATGCATCCATCCATCCATCATCTTTCCATCCATCCACCCATCTGCCCATCCATCCATCCATCCACCCACCCATCCACCCATCCATCCAATCATCCATCCATCCATCCATCTATACATCCATCCATCTATACATCCATCCATCTATACATCCATCCATCATGTTTCCATCCACCCACCCATCCGCCCATCCATCCAATCATCCATCCATCTATACATCCATCCATCTATACATCCACCCATCATGTTTCCATCCACCCACCCATCCACCCATCCATTCAATCATCCATCCATCCATCTATACATCCATCCATCATCTTTCCATCCATCCACCCATCTGCCCATCCATCCACCCATCCGCCCATCCATCCATTCAATCATCCATCCATCCATCTATACATCCATCCATCATCTTTCCATCCATCCATCCAACCATCCATCCATCCATCCAACCATCCATCCATCCATCCACCCATCCATCCACCACCCATCCACCCATCCACCCATCCATCCATCCATCCATGTATCTATACATCCATCCATCATCCATCCACCTGCCTGTTCAGCCAACACATACCCTGTGCCCACTCTGGGCCATGCACTCACCCCTCCTGGTTTCCATGACAACTGAGCTTCCTGGTGATGTCACTGCCCCTCAATATACACACCATTACCCAGGCCCATGGCAACAAGTTTTACCCTTGAGAACAGAGCTTCCCTCGTGCAGTGTGGCCCCGCATGGTGGCGTCTCCTACCTGCGCCCATGATGAGGCCGGGGGCGGTGTCCTTGGTGTGCACAGTGCCCGACACGTAGGGGTTGTCGGCCCAGAGCAGGTGCAGGTGCAGGTGGCAGGCCGGCTACACGGAGGAGAGGGAGCCACGGTCAGCGCTGGGGGTGAGGAGTGTCCCCAGGGAGGCAGGACTGAGCCCAAATCCACCCTGTGGCTCCGAGGGCGGGAGGGCAGGGCCAGGACACCTCTCAGGAGCAGATGGAGGGGGAGGGGCTGAGGCTGCCTACGAGGTGAAGGCGTCAGGTCTGGGCTGGGGGACTCTGCTCTCGGGTGGAGCCAGTGGGCTTCTCCAAGGGGGGCTCTCCCAGCGTGGTGCTGGCGGGCGGGCCTCCCAATGTGCAGCGCTGGGCACGGGACGTGACCCCGAGCCTGCCCGGCCCTCACGCCCATGCGCTCATCCATCCAGAACCTTCACTGGGGGCCTTGTACGGGACCCTGCTGGCCCAGGCATCAGGGAAGCTGGGGACACCCGTGAGCCCCGTGTCCTCTGGGAGGCAGAGAGGCTGGGTGGGTGTGCCGGAGCCTGGTGTGCTCGCCCGTCTGTGCTCATCGCCCGGCTGGAGTGACCCCGCCGATGGCAGTCAGCCGACGCCGCGGTCCCGCAGTTGCCGAGGGCAGGGGTGGGGCTGTGACTCCAACCAGGGACACCTGGCCAGGTCCACGCCCTGAGCCCCACAGGTGTCTCCCTGCACAGGACGCACCTTCAGCCCCCAAAGTGGGGGTGACAGGAGCGTCCTGCCCTGACCATGGCAGGGCCAGAGCCCCCGTCTCCTCCTTAGCTGCCTGTACCCCAGCTCCCCCAAGGTGGGGCTGGGGGTCCAGGAGAAGCAGAGGAAGGAGTGTGCTGTGTCCTCCCTGAGTGGCCCTCGGCCTCAGTGGCTCAAGGCCACAATCTTGCCTCACCCCTGTCTGTCCATGACAGACTCAAAGCCAGGGGACACTGGGTGAGGTCCCAGGACTCTTCACAGCCCCCCCAGGGCTGCCTCACGGGAGTCTGTGGGGGGCGAAGACCCTGCTTCTTCTCTCTTCCAGTCGAAGCCTGAGAGGCGGGGTCCGGGGTCTGCCTGGCTGAGCCCCCCTTGATAACCTAGGAACTCCTGCTCCTACCCAAGGGACCCCAGAGTGTCCACAAACGTCAAAGGGGTTTCTGGGGTGACAACCCTGGAGTCAGCCTTCTGGGCTCCCCAGTTCAAGGAATTCCCTTGGCCTGGAGTGTGGGCAGGGTGGGGACATGGAAAAGGCAGGGCTTTGACTCCGCTGGCCCCTCTCCATGCTGTGTGACTCGGGGGAAATTGCTTGGTGTCTCTGAGCCTCGGTGTCTTGCTCTGTGAATGGGGCCGTGACCTCTCCGTTGTGGGGTTACTGGATCAGCACAGCATGGCGGGGGAGACGGCTGGGTGCAGTGTCCCCTGGAAAAGGTTCTGCCTAATTGCTCACCAATCGGAAAAGTAATCATTTCCTTGGCCTGCTCCTTTTTGTCTGAAACCACCACAGGAGCCCTGGCCGGTTTGGCTCAGCGGTTAGAGCGTCGGCCTGCGGTCCAGAAAGACCCGGGTTCGGTTCCCGCTAGGGGCACGTACCTCGGTTGCAGTTTGTCCCCGGCCCTGGTTGGTTGTGCGGGAGGCAGCCACTCGATGTGTCCCTTTCACATTGATGTTTCTCTCTCTCTCTCCCTCCCGCTATCGGAACAAAAAATGGAAAAATGTCCTCGGGTGAGGATAAAAAATAAAAAGAAATACCACAGGACGAGGCACCCAGAGATCCAAATCTGAACTTCGGAGGGTGCCGCTAAGTTTGTGGGCGACGCTGGGCCTGGTCTTCCTCATGCGAACCAGAGGCCGGGGTGCCCGCTGCCCCCCCCAGGCGCGGGGAGAAGAGCGGCCGCGCCCCATCCCGTTGTCTTCGCTGCCTCGCGCTGGGGACTGGAGTCACCCGAGGGGTTTTTTCTTCTCATTTTGTTTCTCAGCACGTTCTTCGGGCCCCGAATGGGGTCCATTTTAGACGGATAACCGCTTCGTAAAGGGGGTGTCGATCCGGGTCTGACGGCGTCGGGCAGGGGTGGCGCAGGGCCTGACCCAGCTGGACATGAGCTTTACGGTCTGTTCTCGGGTCTTAAAAATGTGCGGAGGCGCCGCAGCCTCAGGTCCCCCCCCCACCCCCGTGCGGGAGGCTGGGGCAGGGCATCTGCGGGCCCGGGGGGGGGGGGACAGGCCACGGGGGCTGCCCTGATGGGTGGGGGGCACTGTCTCCTTTGGGGGGGCTGTGACCGCTCCTCAGGGCTCCCCGAGGGCAGCTGTGACCCACGGGACACGGCAGACGCAAGCAGAGCTGGTGTGCCCTTTGGTGCCACGGAGGGTCACGCCAGTGTCTCCCAGCCGCCCTGGGTCTGACGGCGGGAGAGGAGGGTGTGCAAACGCCCCCGGGCGAGTCCGGGCCGAGCGATGAAGGGAAGGGCAGGCCGGGCAGTGTCCCCCAAACCATGAGGGACTCTGAAGGATAGAGGGCCACGCTCCTGCCCGAGGGAGTGAGGAGCCCACACCGACCCCCCTCCCTGGCTCAGCCCGTGTCTGAGAAGATACCGCAGGCTGCCAAGGGAACCGGCTTTCACTGCAGACAGATGCGGACAGATTCAAATCATCTCCCACGTCCGCCCCGCCCGCCCCACCCTGCCCCGCCCGCCCGCCTGCAGACCTGACCCACCACTCTCTGTTCAAGGGTCCCCGTGTCCCCGCTGCCCAAGGAACCTCCCAGCAGAAGCCAGTCGACGGCCCAGGAGAACTTCTGTGACCCGGGACTCAGAGAAAACACAAGACAGAGACATCACCGGTGTCGGACCCAAGGATATTTTTCCATCTTCAGTCAGAGGGGGAGGGGGAGAGAGAGACACATCGACTGGCTGCCTCCTGCAGGACCCGACCAGGGCCAGGGACTGAACCGCCACCAAGGCACGTGCCCTTGACCAGAACTGAACCCGCGACTCTTTGGTCTGTGGACCGACACTCTAACTGCTGAGCCAAGCCGGCCGGGGCCCAATGAGTTCTTTTTAACCTGCATATGAGCTAAACATAGTAAAAGAAAAATGCCGGGATTATTGCTATTTCTGGGTGACGCAGTTACTGTTGTGGCTTATGTCTCTCTCTTTTTTTAATCTTCACCTGAGGACATTTTTGCATTTATCTTCAGATAGAGCGGGAGGGAGAGAGGGGGTAAGAGAGAGAGAGAAACATCAATGTGAGACAGACACATTGACTGGTTGCCACCCACACGACCCAACCAGGGCCGGGGACAAACTGCAACCGAGGTACATGCCCTTAGCGGGAACCGAACCCGGGACTTGCTAGTCTGTGGGCTGACGCTCTAACCGCCAAGCCAAACCGGCCAGGGCTCGTGCGTCTTTTACACACTGTTTTCCCCAGTATTCTGCAGCCAGCAGGCCCCTTTCACGACGAGAACTAGAGGCTCCAGCGTAGTCTGCCCTGCTCTCTGTGGGGGCGCGTGGCTGGGTGAGGGGCACAGTCAGAGCACCCAGCCAGTGGCCACGCTGGTGCCCTGCATCCCTCCCTCCCCGGCCACCAGGACCACACAGCAGGTCCTGGGCCTCGGAGTCACAGTTCACCGCGTGTCTGTGCCCACTGTGCTCCCACACCTGCCCCCTCCCGGGGCTCACGGGGCTGCCTGGGCCCGCACACGCCCCACCCGGTTCCTACCCGGATTGTTGTAAGGCCGGGACATAAATCTCTCAAAGGCTATCTCTTTCCTGAACTGGATCTCTGAAGACAAGAATCTAATCTCAGCAAAAACCTGCTCTGACGGATCGATACGGCTTAGCTTGGCAACGCTGGCACAAAGGTGGGCCTTGCCCAGCGACTGTTCTCAGGAGCAGGTGCTGTTACCCTCGTTAGCAACAGCGGAGGGACTTGGGAGGTCAACCCAGGTCAGCAAGGGGTGTCCCTGCCCGGGCGGGGCTCCCGCAGAGCCCCACCTGGGGTCGGGCTCAGTTTGGAAGGAGGAGGAGTCGATTCTGCCCGGATTGCTCCCACGCAATGGCCCTGGGGCCCTGGGACACTTTAGGGAGAGGAGAGCAGTGGGTGGGCTCCGGCACCCCCAGAACTCTGAGGCAGAGAGGAAGGGCAGAGGCGCGAGCATGCCCAGTGCCGGCTTCTCAGCGGAGGGCACATCGGGCAGGGCTTTCCGGGGTCCGTAGGAGTCTGCTACGGACAGCGTGGGGAAGGGGTGGTCGCAGAGGGAGGCGCTGCTGGGCCCTGCCTGCCCGAGCCGGGTGTGTGTCCCTGCCTTCCTCGTGCCACGGGGCACTTTCACCACCCTCCTCCCCTTTCAGCAAAGCCTCGGGAGCAACGGCGGACTTGACCCAGGTCACGTCGTCAGTGGGAACCTGGGCGGCAGCCCTGTGCAGCTCCCACTCCGCCCGCTCCGGCTCTGGGTGCCCACGGGGGAGGGTCGGGAGGCGGGCGGTGGTGAGCTCCCGGGGGCAGGGAGAGGGGCCCCCTGGGGCCCGAGCAGCCTGCCTCAGGCAGACACACGTGGTCCCTTCAGCCGCTGCCCTCACACCTGCTGCTCCCAAGTGCCCACCTCAGCCAGGGCCCCTGAGAGCTGTCCTTCCGTCCTCACAGGTCGGACAATCTGCATGCCACCCAGACCTGGTGCCCAGAAAGGGAAATGCACTCCCCGCCCCAGGGCGGCCAAGACACGGGCAGCCTCCACTCCCACTTATTAGCAGGGCGCCCTGGGGGGGTCTCATGCCAGGGGACTGCAGCTCAGCGCCCCCTCCAGGCAGAGTGCACTTCCTGGCCCTGACGTCGGCCGTTGGGATCTGAGATGGAACAAGCAGGCTGGCTGCGAACCTGCCTGTTGTGCACACCCTGAGAATGTGCCAGGCCGGTCCCAAGGGGAGGACGACAGACACACAGAGCAGACCCCGGGTGTGACAGGCAGACACATCTGGAGGACCTGAGTGCTGGCCGGGTTGTGTGCAGCAATGTTGGGGCCGGAGGGCGGGGACACACTGCCCCCTGGCCTCCTCCCAACTCTCCTGTCCACCGCCCCGGAGACGTGGTGGCCCCTGCCTCTCCGACGGCCCTGCTCAGATGTCCCCGTCTGGCCTCGGGGTCCCTCCAGCAACGCCGTGCGCCCGGCCCACCCGTGTGCGTGGCCAGGGCAGGCACTTACCGGCTCACAGTTGGTTGGCTTCCCGTTCATGTCCACGCTGGGCGGCCTCAGGTGGTTCCAGTCACGGCCCTTGTTGTAGGTTATGAGCGTCACCACCTTGCCGTTGACTTTTTGGTTCGCCAGGAAGACCCCTTTCACCCCTTGCACCTGGGGCAGAAAGGAAAGGCCGTGGGAACCTGTCCGGAGCCCCCGCTGGCTGGCGTCCATCACGCTCCCCCCCCCCCCGCTGGCTGGTGTCCACCACGCTCCGCCCCTCCCCCCGCTGGCTGGCGTCCATCACGCTCCGCTCCCCCGTCCCCCCCCACTCCCCCCCGCTGGCTGGCGTCCACCACGCTCCGCCCCTCCCCCCGCTGGCTGGCGTCCACCACGCTCCGCCCCGTGCTCAGCTCCACGCACACAGCCCTTCGTCCGACAAGGGCCTGAGCCGAGGCCGACTTCGCTCTGGGGACGAGCGGGCTCAGGGGACGAGAAGCCCAGACTCTGACCGGGAGCCAGGTCTGTGACCCCAAAGCCATGGTGCTCTCCATGACACAGCTGTCCTCCAGAGGCAGACACGGGTCGCCGGAGGGCGAGCAGAGCCCTGGTCCCCGAAAAGTCTGCGCATCATAGTCACCCCGTCTTTGGGCAGAGCCCCTGCCTCAGACCCTGTCCCTGGCCTCCCTCCCTGTGCACCACAGGGCTTCAGCCAATGGAACTGTTCAGGGCTCTCTGAGCCCCCTGCAGGTCACCCCCAGACAACAATGCCAAGTAGCAAGGACGAGGGTCCGCATCCCCCCAGCGTTCCCAGAACAGGGCTCGTTTTGCCTTCAACGCTCATGGTCAGCCTTCCTCCGAGGGGCCCGTGGCATTGACCCAAACACACGCCACACCCTCACCAAATGGCTCATGAGAAATGGTCGCACATCAGCCGCTTCCCACAGTTCAACCCCGTTCCAAGTTCCTGGGCACGGCGACCTCAGACGCAGTCACCGAGGCCCGTGGGGCGTGACCTTCAGCACCTCTGTGTGCCGACAGCGTGACCTCCTCTGCACAGTGTCACCCTCTCCCAGCGACCCTGAGCACAGGGAGGCTCGGACAGCGATGGGATGTGCCCACAGCCCACAGCCAAGGGTCGTCCTTAGGGTTACAGTAATAACATGGGTACCAAGTGCCCATTCTGTGGTTGGGTGGCAAAAGGGGGCTCCGTGAGGGCCAGAGGTCTGAATGCCCCCACTCCAGGAGGTTGGGGCTCCCTCCCAGGGGCACGCCATGGGTGAGGAAGACGCGGGAAGGAAGGGCAGAGCACGGAGCAGTGTGTGAGGTTCCCTTGCGAGCTGCAACAGAACCTGGCTGGAGACAACGCCCGGCTGTCCTGGGACAGTCCTGGAGGTCGGGGGTCCTGGAGGCTCCGGGACAGTCGGTTCCCGGCCTCCGCAGCTTCCATGCACCCGCACGCTGGGCTCGCGGCCCCTCCTCCAGCCTGCAGCCCCCCTCTCTGGCTCATTCTGCCCTGCACACAGGTGTCTGTCCATCCCCTCGCTGCCTGTCCACTTCTAAGGACCCTGTGGTTGCGAGGCCACCGCATAATCCTGGGTGATCTGCCGATTCGCTGGCGAGCAACCCCAATTCTGTGTCTGCACGGAAGGATGCTTAGGGGGGGACGAGACCAGCCCTCATCTCCGCAGATGGCGCTTTGTGGACGGTCCTCCTGGGGTGACGGCCCCGGGGTGTGGGCGACCAAGCCCCTTCCCTCACACATGGTCCCTGCACTCTCTCCTGCTCCTGAGACATCACCTGGGTGGGCATCCGGCTGCCCAGCGCTGGGTTCAGATGCCACCAAATCCTAAGGGCAAGCAGGATGCTGACTTGCCCCATGACAAGGTGCCTTACTCGGCAACCACTAGTCCACATCCCAGCTGGTCCCTGTGACAACGCTCCGGAGTAAGTGACACGACCCTCACGTCCCAGAGACACGGACCAGCTGCCTCCCCAGGCCAGGCTGGCCCTGACACACTGGTGCCCAGCAGTGCGGGTCATGGCTCCGCCCTCTGCAGGGCTGTGTGGTTTCTTGGGGAGCTGGGGCGGCCATAACAGACCTCCTCACCCTCAGTGACTCAGACACAGAATGTGTCTCCCACAGTTCTAGAAAACAGGGATCCAAAGCAAAGGTGTGGGCGGGGCTGCCAGGTGTGGGCAGGGCTGCCAGGTGTGGGTGGGGCTGTGAGGTGTGGGCGGGGGCTGTGAGGTGTGGGCGGGGGCTGAGGTGTGGGCGGGGCAGCCAGGTGAGGGCGGGGCTGCCAGGTGAGGGTGGGGCTGTGAGGTGTGGGCGGGGCAGCCAGGTTTGGGTGGGGCTGTGAGGTGTGGGTGGGGCTGTGAGGTATGGGCGGGGCAGCCAGGTGTGGGCGGGGCTGCCAGGTGAGGGTGGGGCTGGGTGCCCTCTGCAGGCTGCCAGCAGCTGCCTGGTTCCTGGCTGTGGCCCTCACCCGGGCTCTGCCTGCATGTCCCATGGCTTCCTGTCTCTGTGTCGTCTTCGGGTCCTCACAGGACACTTGTCCTCTGATCTCGTCTCAAGACCCCTCACTCAGTGACAGCTGCAGCGACCCTTTTCCAAACCAGGTCACAGTCCCAGGCTCTGCCATGTGATGCGACCACAGCTCTCGGGGCTGCTGTTCAGCCCTGCGCGGCTCTGTCCCGCCCTGGTCAGGAGCTGGCACCAAAGCTGGGGGGCCCCAGGCGGCATGTTGAGGAGGAGGAGGGAGAGGGGACCAGGGGCCAGGGAGAGACGGGAGGGAAAGAGAAACTAGAGGCAGGGACCTCCGAGGGCCTCAGACAGAGTGGGGGTCACAGCCTTGGCGGGGCTTAGGCAGGCCGAGGGAGTCAGGAACTTTTCACAGAGGACGGCCTGCAGCCCAGTGGTTAACAGGGACCACTAACAGCCCAGTCCAGCGAGGGCCAGCTCCCCCGTGAACCCCATTCTTCTCGTTAGAACCCCTGTGCTACAAAGACTGTCCTCGTCGAATTTCCAATGTTGTCAGAAAGGGCGAGTCTCTCTCCCTGTACAAGTACCCACCTAGGGTCCCCGTGGCCTGCAAAGCCCCAAATATGGGCTCCTTTACGAAACACTTGCAGAACCAGGAGAGAGCAGGTGGAGAGGGGGGTGGGCCGGAGGAGGGGTGCGCAGGGCCACGGGGTCCCACCTCCAGGATGTCGATGACTACGCCGTCCTCCGCCTGCCGGGAGCTGCGCACGTCTTCCAGCACCAGAGAGTAGGTCACGCCCTGCGGGTCCGACTGGTACAGGTGGTAGGTGTCTGTCTGGTACCACTCCTGCACGGCCACGAACACCTGGTTCTCGTCTGTGCTGATGATCTGCAGGTCCTGGGGACGCGGGGAGAGCAGTCAGGGGCGGCAGGCCCAGGGGTGGCGCTGGCCTTGGGCTCTGGGGTGCCGGCTCCGGGCTCTCTGGGACACGGGCTGCCCTAGATGTGCACTCTGGCTCCCCCAGCCCGGTGGCCTGGACAAGTCCCTTTACCTGCCTAGGCCTCCGCTCCCTCACCCTGAAATGAGGTGACAGTCTGACCCTCCGCACTGGGCTGCAGGAGGGACGACCGGGTACAGGGTGCGGTCCAGAGAGGCCGGCTCCACCTGGCCCCTGGTCAGGCTGTCTTGTCTGCCCATCTGTCCCTGCAGTGGGGAGGAGGACTCCTCCATGCACCCCCGATGGTCACCTCTGGGAGGTGGGGGAGGGGTGGGGTCCTCCCCGAACCCTCCCGTCATCCGTTCCTCCACTCAGTGTGTGTTCACTAGGCGCCTGCTGCACTGTCCCAGGCACGGGAGCTCTGCCCTCTGGGAACAGCGCTGGGCGGAAGGAAGGCACCAGTTCACTCCAGCCGCACACCCAGGGGCAGCACCTGCTGCTCGACTGCCCAGGCGGAGGGCTGCGCCACAGCCGTGGGTGTCCCCACAGGGGGTCGGCGGCACGCAGCAGGCGCCAGGGCACTGTCGGAGCCGAGGGCAGGCCCCTCGCCCCGCAGGGGACGGAGGTGAGCCGCACCTCCCAGGCTCCAGCCTGTGTCTCTCCAGGAGCAGACGGCCAGGCAGCGTCTGAGCGAGCTCAGCAGGCGTCTCGGGTTCGGTGCCAGATTCACGGTTCCGGAGCCCAGCAAGACGCAGGTGGTGGAAAGAACGGGAGCTCGGGGCTAAGCTCGCTCTTGTCCCCCCCCCCCAGCCAGCGCCAAATGCCGCTGGGAGCCCCGGCAGGCGCCTGCTCAGGCCCGTTCGCGGCATCACGAGCCTCGCTCTGGCGTCCCCTACTTTGCCCTCTGTCGCCCAGAGCTGTCATCACCCTTCTGGCCACACAGCTGCCAAGACGCAGGAGCTGAGGCAGGTGCAGAGGCTGCCACATGGCTGGTGCGGTCTGGGGTCCTATTTTCTCCACTGAGGTCAGGGCGTGGAGAAGGTGGCTGTTTTCTTCTAACAACAGAGGGAGCCCCTGCTCTCTCCAGGCGGACACGGCCTGCAGGCGAGAGCGGATGCGGGGCGGCCTGGGTCAAAGGAAGGGGCTGTGCAGACAGGGGACGCGGTTGGAAGGCACCCACCGTGCACCTCGGTTCAGGAGGACCCCAGCGCACCCTCTGGCTATGGACGTAAATCTAACCCACGGGAATGACTGGAACCAAGAAGCTGGGACTAAGGAAGGATCAGCGAGGTCAGGGGACCTGGGCCTGGCGGTTCCCGGCTGTGACATGGGCCAGTAGGGTGGATGGAGTCAGGGATGCAGAAGAAACCTGGTTCAGGCAGGGGGTCATCTGCTCTGCTCTCTGCCCCTCCCCCTTTCTTCATGCTCAGCCATGGGCCAAGCTGTACTGCATTGTCGGGTATTTGTATTTTGCTGCTTCAGCAGCAGAGGGCGCTCTGTGGGCCTGGGTCTCACTGGTTCGGAGCTCAGGGAGGGCCCGGCCTCTGTGGCACAGGGCCCTTCAGTGTGTACTGTCCCTGCATCTCCGGACGGCCTCCTCTGCCCCGGGGGAACTGAACTCTGGGAAACAGAGGAACGTATAAAGTGATCAAAGTTGTCTATAACACCCCCTGGAGAGACCTGACATCAACTTTTTTTTTTTTTAATCCTCCCCTGAGGACATTTTTTGCATTTATCTTGAGGTAGAACGGGAGGGAGAGAGGGAGGAAGAGAGAGAGAGAAACACTGATGTGAGAGAGACACATCGACTGGTTGCCACCCGCACAACCCCAACAGGGGCTGGGGACAAACCGCATCTGAGGGACGTGCCTTTAGCGGGAATCGAACCTGGGACTCTGTGGTCCGCGGGTTGACACTAACGTTGAGCCAAACCGGCCCGAGCTGAAATTAACTTTTTAAGGCGTGTACTTTGGGGCTGTTCCCGTGTGATGCGTGCATCTCTCCCACGTGGCTTGCAGTTTGCTCCCCGAGTGTGGGGGAGCACCAAGTCCGGCTACGCCCCTCTGAAGGACCGCGTGGTATTCCACTGTGCGACGGCCACATGTCACACTACTTCCCGATGGCGAGCCTTTCGTGCTGCCGACCTTTCTGTGCAAACGGTCCCATAGGTCAGATCGCCGTGGGACAGGGGGACACTTCAAAGTCCTGGTTCCTTCCATGTGGTTACCTTTCTGTCTTGAGAGTTAGTATCATTAGTTCCTTTCCACCAGCAGGGCAGAGGGCGCTCACTCACTTCAGGCCAGTGTCAAGAACAGCCTTTTACAAATCTTTGCAGATTAGAGAGTGATAAATAATCTGCCATTTTTGCTTAAATTTGCATGCGTTATTGTTTATTTAAAAAAGAAAATTTGCCCTGGCCGGTTTGGTTCAGCAGTTAAAGTGTCAGCCTGTGGACTAGAGACCTGGGTTCGGTTCCCGCTAAAGGCACGTACCTCGGTTGCAGTTTGTCCCCAGCCCTGGTTGGGGTCATGAGGTGGCAACCACCCAACATATCTCTCTCACATCAATGTTTCTCTCTTTCTCTTCCCCCCATCTCCCTCCCACTCTATCTGAAGATAAATGCAAAAATGTCCTTGGGTGAGGATAAAAATAAAATAAATAAATAAATAAAAATTAGAAGCAGAGACATTTGTTGACTCCTTATATAAACAAAAAGCATGAAATCAATCATAGATCTGTGTGTTTGTTAGTAGGTACATGGCCAGGAAAAATATGTGGAAGGAGACACCAAGGTTGCCAGTATTTGTTATCAGGTAGAATCAGGTTTGATTGTAAGCAACAGAAATCGGGGGGGGGGGGGGGCTTCAATCGAAGCTCATTTCTCCTGCATATAAAAGAAACCAGATTAATAGTCCAATGTGGGAGCTCTACAGAGACACCAGGGATGGAGGAGCCTTCTGAGCCACCATCCCACTGACTCGTGATATGGCTCTTGTCCTCATGGTCCAAGATGATTGCTAGAGCTCCAGCCATCATATCAACAAGCAAGGCAGCAGGAAGGAGGAAGGAGAGAGAAAGAGAAAGGCCTGCCTTCAAAGGGGGGCTCTGAGAAGCCGCCCAGGACAACTCCACTTATAATATCTCATTGGCCGTATTTTAGAAATAGGACCATGGTAGCTCCATGGGAAGCTGGGAAATGCAGTTTTTTAGGTGGGAAGCAATATACTAGCTAAAATTTGGGGTTTATTAAACTAAGATGAAGAGGCAGATGGATATTGAGAAGTCTCCAAGTTTCCACAGGAGTTACCGTGAGGAAAGAGGAAGTCAGATTGCCCTGGAAGGAGGGATGGAGAGGCAAGCAGGTAGAAATGGTATAGATATTTGTACGATTCTATTACTTGTAGTAAATACATTTTAAAGAAGTAATTTTGTAAAGTTTAAAACCATTTTCATAAGCCTGGTAGGGAAAATTTTCCCCATAGATCTTTATATAAAATTCATAGCATTTTGAATATATCAACTCACTGCCTTCTGGCCTCCAAGGTTTCTGATGAGAAATCAGCTTAAAATCGTAAGGGGGATCTCTTGGACATGACAACTTGTTTCTCTTTCACTGCTTTCAACGTTCTTTTCTTGTCTTTCAACAGTTTGATTATAATGTCTTTCTGTGGATCTCTTTGTGTTTATACTATTTCAGCTCATCACCTTTTAAAGTATTTATTATATTCATGTCTTTCAACAAATTTAGAGAGTTTTGGGCAAAAATTTTTAAAATAGTTTCTATACCCCTTTCTCTCTCTTTTCTCCTCTGGAATTCCCACAATGAGTATGTTGGTCCATCTGATGTTACCCCACAAGTCCTTTAGACGGCGTCTACTTTTCCTCAATCTTTTTTCTTTCTCTGCTTCAGACTCAATACTTTTTAAATTGATTTTAGAGAGAGGAAGGGAGAGCGAGAGAGAGAATGAAGCATCAATGTGAGAGAGAAACATTTATTGGCTGCCTCTGTACATGCCCCAAACACAAATTAAACCAACAACTTGGGTATGTACCCCAACTGGGATCCAAACCCACAACCCTTAGGTGCACAGGACGATGCTCCAACCAATCGAGCCACATTGGCCAGAGGTACACTCAATAACTTTAAATGTCTTATCTTCAGGTTCTCTGATTCCTTCTTCTGTCTGCTTAAATCCGATTTTGAATCCCCCTAGTGAATTTTTCCATTTCAATTAGTGTTCTTTTTAGCTCCATAATTTCTTTTTTATTCCTTTCTATATTTTCTATTTTGATTGCTATTTCTATTTTTTTCACACATTGTTTTCCTGACTTCCTCCACATTTTTCTTCAGTTTTTTGAGAATCTTAAGATATTGGTATTAAAGTCTTTGTTTAGTAGGTCTACCATTTGCTCTTTCTCAGGAACAATTTCTGTTGGTTTATTTTTTTCCTTCAAATGGATCATACTCTGTACAACTCCTGATTATTCTTGTTATTGAACATTGAAGATTGAATATAATAATGCCATAACTATGGAAATCAAATTCTTCCCTCTTCCCCAGTGTTTACTGTTTTATTTTTGTTTCTGTTTTTGATTGTTGTATGCTGTGTCTATACCAGGGATCAGCATGAGCTATAAACTTAGGTTCTTCTTAGGTCTTTTCTGAGTCTGCTTTCCCTGGGAATGCATGGGGACTTTCTAAATTCTTCCATATATATGGCAGCTTTAGAATGTTCTAGTCCTTAAATCTATGATTCCCAAAAGGGAAAAAGAAAGAAAATAAAGTGGGAAAAACAGGCTTTCAACCTTTAAATCTCTTGGAAGCTTCCCTGGCCGGTTTTGCTCAGTGGTTAGAGCATTGGCCTGCTGACCAATGAGTCCCGGGTTTGATTCTGGTCAAGGACACATACCTCAGTTGCTGTTTGTCCCCAGCCCTGGTCGAGGCAGCCAGTCAATGTGTCTCTCTCGCATTGATGTCTCTCTCTCTCTCTCTCTCTCTCTCTCTCTCTCTCTCTCTTCTCTCTCTCTCTCTCTTCCTCCCTCCCACTCTGTCTGCAGATAGATAGAAAAATATCCTCGGTGAATATTAAAAAAAAAAAAAAAAGTAAATCCCTTGGAAGTTGCTTCAGCCCGTAGTGATTGCAATAATGACTGCCAGGCGGGATGTGTGTACCCCTTCATGATCAAAAGCAGCAATCAAGAATCAGGGCACAGACTCCCGATATCTGGACCCCAGGTCCTGTGCCCAGGTGGCTCCTGCGGCTCCTGCAGGCTGTGTGCAGGCCCACCTAGGAACGTGAGCTCAGCGGAGGGCCACGGGGCTGGGCTGGGGATGGGCAGCCACAAGCGGGGTGCGAGCTAACATTGTGGAAATTAATCTGAGTTACCATCCAGGTGTTCTCCTGAGAGCTTTTGAATAGACTCCAAAGCTCCAAAACAGTTACATCAGACAGAGTCTGTCCTGCAGCTGAGGTCTCAGCGCGGAGCTGGACCCCTGTTGCTGACTCACCGTCGCCCCTGGTGTCTCTTCCCCCTTATTCTTGTGCTCCATGAACTGTATTTTACTTCACATCAATTTATTACCCGTGAAGGACCATTTAAAGTAAATCTGCATTTACGTTATGCTTTTGAGTGTTCTTTATATAATTGATGGTTATTTGGATTTTCCTCCTCTTTTGTCTGTTTATAGCCTTTACCTACCTGTGTCCTGTTAGAAAACTTAAGTATTTAAAAAGAAATCACTACAAGTGAATAATTCCAGCAAAGGATATAGATAAATACAATAAAAACTGTTCACCCTTTATAGTTGTCACAGAAGGTGACCGGTACCACCTACACCTTTCACGTAGCAGGAAAACAGAAATGATACAATGCCATCTGGCAAATCCGAAATGCGGTCTAACTTTGCCCGTGACGAGGCCAACCCTTTTAGGAAGGACCTAAGCTACACAAACTCTTCTATCCTTTGTCCAGAAGTTCTTCACAGACCACCAGGTGGGCAAACAGGAGCAATCCTTGCGGCGCAATTACGGGCACCGCACACTGCTTATAACGATGACAAATGGGAACAGCCCACGCGTCCAGCATGTCTCCGCAGCGAAAGCTCTGCAGCCACGTAGAGTGGCCTCACGTGTCATTCCAGGGCAGTGCCATGCCACACGGTCACGTGGAAGAGGCTGTGGACAGGGGCCTGCTCAAAGGGAAACCCATCGGGGATGGATGGAGCAGGAGGCTGGGTCCCCACTACTCTGACATCGATTGTTTTCCTGATGCTACTCAGGCAATTAAAGAAAAAAGTCGGGGTGGTTTAGGGGCGGGTAATAGGCAAGAGTTTCAAATTCACCATAAAACAACAGAATCCGATCAGGGAATTCAATCAGTTCTACAAGTTGTTGGGGGAAACACGGGGGTCTGGATGCTCCCTGAATCTGGTGAGGAGGAAGGAGCCCCTCCCTCTGGCTGGACCGAGCTCTCAGCACAACCATGTGTGGGTTTGAGGACCCCACGGGGCCCTGGGGGGGCGTGTTCCCCGAGAGCAACCTGACTCCGCTATCGTCCTCAATGGCCCACCAATGGGTCCTGGACATGGACCTCCAAGGTGGACACTCAGCGCCAGTGCAAGTGACACAGACCTGAATGGGTCCCTTGAAACTGAATGACACCAGGCACATGCAAGTGTCTGATTTCTGTCACCCACTGACGACGGGAGGCTCTGTCTTCTGTCACGGCCCGACGGCTCATTCCCATAACCCTTCTTTCCACGGAAATGAGAGAGAAGGTAAGGCATGTCAGGGGCCTGCCAGGTGGCGCACGGTCGTGGTCCCTGCGAACCCCATGGAGGACGTGGAGAAACACGCACATCATGTGCAGATGAGGGCTCTGAAGGTCACAGAGGTCATGCCCTGTGGCCATGAGCTCCTTACAGCATCCTGAGCACTGGCCTGGCTGCTGATCCAACCGCCTTTTCCAGAGACGGACAGCAGTTCAGTGCCCAGGTCGCAATGCCAGAGGGGGCAGGAAGGGACCCTGGCGTTCCCCTAAGCCAACACCAGGACAAAGAGCACCGATGCTACAGCCCCCAGGGGTGAGGGAAAATCTCCAAAGCGGAAAATCCCCACCCACTCAGGGATGCCGAGGTGGCTGCCCCAGATGAAACCATTAGCTTTTACCTACTCAACTCAGCAAGCCTGGAGTTACTATCCTAAGCTTGCTCCTTTTCTTTAGTTTCCTCTTTCCTTTCTTTTCTTCAAATAGACATTTAAAAATGTCTTTTAAAAGCCTCGTGTGCTTGTCCTACTTCTGGCTCAGCGGGGCTGCAGCGCCCAGAGCAGGGACTCAGGTGCCCTCGAACTTGACCGCCAGCCACTGCCCCGGGACTTGCAGGACCAGCCTGTCTGCTCTCACCACCGCACATGCCGCCCTCCCGCCGGGCTCTCTCCTGCCCCAGGGCCTTTGCACATGCTCTGCCCTCCACGGAACATCCCCCCCCACGTCCCCACCTCTGGGCTTCAGACCAAATGCCCCCCTCAAAGAAGCCCCGCCCCTCCATCACTCTGTCACTGCCTCTTGTTCCCTTCACAACACGAGTCACAACTTGCTGGTATTTTATTCACCTGTCTGCCTCTTGACTCTCTACCCGTTTCCTCTCTGGAGCGCCACGACAGGGAAACCAGGGAATCTGGTTCTGGGGCAGCAGGTTGCCCGCTGTTCCCAGCTCGCACTGGCTCAGGGAGAGTGTGGGAGGCGGGGTGCAGCCCCCGCGCCGCCCGGCTCCTCACACGGAGTGGAAACCAGCGGGGCAGGCCATCTGGCGGCCTCCGGAGGGAGCGGCGCGCCAGGCTGGTCTCGGACCCACCAGACTTGGGTCTGAGCCCTGCTCTGGTTTCCAACTAGCTGTGCGACCTCAGACGGGTCACTCAGCTTCTCTGAATGTCACTCGCCTCCCTTGTGAACTAGGAAAAACGTATCAGCAGGAAGGGGCTGAGGAGTTGAGTCCTCAGGTAAGGCTGAGACCAGGTCTGGGCAGCCCCCCTGCCCCCATTTTTGTCTGCCCAGGCAAGGGAAAGGAAGTACCATTAATTGAGCACCTACTATGTGCCAGGAACCACACGAGGTAGTTGGAAAGCAGAGGTTAATAAAACAGAAACTGCCCCACCTCTTGAAACCTCTAGTGAAAGCAGGAGACAGACACAGGGCGTCCCCAGCACCCTGGGAGTCAGGGGAGAAGGGTGGGACACAAGCAGGAAAGGGAGGCCCAGGCCGCCTGGGGGGTCGCTGGTAAGTGACGTGTCTCTGAAACACCACACGTGCAGGACCTCTGCAGGAGGACGGACTTGCAGACGGAAGAGCGGGCAGAGGCCCGGAGACAGGACAGAGCCAGGCATGTGGATGCTGGGGCAGAGGGGGGAGGGGAAAGTAACTGGAGGAAACAGGCCACCCTGGCTTTTGTCCATCCTGGCCCAGGGGTCATCAAACATCTGTGCAAGAGTCCTACTGCCCACAAGCGAGAGCAGACTCCAGATCGGGCCACGGGGGATGAGGACGCCTCTTACCTTGGGCAATGCGTACTTCGGCAGCCTCATCAGGACGGAATCGTTGCGACGATAAGATACATAGTATTTGGTGTGGTTGGCAGAGGTCGCCTAATGGAGGGAGAAGCATGCTTTGAGGGCCTGGATTCCTTCCAAGCCAGATCCTCATGCATGAAAAACTACACTTTGTATTCAGCTTGTGAAAAAAATGCCCTTTTACTTTGCTTATACCTGCTCTGCCTGAAATAGACAAACTCCTATTCATCCTTCAAAGCCCCAGAACCAAACAGCCATCCTCTGAGAAGTCTTCCTCCACCTCCTTCAGTTAGAACTAATCTCTTTCCTCCTGTTCTATCAAAACCTCATTTCCCTGCATCTGAGTCGTGGAACAAGTGGAATGGACTTCCTCAGATTTGAGCTATCCAGGAGACGGGATAGGCTGTTTTGGAAGGACTGAGCTCCTCGTCAGTAGACGTAATCAAGAAGGGGTATGCCCAGTTGTTTACTGAAGTTTCTGAATGTCAGGCCACATGGTTTCTGAGGGTGTTCCCAACAATGACCTGAGCCTGTGTACAGGCAGCTGGGTGCTGCTCAGCAGGTGCCTGGCAGCCAAGGGCAATGATCAGACACCCCAATCAGTTCCAAGTGGAGCAAAATGAGTGTGGGCTGGGGCCCCGAGCTGCAGGGGCTTCTGATAGAGAAGGCAGAGGAGCCGGCACCCTACAGCGGGTTCAGCTCTGCAGCTGTGGGGGGGGCCTGCAGCCACAGGAGTGGGGGGCCTGGGGAGGGGTGGGGACTGAATTAAGTAGCTCTGAGAGTCAAGGAGCCATTTTATCCCCCGCCCCGTCTGAGCGACTCCATTTCCCCACGACGGCTCGACTCCGCCCCCACGTGCCCAGTCTGCCAGCCACGGAGCAGCGGTACCTTGAAGAACACGTAATCACCCTGCACGATCAGAGACCTCTGGTCGATGGGGTGCGCGGACGGGGAGCTCAGCCTCTTGCCGGAGCAATTGAAGATGCGGCAGGTGATGTACCGGAAACCTGCGGAGAGAGCGGCCCGTCCGGGCACGTGAAGTCCCTAGCACGGGGCCGCCTCAGACCCGCTGATGCCCAGCCGTTCGCTCCATCTGCCCGCTGACACCATGGCTGCGGGTCACTGGGGTCGGGATTCTAAGGGGCTTGCCCTGTGGTCGCAGCCACTTCTGCATGGGGTGGCTCGGGGCCTCAGGAAGCTACCGGAGGTCCCGTCTGACAGATGAGACAGGCTGACAGAGAGGTTGGGTACCTCGTCTAAAGCATAGTCATCCACCTGCCCCAGCTGTTCCTAAAGACCACGCCTGTGTGTCGCCTACGGCTGCTTTCAGTCAGTTTGTGGCAGAGCCCACGGGGCCCGCACGCTAAGCCGTCACCAGCTGGCCCCTGACGGGAAATGTTCGCTGACCCGGTCCAAAGCCCAGCAGGCGAGGGCTGGAGCCTGAGTGTAGGGCTTGACCACGTCTGCCCGCTGCTCTGTGCCGCCTGCCACTCAGGTGGCTGGTGCAAAGGGAACCCGGGGCACCTGTCTGGAGACGGACCCCAGACTGTGGGCAGGAGGCCCCCACCTGTCCCCGCCCAGCTGGCCTGCCCTGGGCACGTGTGATCGCCCACAGAAGGGATGGCATCCATCCTGGCATGACACTTCCCAGCTCCTGGGGTCCCTCCTGCCTCCCAGGGGTGGGGTTTGCTCCCCTAACTTCAGGAAGAGGCTTTCGCCTTCTCCAATATTCACAGTTGAGTAAGACTGAGCGGTGATGGGCCAGGCAGCTGCTGTCTCTGTCCAGGCCCTGTTTTCCCCGTCGGGGGGCTCCCGGGTTGTACGGAGGGGAGCCTGCGTGCTGTGGGAAGTTCATTCCCGCGTGCAGAGCAGGGTGGGGTTCAGTCCCAGGAACCACAGTGGGGCCCAGCAAGGGTGCCAGCCTCCTCGCACCTTGAGGCACAGCCTGCCCACAGCCCTGCGTGGCCTGGCATGTGGAGAGGGCCCAGGGTCCCGGGCTGGGGCCAGGAGGACCGTGCCGAATCCACTGCGGGGCAACCTCGGCCTCTGTTCCTCCCCTGTGGGCGGGTCTGAAAGTGCACCTCGGGAAGCTGGGGTTCAGGGACACAGCGGCACACGTCAGGCAGGCAGCCAGCTACACCTGTGCCATCGCCGTCACCTCCTGCCCCACAGCCTCTTCCCCGCGACATGGCCGAGTCCTCCCTGTGGCCGGCCACGAATGTTCTTTCTAGGGCTTGCCGGGTTAGAACTGCGGTGGGGACCAGCCTCGTCAGACTGAAAGGGGGCAAGTCACCCACTCATTCATTCATTCGCTCACTCATTCACTCCCTCACTCATTCTTCACTCCATTCATTCATCCCTTACTCATTCACCTCTTCATTCATTCATTCACTCATTTATTCATTCACCCATTCATTCTTTTACTCATTCATTCATTCACTTATTCATTCATTCACTCACTCACTCATTTAGTCACTCACTCACTCAAGCTGCCAGGATGGAGTTTCTGTCCACAGAACTGAGAAGGGTGCGGATACTTGGCTCTCAAGAACCGGCACTAGCTTCTGCTCTCACTCACTCACTCACTCGCTCTGGCTGAGCAGCCAGACACCCTGGGGCTGCCCATTTCACAGCGGAAGAGATCGGGCAGGGGTGCGGTCACTGCCCAGGCTCAGGAGGCTGGCACCGGGCCGCCTGGCAGCTGACGCCAGTGCCTCTGTCGCAGTCAGGACTCTGGCTGCCAGCACTCAGTCCACCCTCCACGGAGCCCGTCTGTCCGGGAGACCACTGCTCACACGTTGGTGCCACTGGGAAGAGCGGCACACACTCCGTGCTCAGGGGCCAGAGCAAATCGCCCTCCTAACAGACTCTCCCCCGGAGCGGGGCTCCCCGGCTTCAGCTCACCACCAGCTGAGAACAAGCTCACTGCAAAGGAGGCGCCGCGATGCCCAGAGAGGCCGGCGGCGGGGCCAGGTGCCGAGCACGAGCAACTGGACCTGGGCACGCTGAGCCTGGCTCAGGTGAGGACTCACGGACACCTGGCTGCGACCCTCCCACCCCTGGCTTACCTCCCACAGGGTCGTGGGCCTCGATGTGGACCATGTCGGGGTCGGCGTCCACTCCAGACTCGGCCCTGGAAGACAACGGGCTCGGGTGGGCTCCGGGAATGGGGTGCAAGTCCGTCACGGTGCCCGCGTCCATGCCCTGCGCCCCATGCAGCCCTGTGGCCTGCCAGGGCTGAGGCCACTCTCGCTCGGTGGGTGGAGGCGAGTGCTCTCCAGGAGGCCACTGCTCCTGGGGGGGTTCCCGCCGGCAGGGCCCGGGGTGCTGAGCTCTGCTATCTGCAGCCTCTTCACGGGCCTGCTCCTTTACAAGGACTTGCCCATGGCGTGTGCGCGGCGGGGGCGGGGGGGTTGTTTTTGTTTTATTTTTGATCCATAGGCAGCAGAGGCAGCCCTGGGATGTCTCCCTAATTGTGCAGATCAGGAGACTGGCTCGGAGGAGCAGAGCGACTGCCCCAGGGGTGCACAGCTGTAGGCAGCAGAGCGGCTCCCGGCCACCCTGCGAGGGTGCCGCTGGCCCCTGGCGATGCTGGTCGAGGGCCGCAGGCACGCCTGGGACACAGCCGCGGCCGCGCCGTCGGGGAGGCCTGAGGAGAGGGCGGAAGGCGGGTTGTCGGCTGCAGCTCCGAGGGCACAGGGACGGGCACCCGGGAGGTGGGCTGCAGATTTGTGGACTGAAAGGAACCTCAGCGGAGACCTGGTCCAAGGCCTCCCAGTGTCTGCCGTGTCCTGTGTCAACCTGACTGTCGTTTTCTCTTCAGTGTCAACTCCCTTCAAAACCTCTTCCAGCCCTGGCCGGTTTGGCTCAGCGGTTGGAGCGTCGGCCTGCGGTACAGAGAAAACCTCTTCCAAGCCCTGGCCAGTGTACACAGTGGTTAGTGTCAGCCCATGCACGGAAAGGTCGCAGGTCCGATTCCTGGTCAAGGACATGTACCTGGGCTGCAGGTTCTGAATACCCAGCTATGGTCGGGGTCATGCGGGAGGCAACCAATCAACGTGCCTCCCACATCGATGTTTCTCCCCCACCCCCAACCCCTTCCATTCTCTCTAAAAATCAATGAAAAAAAACTCGGGTGAGGATGAACAAAACCTCCTGGGCACGAATACTAGGTCTGGTAAGCAGAGGACTTCTGTTGCCATAACATCTGAGCCAATGTTATTGTCATAAACCCCCCAGCAAACCACACTCCCCAAAGGGACAATGGCCCACACGACACACTGACTTTGCCCAAGAGCAGACTGAGGGTCGAGACGTCCGGTCACTTCCCGTGGTCACTCAGGGCCCAGGAGGCACCCCGTCTTCCTTGCCCGACTCTCCACGGTGGCCTCACAGGCCCGCAGAGCGCCCAGTCTCCAGACAGGCCCCCGTCAGTTCCCAATGCGCCTCCCAAGGGACTTGGCACCAGGGTCTCCCTTTGCTTCACCTCCTCAGGGACCAGGGGGCCCCAGAGACAGAGGGATTCCACGAGTGGGTCTGAGTGCCACGGGGGGGCACACGCACCGTGGGGGGCGCGGGTTGGAGTCCCCGCAGCGCACTGACGTGGGAACTGTGGCCACGGCACCAGCCCTGGGCCCTCCGCAGAGACTGGGTTGCAAGGTGAAGTGTTGATTTAGGCTTTGGTGAACAGACCATTTGTCAGCTCCCTGGAAGGAGACCTCCTGCCTGTATTTTTCTCTTTTCTGAACAAAGAGGGGCATTGTTCCCTTCACCAGGGGCGCTGGCAGTCCTCGGAGGTCGGTGGACTGAATTTAGGTCTGACCCTCCATCATCTGTGAAGTCTGGTAATGACACCGGCCTGTTTACTCACTCAGTCATTCCTCACTCATTCCTTCACTCGCTCACTCTTTCATACTGACTCACTCACTCATTCCTTCACTCGCTCACTCAGTCATTCCTCACTCATTCCTTCACTCGCTCACTCTTTCATCCACTGACTCACTCACTCATTCCTTCACTCGCTCACTCTCCCATTCCTCCTCTCCCCACTCATTCCCTCAGTCTCTCACACCCCTCAGAGCATCTCCCAGGGCTATTTCCCAACATGCCCACATCATGGCCTTGGATGGGGCCAGGGGCACTGCAGGCAAAGACTTGGTCCCCACCCCAGGGACCCTCAGGCATGAGCTAGGAAGGCAGATGGCACCTGCAGCCGCGCAGAGAGAGCCTGGCTCCCTGCAGGACAGGACAAGCGCCTTGGAAATGCTGTCAAACAGCGGCATTCACCGCGGACAAGGGGCCCATCACCACTGGGCCCACCAAGGCTGAGCCAGAAGCTGCCCCAGCTCCCCAGGCAGCCTCTGCTCAGAGAGCCCACCTCCCCCGCCCCAGCCCCCCTGAGCCCTTGGGGCCCGCGGCTGACATCAGTGACAAAGCTGGTGATTGATGGCAGGGCTCCGGTTTCCAAGGACCGAGCCCTCCGGGGGGCGGCCACACGGAGAGAAGGCGTCGCTTTCGCCCCAGTGACAGGCCTGCACACGGCAGCCGGTGTCCAGACCAGAGACGGGGCTCCCTTCAGCCTGCGGCCATAATTCAGGAAACTCACTCCTTGCCACAGTTAGCACGAACACGCGTGTGGAGCGAGAGGGCTGGGGAGCTGTTTCCACTGTGGCGTGTGCATGCGTGCACGAGGAAGGGCAGTTTGGTGGACCGTGAGCGTCCCCAAAGACAGTGACGCAGGAGGGCGGCTGGCGGGCACCTGGGCTCCGAGCCAGCTGGCTTCCTGCCTCCTGCTGCCCCAGCTCTGCAAGTGCCTGTCCTCTGCGGGCCCCACTTCCTCAGCCCACACGATCCTGGGTCCCAGGCCTCCCTGCTGGCTCCCAGAGCTCACCAAGCAGCTCCCCTGAGAACAGACAGGGGCCGCCCACTGCCCTGTGACCCGTGCCAACAATCCGCGCAGCCCGAGGGACGCCAGGCCCCGAGCCTTCGCCATTTCTGCATCGCGCCTGGCAGAGCGGAGGCCCCAGGGGCTGGGGACAGAGCAGGAGCCGGTGGGGGCCCAAAGCTGGGGGCCTTGGGGTAACGATCCCTCTTTGGGGTCAGCTCTCACCAGAACACGTGGTCTTTGGTCACTTGCTCGTGGAGAAGGATCCACTTCTTCCCCAGGTCGCACGACACATAGAGCTTCAGGGCAGGGCGGGGGGAAGAGAGACAGGAGCTTGGTCAGAGCAGGCCTCGTCCCAGAGCCCGAGCTTCCCCCACGGTGACTGCCCTCGCCCAGACCCGAGGGGCTGCTGCCGGCGGGTGGGCCCTGCACTCCCAGGGCGGCGGGCCAGCCCCCGGAGGCTGAAGGTCGGCGTGCAGCTCCATGAAGAGCCCTTGGCGCCTGCAGGCCAGCGGGCAGCCCAGAGGGCAGGGCCGCCTCTCCGCTGGATTTCCCGCTGCTCTGCAAAAGCCCAGGCTGCTTGTGGGCACCCAGCCAGCCTGCTCCCCGATCCTAGCCCTGTGCTCGGAACCAAGGAGCAAACTGGACCCAGGCTGCCACACGTATCTGGGAAGCGCCAGAGAGGAAATGTTGGGCCAGGCGGTCCCTGTGGCGACCACACATCCCTGCCTTTGGAGCAGGAAGGCCGCCAGGGACAATAGGCGACAAACGGGCGTGTGCAGATAAAACTTTGTCCATAGAACACCGCTCCAGGCTGCGTGATCAGGAACGAGCACTTACAATACTTAAAAAGGGCTCTTTGGAGAGCTTTCACCCCCTAGAACATAAGCTTCAGGGGTCCAGGGACTCATCTCATAGGTAGTAGGTGCTCAGTAAGTACCGGCCAGTGGTACTGACCTTGTACTGGGGCTTCAGTGGGAGAGCCAGGCAGCGGCTGTGGTCTTTCATGGAGCCAGGCCAAGAGCTAAGAGCTTGTCAAATGCTGCTTCATTTCACACGCGTGCGCGCGCAGGTGCACACACACACACACACACACACACACACACACATACGACAGAACTGAAGCTCAGAGAAGTTAAGTAACTTGCTCAAGGTTGCACAGTGTTCGCTTACTGTAGCAATTCCCCTCTTGTAAACCTGAGATAACGTACCACTGGCTGAGGAGTCCCCCTGCAAAGGATGACCAATCACCTCTAGTCCTTTCTCCAGGTCATCTGAGTGACCAGGACAGGGTCCGTCCCACCTATCTCGTTCCCCATCTGCAAATCAGAACGCGGCCCATATCCTCAGGCAATAAGTAAGTAAAAAATGAGTCTGTAGCCATCAGTACCCGGGAGGCAGGTAGTAAAACCTCCGCCCTAATGGATGGCATTATCACTGCCTTCATCACCGAGTCACGGGCATTTATGACGCCTGCCTGGAACTTTACGGAGCCTTTCCAGCGTGCTCTCCTGGGAGGTGATTTATAAGGCACCATGAATTGCTGTAGACATACAATGTTTCTGCTTAACCAAAGACAAATACCAGGAAATAAAGAACAAACACACCAGGATGTACAGTTACTGCAGCTAACACCTGCACAGCAATGTCCCCTGGAAGGACTGACTGCCTCTCCATCATTCATCACCGAGGGGAGTGAGGGGTTTGCACCAGAATGCGTGCTACTCTGGCATAGAGACAAAATGATCAGAAGTCACCGCAGGGAGAAATGAAGGTAAAGGAGGAGGGTGAGGTCAGGGGAAGAAGCATTCACAGAAGCATGTGCCCAGAAGTCTGACACGATTATCAGAGGCACAGCAATGCTGCCTGGACTTTCCGTGCATGTTGGGTGTGATGGCTGGTACTTGGCATCCCTCCCTCCCTCACTGTAGGGAGCCTTGTTGCAGCGAAGAGACCATAAAGCTGAGAACCAACATTGCGCAGACTCCCTTGCAGCTAGAGTTCTGGGTCAGATGGATGTACTCGTGCGGGGTTTGGAAAGTGAATGTGACATGGAGGCATTTTCCTGCCACCCTGGGCTGCTCCTGCTGGCCAGCAAGGTCACTAGGCTGTGCTCCAGTGTCCACCCTCCAGCTTAGGAAGGTAAAGGGATGGTGGTGGTGGAGGCAGAAGCTGGACTCTGCACTCCCACATCCAATCCCTGGTTTGTGGACAATGCCAGGCAGTGTGGGCTCAGCAGAGGCGGTTTCAGAGGCCTGGGTCTCAACATCAGCTGTGTGTTCTTGACCTTGGTAAGTTCGTTAGGCTCCCGGTCCCCCACCTTCCTGACAGGCAGAGGTAGAAGGTGGGAAACCTCCACAGGCTTCTGGGGGGATCCTTGGGAGTCCAGCCTGAAGCCTCCTCCTCTTGCCCCCCCAACACTTTTGAGAGCACCCAATCCCCCACACTAACCTCTTTTCTGCTTAAAATATCCAGACTGGAGTCTTGTCCCCGCCCTGAACCCTGTCAGACACAACTGGTCCAAGAGGAACACATGCTGAGGGCAAGACCCTGCTTGCTCACAGAACTGCTCTCTTATTCCAGCTTCTTCCTGCTTCTGGAATCTGAGGTCAGAGAGCACAGGAAGGGCGCAGAAGCTTGTGGCTCCACTCGGATTCACACCGTCCACCCTGACGTCTGACTTCTGCTCAAGAGAACTGCAGCTGGCCTGCCCTCCCCCGACACCTTTCTTCAGCGAGACACGCGGACACTGTTGTACTTGGGCTGGAGGAGGCGGCTGCTCTGTTTTCTTTCTCTTCTTGTGCAATAGTCTGTGTCGTTCCGAAGTTGTAGTGAAAAGTAAATGCACATCCTAATCCATTCTCTAAGCCCCTGCTCAAGCCCCCTCCTCCAGGAAGTCTTCCCTGATTTCGCTCAAGGTGTCTTTTCTCCCCTGCTAAGTTTCTGGAAGGCAGTCCCAAGCTCTGATCCATTTCTCGCAGTGCTGGGAGCCGGATAAAACATAAGCGTGGTCTCTCGATGTCTTAGACATACTGGCCAGGATTCTACCTGTCAGAGGTCTGAGGCAGGAACACCGGAAGCAGGCCTGGGTCCCTGCCAGGGCCCCCACCGAGCAGGCATGGGAACGACAGCCTGGCTCTCACTTCCTTCTCATCCGAGAAGCCCAGTGGGGTTTGTCTGAGCCTTGAAGGCAAAGCCCGCTGCATGGAACTCACCCCCCGGCTGCCCAGGCTCCAAGCAGGCAGCTTCCGAGGGCCCCAAATGATAACGACGCAGTGAAGGAAGGAGCTGAAAGTTGGGGACAGGGCAGTTGGGCGGGGGCATCTCTTTGTTACAGGAAGGGGCAGGCATCTGGGAGAAAAATAGAGGGCATTTGGTTTTGCACAAATCTGCCTGGGGCCGTGTGTGGAACATCCACGCCACCACTGTTACCGGGGCTTCGGCGTGTGACTTGTGGCTGACGGTGTGAGGGGATGTGATGTTTTCCAGGTCACAGCAGACAATACAAAGCCCTTGTGTGGTTTCCTCTGCCCTGGGACCTCTGCCCTCCACCACGAGAGTGGCATGTCCCCAAGTGACCACTGGCACCGGGAAAAGAGATGTGGAGACCGGAGTCCTGCAAGTGTCCAGGAGCCGTGCCTTGGATCCCCGAACCCAGCAGAACCCCAATCCCCCAACTCCCCAAAGCCCATGCCGGGACCCGTGCACAGGAAATGAGGCCCGTCGCTGCGCGCCCTGGGGGCTGGGCTGTGAGCTGCCCGGCGGTACAGCAGCAGACGCCTGCCCAGTGCCAGTCTGCCGAGTCCGGCACCTGCTGCCCCACTGCACCCTCCTCCCAGAGGCAGGAGCGCGGGCACCGCAAAGCCCTCCGAAACCCACAGCCCTACTGCGTCATACTCACTTCCTCAAACCCCTCATTCCTTCTACAACAACTGCCTTTCTCTCTCCTTTCCTGTCCTCGCAGTCACAGAAAGAACACTGGGAAGCAGGGGGTTTCGGCCCACAGACTACAGAGCAGCGGGGACGTGGTCCGTTTCTGCAGGAAATTAGTCTCTGTCCTGGCGCACCAATCTAACCACAGGGGATGCGATGCTAAGAAGCGCTATTAGCACCCAGAAGTACCTGCTATCTCAATGGGAGGTGCTGGGAGCAGAGAGGAGCCCGTGAGGCTGGGGAATTAGGGGACACCAGTCAGCAAGGACCAGACCTTGGCAAGGAGCCCAGGTCCTGTGGAAAGCCACAGCTCAGCCCACCCAAGGGGTCTCCATTCGGAGATGCCTGACCTGGGTGATCACTTTTGGCAGAAGTTCTTTATTCATTCATATAACTGCCATTAATCCATTTCTACCATCTATCTATTCAACCAATCCCCACCCATGCATCCATTCGCCATCCATCCATCCACCCACCCATCCACCATCCATCCATCTACCACACATCCACCATCCATCCATCCATCCATCCATCCATCCACTCCCCCATCCATCCGCCATCCATCCATCTACCATCCATCCATCATCCATCTATCCATCCATCCATCCACCATCCATCCACCCACTCACCCATCCATCATCCATCTACCACCCATCCACCATCCATCTACCATCCATCCATCTACCACCCATCCACCCATCCATCCATCCATCCATCCACTCCCCCATCCATCCACTCCCCCATCCATCCACCATCCATCCATCCATCCACCATCCATCCATCTACCATCCATCCACCATCCATTCACCATCCATCCATCCATCCTCCATCCATCCATCCACCACCCATCATCCATCCATCCACCCACCCATCCATCCATCCATCCATCCATCCATCCATCCACTCCCCCATCCATCCACCTATCCACCTATCTATCCATCCATATCCATCCACCCATCCATCCACCCATCTATCCTCAATCTATCTACCCAACAAATATTTTCATCCAGGAACTTGAGATAAAATCGTGAAAAAAACAGGCAGAGCCCCTGCCCAAAAGAGCCCCCCCACGTGCGTGCGTAGGTGCAGGGATAATGGAATAACAGCATGGAACTGTGGTCACGCATGTGGTCCATCCTGGAAACAGAGGCCCTGGGGCCTGGGGGGCGAGCAGTGAGGCCAGCAGGCCTGAGGCTGCCCAGGAAGGCTCCTGAAGTGGACGGTTCCATCTGCCCCTCCTCTGCCCAGGAGCCCTGCTGCGTAGATGACACCCACAGGCCACCTCCCCGAACTTCGGGTGGGATTCGGCCCACGGGGGCACCAGGAGAAGGCGAGGGCAGAGGCGGATGGGAGGAGCACGTCTGTTCTCTGGATTGAAAGGGGCTCAGTTACTTTGTCTGGGGCCAGGACTCCCCTGGGTCCTTTCCTGAGACCTGGGGGGCCACACCTCCCATTGAAGGCTGGATGGCAGGCTGAGAACAGCCCCCAAAAGACAGCCTTGTCCTCACCCCGGGAACCTGTGAATGGGACCTTATAGGTCATCAGCGAAAATGTTTAGATGGGAAGATTGTTCTGGATTATCCGGGTGGGGCAGAGGGAGATTTCACACACATACACACATACACATATACAGACACATGGACACATACACACATATACAGACATATACACACATATACAGACACATGGACACATACACACATATACAGACATATACACACACATTCACAGACACACACAGACACACATATACAGATACATGCACACATACAAACATACAGACACACGGACACATACACACATATACAGACATATACACACACATTCACAGACACACATACACACATATACAGATACATGCACACATACAAACATACAGACACACGGACACATACACACATATACAGACATATACACACACATTCACAGGCACACATACACACATATACAGACATATACACACACATTCACAGACACACACAGACACACATATACAGACACATGGACACATACACACATATACAGACATATACACACACATTCACAGACACATATACACATATACATATACACACACATTCACAGACACACATATACAGACACATGCACACACTTTCACAGACACACATACACACATTCACAGACACACACACATATACACACACATACACACATTCACAGACACATACACACACATTCACAGACACACACAGACATAGACACTCATATACAGACACATGCACACACATTCACAGGCACACATATACAGACACATGCACACACATTCACAGGCACACATATACAAACACATGCACACACATTCACAGGCACACACATATGCACACAGACACACACACCTTGGTTTTGACCCAGTGAAGCAGATTTAAGCGTCTGGGCTCCACAGCTGTGACAATAAGTCTGCTGGACACCATCCCGTCTGCGGCTGTGGTACTGGGCTGCGGGGACGCCTCCCAGCGGGACGGCCACTCCACCCATGCTCTTAACCCCACACACTCCCCTTGGCAGCCCTCAGGACCCGGGTGGGCAGCTCTCCTCCCCCGAGCTGGCCCTGGAAAGAGCCCTCCACCACCTGGGTCTGCTCGGTGCCCGGGAAGGTGCCCTTGGGTTCCTGTGGGCAGGTGGCCACAGCCCCTGAGGAGGGGATGCAGATTTGGGGTCTAAGCGTGAGTCCCTCTTGTCAGTGAAGGTGGAAGATGGTGGCGAGCTGGCTGGAGGGTACGAAGGAGTGGCGTCTGGTACAGTCCTGACAACGATGTTTACAGACCCCATCCGTGCCCAGCACCCCTCACCCGCGCCCTGCTCCGTTCTCACAGTGCGGTGCCGTGGGTGCGCCGACGGTGGGCACCCGACCACGAGGGCCTTGGGAAGAAGGCAAGGGCAAGGCCCAGCCCCCGCCCCCGCCCCAGGGCTCCTCCCTGTGGCCCGGGGCTCCCGGGGCCCCGCAACTGGAAACATCACCGAGGAGCGGCACCAGGCCTGCCCGCGGCTCACCTTGCCGTCCTTGGCGTAGGCCAGGAGCTTGTCCTCGTCCTTGGGGTGGAAGATCAGCGCCTCCAGGATGAAGGGGATGAACTGCTTCTGGAAGGTGGTGGCCTCGTCCACGCTGAGGAACATGGTCTGCTCCCCGCCGTTGAGTGAGGAGCTCATGAAGATGATCTGAAACACAGGGGGCACATGAGGGCATCAGGCACACACTCGGGCACATGCTCGGGCACCGCTCAGGCACACGCTGGGGCACATGCTCGGGCACACACTCGGGCACATGCTTGGGCACCGCTCAGGCACATACTCGGGCACACGCTCAGGCACCGCTCAGGCACACACTCGGGCACACGCTCAGGCACACACTCGGGCACCGCTCAGGCACACGCTCGGGCACAGCTCAGGCACACACTCAGGCACCGCTCAGGCACATGCTGGGGCACACTCTCAGGCACACACTCAGGCACCACTTGGGCACACGCTGGGGCACACGCTGGGGCACACGCTCAGGCACACACTCGGGCACATGCTCGGGCACACGCTCAGGCACCACTTGGGCACACGCTGGGGCACACACTCAGGCACACACTCGGGCACACACTCGGGCACATGCTCGGGCACAGCTCAGGCTCCACGCCGTGCAGTGGGTGAGCTCGCCTCCCTTCCTGCATCTGTCTCCCTGTCTGTCCAGCAGGGGACAGCACGGTGCCTGGCACCGGCGAGCCTGCCGTGGAAGGTGTGTGACCAGGCTGTCCTCACAGGAGCTCTACCCGGCCACTCTGATGACGCTAGGGCGACCTCTGCTCGGCAGGTGGGGAGACCGAGGCACAGAGGTCAAGCTCCAGGCAGGATGGAGCCGAGGTCAGGACGTGGGCGTGACTCCTGACCCCTGTGTGGGGGCTGGAGCTGCGAGGTGGGGTGGGGCTAGCCTGGCCACCCGTGACACGGTTTTCCCGGGGCAGGCGTGGCCTGTGGGAGCCCTTCTGCGTGGACGCCCCACTGGGAGGGCCTTTCACCCCCACACCGTCTAGAAGGCAACTCTTGTTGAAGACAGCGGAGCACACAGAGCCCTCATCAGTGCGCTGGCCGGGCTCCTGCCTCCACAGGAGCAGAGGGCCCTCCGGTCCGTTCTCCTTCCAGGGAAACCGCGCCGAGCCCGGCACCAGCTCGCCTCCCTCTCCCCTCAGCAAATCGAGGGTCGGAGAGACCCGCGGGGCTCACCTGTTCCTCAGTGGCAAAGGGGTGCTGCCGTTTAAACAGAGGACAACGCGGGGTGGCCAGGGAGCCAGAGACCACAGAATCGCGTCTGCAGGGATGTTCAGGGACAGGGAGCAGGGGCGCTCATGAGAGAAGCTGGGTTCAAATGGTAGGCAAGTGTAAGTCCTGCACACGCCACATCCACCCAGCGGCAAGGACGCTGAGCGCCCACCGGTCGGCGTAGGTGCACAAAGCAAGTGTGACCCTGTCAGTGGAAAATGCAGAACATACACGTGAAAGGATGATTATGCAGCCGTGAAGAAGGAGGAAACCCTGCCACGTGGGCAATGGGGATGGCCTTGAGGGGGGCACGTGCAGTGAGTCAGAGAGAGAGACAGATGTCTCATGATTCCACTTACATGCGGAATCGAAACCGCTCGTGGTACAGAGAACAGAGGGCGGCACGGAGGCCGGGGCAGGGACTTCCGTCGTCAGATAAAGACCTGAGGACGGCGTGTATGGCAAGGTGACGGCGTGTACGGCAAGGTGACGGTGTGTACGGCAAGGTGACGGCGTGTACGGCAAGGTGACGGTGTGTACGGCAAGGTGACGGCGTGTGCGGCAAGGTGACAGCATGTACGGCAAGGTGACGGCGTGTGCGGCAAGGTGACGGCGTGTGCAGCAGTTAAGAAATGCATATTGTACGCTTGAAAGTCGCTAAGAGAGTAGATTTTAAGAGTTCTCATTACAAGAAGAAAACGTTTGTAACTACGCGGGGCTACAGACGTTCTCTAGACCTACTGTGCTGATCACGTGACAATACAGGCAAACACCGCACCCTTCGGTTGTACCTGAAACTACATTGACACGTCAGTGGTCCCTCAATCTGAAAACAGGTAACACAGAAGGCGTAAATATGGTTTCAAGTGGTGTGGTTAGAAGAAACTTTTTTTCTTTAAATAAACTTGTATTTGGACCAACTTTAGACGGACAGAGGGCACCTCCTCCAGGAAGCCCTCTGGGATACACAGGTATTCTAATCCCCGCCCCCCGCTCTTTCCCCAGCACCTGTGCATTCATTTGGTCCAGCCCAATGTTCTCTCCCTGAGCCGGCCTTTCCCCCAGGCCGGGAGGCTGGGCTGCTGGGCAGCCTGGCAAGGCCCATGTACTTGCCACGGTCAGACCGCCAGCCCAGCAGGTGCCATCTCCCCCTGAACAGGCATGGGTGCTATTTCCCCCAGAGTGAGGGCCGAGGCCCAGGGGGGCCTCTCCACCACAGCCCCCAGTCAGGCCCGGAGCCCCACCGGTGGCGGCACCGAGCGCCGCTCTGGCCGTGTGCCCAGCAGCCCGGATCAGGGCTATTTTGGGCCGCAGTGGGCCGAGTCAGCCAGGGAACACGGGGGAGGACAAAAATGCTGACGAGGGAGCACAGGGGAGCGAAAAACAAGTCAATTAGCATCGCGCCGAGCCCGCGGAGGCTGGCAGACTGCTCATCCAAATTGGGATCCAGACTATTTTAAACGGCATATTTTCACCCCTGACTATTCCGGGGGACACATATGGAACCTGGGCTCGGTTCTGGGGCCCACAAGGCTGGGTGGTTTGAAATCAAAGGTAACATGAGAGGGCTAGTTGACATTCACCAGAAGCGTAAGCCCTCGGTCCTGGGACCCCGCGTGTGGGCCCAGTACGAGGCGCCAATGTGGGGTTCCCCGTGAGGTGCCAACGACTAAGCGTTTCGAGAGCAGCACCCCAAGCCCGGGTCCGTCTGGGATGGCCCAGGACGCCACACGAAGCACAGCTTTCCACCAGTAATCCTGGGACCGGCGTCCCGGGACTCCCCCGGCCCCCTGGGTCAGAACCCGCGCTTTCTAAGGACCCTGCGTCCTGAGCGCCCTCCACTGGTCGGCGGCTTCAGGCTGCGCTCCAGCTGGCTCTCAGCTCTGTGCCCACCAGCGGTGCGACCCTGGCCTCTGCCCCGACCCCGTCCCAGGGACAGAGCGGGCAGCCCGGAACACAGTCCTCACCGGGCCGAGCTCTCTGCTCCCAGCTGCCCGAGGAGGGGCACGGCCATCGCCCATCTCATTTGCCAGTTGGAGACAGGAGGCCCAGGGGGGCTGTGTGATGTCACAAGGGAGAGCCTGACTGGAACCGGGGCTCTGGCTCCCGTGTCCCACTCTCAGCCACTCGAACGACGGACCGTCCGCAGGACGGAGGGATCCGGAGGACAGCCCCGGGCCTCCAGGGCGGGCACGCTGCTGTGCTCAGGTAGCCCACAGCATCCGCAGGAGCGGACAGCGCAGGCCCTGGGGCACACGGAGCTGGGCTCCGGTCCTCACTGGGCCCCCGGGAAGCTGTGCAACCTTGGGCAAGTCCATTCCGGTCTCTGAGCCTGTTTGCTCATCTGGAAACGAAGCCGGGAGCACCCCTTCAGAGTCAGATGAAACAACGCGAGAACAGACCCAGAGCGGCCCGGGACGCAGCGATGCCGCGACAGCCAGGCTCACTGCTGCCCGTTTTGCTTCTGTGAAGGCAGTTCAGGTCCACGGAGCTCAGCCAGCGCTTACCCAGCGCCCTCTGCGCCAGCAGCCAGAGCGAGGCAGCTCCAAGGCGGGGTGACAGGGACGGAAGCACCTGAGTGCGGTGCCTCCCTGACTGTGCACCCCAGAGCCTCACTTCCCCACCCTCAGCCTGGCCTGGGGCCCGGGGCTTCCCAGAGGAGGTGTCGCCTGAGCCAGACCGCAAAGGAAGAGAAGGCCAGTGGGGAGCCAGCGGGATCATTCATTCTGAAGTGGGACAGAGGGTCCCCTTCACAGGGAGACGTGTGGCCGGGTGCTGAGTTTTCAGCGATCACATCACTGACGTATCACTGACATGCTTTGCTGACCCCAAAGCAAGTCCCGCCACGTGGCCAGTCTGTGGAAGCTCTGTCCCTCCTGCCAGAAGGTGGTGCATCTTTTTTTATTAATCCTCACCCAAGGATATTTTTCCATTTATCTTCAGATAGAGTGGGAGGGAGGGGGAGAGAGAGAGGGAGAAACATCGACATGAGAGACGCACCTCGACTGGTTGCCTCCCACACAACCGGACCAGGGCTGGGGACTGAACCCCAACCAAGGTACGTGCCCTTGACCGAAATCAAACCCGCGACTCTGGTCCGTGGCCGACGCTCTAACCGCGGAGCCAAGCTGGCCAGGGCAGAAGGTGGTGCATCTTGGGAGGCATGGTAGACACGGGCAGTGCGGGCCCTGTTCATGGGCACTGGGCACCTAGGAGGGCCCGCAGCACAGGACGGGGCTCAAGCACCCCTGCCCGCCCTCACCCGGAGGGGACCTCGGGCTGGCCTCTCTGCCCCGGCCCACAGTGTCCGCTGGCTCTACCGTGGCTCTTGTCCTCTGTGACCTGCTGCCACATGTGTCCCCTGCAGGCACCACCTGGGTCTCCACCCTGCCCCAGTCGGCTGTCCCGTTCGCTTTCCTGGACCAGGGCTGCCACCATCTCCTCCAACAGGGGCGCCCACGCCCCGCCGGCCCGGGAGCAGAGCTCTCCTGAAAGTTACCTTCGAGCTAACAAGCAAAGCAAACGGCCCAGAACCCCCTTCTCGCCAGCTAGACGCTGGCTGCTCCAAAGATCGGTTCCCATTGAGAACTCTTCATCAGGGAGCGGATTTGTTTAGTCTGCCCGCTACCAAGAATAGCCCTAAAAGGGTTCCCACCCCAGCCCCCAGGACTGGTGTCACCCAGTTACTTTTCTATTTAAACCCAATTGCCGTCTATTCCTGGCCACACAGATGTGCCCAGCTGGGGGCACAGAAGCTTGGCTTGGAGGCCGGGAGAGGCGGCCCGAGGAGACACACAGTGGCGTCCACCCCCGGCTCTCGATTTAGAATCTGCAGAGCATCTCACATGCTTGCATGAGTCACGATGAGCAAAAATAGCCCCCTACCGCCCACGCCTCGCTCCGTGGTAAGCGCGTCC